CAGAAATAATATTTAATATGAAACTAAGGAATTATAATATTATTGTACTATAATATGAGAACTCACTGGCCGCTTTGCTCTTTGCACTTTGTAGTTCTGCAATTACAGATTGTAGTCCTTCTGTTTCTCAGCATAAACTGTTAAGATATAGGGCGACCCGGTAGCGCTGTCACCTCACAGCAAGAATGGCCTGGGTTCGATTCCCGGCCAGGTGACCAGGGTCGTTTCTGTGTGGAGTTTGCATGTTCTCCCCATGTCTGTGTGGGTTTCCTCCGGGTACTCCGGTTTCCTCCCACAGTCCAAAAACATTCAGTCAGGCTGATTGGACATGCTGAATTGCCCCTAGGTGTGACTGTGTATGTCTGTCTGCCCTGTGATGGACTGGTGACCTGTCCAGGGTGTATCCTGCCTTCCGCCCAATGACAGTTGGGATAGGCTCCAGCACCCCACCGCGACCCAGAAGGATAAGTGGTTTAGATGATGTATGTATATATAAATATATATACACACAAATATATATATATACACGTACACACACACACATCAGTTTCGTTTGGATTACAAAAGATCTTAAATTTATTCGTGAGAAAGGTCGTAGGGAAAAAGTCTGTCACATTTATGAGGTGTTCTTATACCGCAGAACTGTTCACATCTTTGTGATCTTGAGTGAGCGTAGGTTCTGTTCTTACCTAAGAACAAATCCCAAAAAAGAAAACATTGGTGTATGTCAGAATCTTTGGGAAACCTGCATAAGTGGGTTTTAAGAAGAAAGTTCGTCTTGATTGGTGAATAAGGCCCATTATTCCAGCCATTATTTTTTATTGCAAACCAATATGCTCTTTTAAAGTCAAAATTTATTATTTGTCATCAGATCCCTTCCAATAAAGCTTGCCTAAGTATTCACTCCTTCAGACTAGCACTTGGTAAAATCACCTTTTTCTGCAGTAACAGCTTTATGTCTGCTGAGTTAAGTTTCTGCCACCTTTGCACACTGTTTGGGAGTGATTTTCACCCATTCTTCCAGACAGATTTGCTCCAGGTTGTGCAGGTTGGTTGAATGAGTTTTCAAATAGAGCAGATTTTCAATTGGATTGAGATCCTTTTTGTTGTTGTACTTCTTTGTCACTTTGGTCTTGTGCTTGGGATCACTTCCACCTGCTGGAAAATGTTTCTCTCAAGCTTTAGTCTTGCAGTATCTTCCTGTATTTTGCACCATCCATCTGTCCCTCAGTTTTAACAAGATGCCCAGTCTCCACTGAGGAAAAGCATCCCCATAACAGGATGCTGCCTCCCCTATACTTCACTGTTGGGATGGTGTTTGTTGAGGAATGAACAGTATTAGGGTTGCGCCACATATAGATCATTTTGTCTCATCTGACCACAAAACCTTATCCCACATTTTAGCTGGGTATCTCTGATGCTGCATGGCAAACTCTGTATATACTTTGATGTGTTTTTTCTTCAGTAATGGCTTCTTTCTAGCCAACCTCCTTGATATTGTTGACTGGTGCACCTTAACTCTAGTTTCACCCACTGAACTCTGTAGCTGCTTAATAATGATTGTTGTGGCTTCCCTCACAAGTCCCCTTCTTGCTCTGAAGCAAAGTTTCGAGCAATGGCCATGTCTAGGCATGGATAGTATGATGCCGCTGCGATTCAATCACAAGAGATCCAACAGCACTCACTGTGATATCCACACACTTGGATATTATTTTGCTCCTATCTTTCGAACAAAAGTCTCAATACTAACCCACTAGTCTCTCAATTTTGACTGACATGTATAGCTTGGTACAGTATGTGAAAAGCTAAAATGATACTAAAACACAATATTTTCTGTTTTAATTTATGAACTTACCCACAACACATTCTGAAACGTTGGGGCAGGAGCATGTTTACCACTGCATTACATCACCTTTCATTTTAACAGCACTTAATAATTGTTTGGGGAATAAAGACACGAAATGTCTCCTAAAAGGCAGCATATTTTGTTCCAAAATGTGTTCAGCTTTAATGGTGCCTTGACAGACGTGCAGAAATATGTCACTAAAACGTACCATGACAGACACTAGCATTTGAACTTTACTCTAGTAAAAATCTGGATGGTTCTTCTTCGGCTCACGGAACACAACAGCCGTTATTTCCGTATATCTGAAAGGTTGACTCGCCAGACCACTAAACAAGTTTCCATTCTGCACCAGTCCATTTCAGATGAGCTCAAGCTCAGATAATTTATGGATGTTTTTGAAATCATGACTTCCACTGTACATAGAGCAGTCTTAACTTGCGTTTGTGGATGCAGCGATAAACAGGATTTGTTTGTTTGATGACTGTTTGTCAAAGTATTTCTGAACCCATGTGGTGATGTCCATCACAGAAGCATGCTGGTTTTTAATGCAGTGCCGCCTGAGGGGTCGAAGGCCTAGGACATTCATTTGAGATTTTCTGTCTTTTCCTTTACACTTTTCCTTTATACAGAGATTCCTCTGGATTCCCTGAACCTTTTGATGGCCTGCTGCACTGTAGAGGATGAAATACCTAAAATCCTTGTAATTCCTGGCTGAGGAGCACCATTTTAAAATTGCTAGATTTTCTTGCTGATGCAATTTTGCCAAAGTGGCAAGCCTCAACCCATCCTTGCTCATAAAGGACTTGGCCTTGGATGCTCCTTTTATATCCAAGCATGATTACATCAACTCTATAAGATTTTTGGAACATTTAACAATGATCCTGATCTTAAATTGATTCTATCTGTTGTTGTTGTTGTTGTTATTAATGTAGTTGTGTTGCTTAGAGTAAATTGTGTCCGAGGAGGGTGGAGTTTGTAAAGTAATTAAGTGTTTAGAGCTGCCTACCTCTTCGCATGTTGTGTCCTCCAGTGTTACCCCCCTTTTCTTGTTACATGTTGGGGAGTGCTGGGCTTGGCATTTCTTTCTGTCTGTTGAAGTGCCTGTTCAAAATAACAGAGCATTTGCCTGTATTTTTTCTGCCTTATCTTCTTTGCCAATTTCAGCTTTCTGTACCTCTAACAGCCTCTTGACTTTGTTTCCTCAGAGTTGCATCATTATCATCTAATCTTGCAGAAGTCAAGCTTTTGTTAAACAGAATCAAACTTCTTCAGTGATGAGCAGAGCACTGGTGTTAGATTGAAGATTTTTGAATTTTGGATTTTAATTTGTGCACTGCTTTTATTTATCTGGCGTACATGTGAGCAAACTAAACTTTTCTGATTAACACAGCAGGATGCTGTGGTACAATACCGACATAAACATAGAACCAGTTATTGAATAGCTCCGTGGTTACATCATCCCACCGACAAGGTTAGCTAACCATGTCAAAAAAACATGCTGAGCCTGGGTTTTCCGTGTTAAAACTTTTTGGTGTGGAAATGCCACTAAAACAGGGCTCAGAACTGTTCGGCCCTGCAGTGGAAAAGAGGCCCATGATGACCTAGTGGCATTGACTACGTCCCTCCAGCAATGCTTTGGGCGGGTACTGGCAGCATGGTTGGCCAGGCGGCTGATCCGTGAGAGGCAGAGACTACAGGGAGAGTGGATAAGCATGGTGGTGGCAGAGCTGAGCCCAATGGTTTGACAGTCGTACCCAGCGAGTGAAGAAGGCTGTGCATGAGCAGTTGGCACTGGATCACTTTTGCATGCTGCTACCAGAGGAACTGAGACGCAGCATGTGCTTAGCATCTTCTTCTACGCAGACGCCACAGTAGATTTATAAATCACCGCTTTGTGTTTTTATTTGCATGTACCCTTTTGGAAATGGGTATTTTATTTTCAGCGCTTTTAAAGACCAAAATAGTAGTCAGTAAAAAAAACAACGGTTAAAATGCTGAGAATTAAAACTGGTGTACTAACATTTGAGATATAGTGAGTGCTAGCCATGACCCAGTTTACAGATGTGGCTGGTCAGTTTGGAGTATTTTTTAACAACATGTATACATATGTATGTATACATATATGAGATGTTGTTAAAAAATACTGCTAGCCATGACCCAGTTTACTGATGATAATTTTTAACAATATCATATATATGTATGCATATGAGATGTTGTTAAACAATACTCCAAACTGACCAGCCACATCAGAAAACTGGGTCATGGCTAGCACTCACTATATCTCAAGTGCCTGTACACCAGTTTTAATTCTTCTAACATTAGTCAGTGGGTAATCTAAATACTTCTGTTTAATGCTTAGGGCCGCCTTAGGTGCACCTTGTACTTCTCATGACTCTGATTTATTATTGTTTTGTTGCCTCATGAGGAGGAGGATAGGTTCCTCTCAAGGTTTCTTTCTCTTGCCATTGTCATCCTTGGCTTGCTCATTAGAGGAACTTTGTAAATGTGCTTTGTGACATTGTCCATTATAAAAAGCACTATACAAATAAATTAGAATTTAATTTAATTAAAACCACAAATTTAAGGTGGGCAACCCTTGGCTGATGAGACATAGTGCTGCAGAGTAAAAACTCCTCATGCTTGTAGAGTCTTAAAGGTTGGTGCTTTCAAGAAAAAGTAGAGGAGCCAAAAAAGAAAGAAGGAAGGCTTTGTGCTGTCTGCTAAATACTCACAGTGCAGTCTTGACAAACTTTTTAGGGTGCACCAAGTGTGAGATATGTGAGAGTGAAAGTGACAGTAGAGCAGTGTTTCCCAAATGTGCAACTATCCAAAACAACCAGTGAACCTATTCATGTATTCTGTGTTTTTATATGTAATGTTGATATTGGTGAAATAGGGTTATTTTTATTTTAAATAAAGTTTTCTTTGGGTTAATATTTTCCTTGCATCACCCTGCATGTACCCCTCTGCCATGAATGGTGGTGTTTACATCACATTGCGGTGATGTAAACCCCAGCTCCTGTGCCGCTAAAAGTAATGTGTATATACATATATATATATATATATATATATATTATTTTGTATATATGTGAGTGTGTGTGTGTGTGTGTGTGTGTGTGTACAGTTGAATTCAGAGAAGAAAAAGTTACATTTGTCAAGATTTAAGTTTTTTATTTGCCATTTACAAGAGGGCATTAGAAATCTTACTCACTGAGTCTGTCTAATTAGTGACATTGTTTAATCCGGTCATGTTACCATTTCAACAATGTTTCCTATGCCTATACAATTCTGTATACCCATCTGGTCACACTTTCTAGAATTCCTTTTCAAATATACATTTCAAATGTCACAAACACATCACATTTACAAGAGGACTAAGGCATGGTAAAAAAAAGAAACAAAACAAACAAAAAACTGAATGTCTTCCTCTAATAAGCATCAAATGCTGTGGAGCCATGAACAAAGGCATTTTTACAACAATATTATTAATTCAGTGTCCATAACCAGCATTGCTGACCAGCATGCAAGCTGTCTGACCATTTAAAACACATGGACATATAAGCATTCTATTCTTTCAAACAAAAAAGAAAATGGTGTGTGGGTGGGGGGGGGGGGGGGGGGGTCATACAGTCACTCACAATAAAGATGCATGTATTTATCAATAATAAACCTTGAGAGGAATAGCAAATCTGGATTAGTTGTATGGTCTATTTGCAAGCTGAGCTATTACACATTAGCCAGTGAGAAACGCATCTTAGTAGCCTAACCTAACCTACAGTACACGGTATTTAAAACAGCCGATAATAGGATAATAAAGATGTAACCAGTATAAATATGTTATAACTAATCCAGATGAATGTAATGTCTTAAAGCTGTGCCCTGTGATTTTAAGCCATTTTGTGTAAATCATTATACATTCATTCTCAGAGACATTACTGTCAGATGCCTCAGAAGTTAAGCACAACTTTCTTATCTATCACGTATTGATTCCAATGAACACAAACAATGATAGAGTAAACAAAGTGACTGGACCTTTGAAGTTGAAGATTTATTATTGGTCCTGTTCCAAAAACTCAAGCAACTCATTGAGCAAGGTAAAATCTCGTTTGATCCACTAGAAGACTTAGGACACATGCTAGCAGCAAAGCCACCATTTGTTGTTGCAAAATTATAGAATGTATCTTATATATAATTTTTTACAGATTTTAATCCAAATAATTGTCATTGCAATCACATTCATTAGGGGGAAAAGAATTCTGAAATCAAGACATACAAGCTGATACCTATAAACTGCCAGATGGCTATAACAGTCTTCTGCCTTTGTAGTGTTCACTGCCTGTCCATATGACACTTACATGGTGATAAATAGAAGAACAAAACAATTATAACCACCCACACTCACCACGTGTCAAGGCATCAGCAAAATGCATGACCTTGCTATATAACATAATGCTATAGCCTGTTTAACCGAATACTGTTTAACCATTTAACCATTTTCTTAAAACATCACCACTTTGAAACACAAATATGAAAACAGCTAAGTGACAAAACAGAATAAACGAAAGCTGATATTTCAAACACAGACGAACATTTCTTAAAAGAAAAATAACCAGTGTTATGACACCAAATTGTCATAGATTCTTTCATTTCATCCACACACACTTATTGGAAACCATTTAATCATGATTATCACAATAGGACTTAATCTGAATTCACTGTGGTAAAAATTTTTGTTTATAGAATTAGGTATCCTCCTATGGGACGCATAGCAGCAAAACAAACACAGAGTATACACAGCTCTAGTTTTCAAAGACGGCAACGCAATTGTGGCTTGGCAGAAGGAGGGGAGAGGAGGTACCTTAAGTGCACTATCACAAAGGGCCAAAAACCCCTAAAAAAATAAACAAAAACACACACAACTCACACACGCATAAAAAAAATCCTCTCAGTGAACAGTTGTGTCTTAAATTCTTCTGCTAAGACGTGGTGCTGCCTTGTGAAGAGGCTGAAATAAAAAAAAATGATTTACGTAAATTACTTTCTTTATCATGTCTTAGTTCTTTAGCAGTAAGGGGACACATCATATTTACAATAGCTAAACAAACCTGTTAAGTCTTTGAATCTTCTTTTTGCTTCAGCTCTTTCCTCTGAATCAAAGTACCACACTGTGATTGCATACCTACAACACAAAATCAAACAAAATCAAATTAAGAATTAAGTTTATATATAACTGCTATTTAGAAATCCAGACAAATTTGTATCCAAACACAGGCACACATCCACAGACCTGGTAGCAAATGATGGTTGTACTTCATGAGGGTTCCTACGGTCTGACCAGAAGAGCAGCAGTCGATCAAACAAAGGTTCAATGTCAGCTACATAGGATTTTCCTTCAGGAAATATCCGTAGAATTCCCCCATGCTCCTAAAAAGAACGAGAAACAGTACCATGATTTACTGTATATCTCAGGACTTATGAAGAACAACACAATGTAGAGGCTGGTAACTGGTAGAGGCTGGTAACATCCAGCGTACCTTGGCATTCCAGTTTTTGTTCAGGTAGTAGATGCAGGTGACACAGCGCCCGTCCGCATTAGGGTTATCTACATGTTTCACGTAACCTGCCCCATTGCCTGGATAGCATGCCACCATAGCCTGAAATGGAAGAATACAATCAAAACAACAGATTTGTGAGCCACTTATTAACCAAATTCCATTTCCATTTATTTTAAATCTCTGCTTTTATCAAGTTAAACAAGATGCTAACACATTGCACATTGTTTTATGAGATGGTCCTGTACCCAAAGCAGTACTAAGACTAAAATACTCTCAACCAACAATCGTGGAAGCTTCTGTTTTTTATCCTAAGACAGTCCTTAGGGTGACAGCAGACTCACATTACACATATGCTGGCTTTTTCTGCTTATCTGACTATTTGGAGCCTCTCCCTTCATCAATCACTCTTGGCCCCTGTGGAAAGTTCTAAAGGTCTGGCATACATACTTAGGCATGTCCTGGAGCTCGTGAGCGTGCCTGCTGTGTGGCCTTCCCTATGCAACACAATATCAACACGCCTCATTCTCACAATGAAACGGGAAGCAGAACTCCCTCCACATCACCTCACCCCCACCTGGCCTTCTGACCTTGCACAAAGTTTAGCACGCAATATACCCCGTTGACTATACCGTAGCGCACAGTCATTTCCTTCTATTATGAGACCCTGAAATCAAGTGCTCTACAAATGCTGTTTGTAAATACTATATTTGGCCAGTTCCTTATTACAGTATTTTAAAATAAGAAGTACAGTCATGGAATTATGCATTCTGAATAGCAAAACAGTAACTACAGTGGATTAAAAAAGGAAAAAGACAAAAAATATGATAACAGACATTTTTGAAAAATAAAGTGATTACTTTAAGGACTATAATAGGCTAATTTACAAAGTGTTTTTTCATTTGCACTGGAAGGCAATTAAAGTGGTAACGCTTTCTTTTACATTTCCTTACATTCTAGGCATTAACCAGGTAACTGTGAGGTACAAACTCTAAAGTACTATGTAATTGTTTTGGGTAACATAATGGTAAGTTCAGAGACTTTAGTTTAACTAAATTACACTGAAATGCCCAGCAGGTTCTAACTATTAACTGAGTAAGTAACAAGACAGTATAACTAAATTACACTGAAGTGACTAACAGGTTCTAGCTATTAAGCTGATAAGGGACGTAATAAAATACCTCATAAATATGTGGAACAACAAGGTGATAAATACAAACATACTAACACCAATGTCACACATTTAGGCAGGAAAGTAAATCAGACACACCTTCAATCACTAAACTATAAAGTTTTCTGAAGTAAATGGTAAGGACTGAGTAAAGCTATAAGAATCACTGATTTCTTTTAGGGCCCAGATTCAGTTTCGTTATAGGTAAAAGACAGGTACATACCACATAAGAATCATTGTACTTTCTTTGTGTGCCATCCTTTTATGCCATGTAACTGCACAGTACCTTTTACCCCAAATAATTACACAGCGCTGTGGAATTTGTACCATATACTCATCAAATTTATACCTAGAACCTGTTGGCATTTCAGTGTAGTTTAATAAGACTGCTGTGGAACTTACCATCATGTTACCCAAAATAATTACTTAGTTATTATTAAATTTAGATTTGGGTTTTCTCTTTACATGAGCTACATAAAATCTTAAGCTTTCAGTTTGTCCCTTAAGCATTTATCTTAAGATAAATACTTAAGGGGCTGGTTTCCTAGACCTGTATTAAAGCTAATCCTAGATTCAAAAGAATTTCCAGTTATGATTTACCACTGGCACGCTAATATAGTTTTACTCCTTCATGAAGTAATTACATTTCAGGGGAAAACGGGTGTGGAAATCTATGCAACCCAGTTTACAGGTTTAGTGAGTTAGTTCATGTTCCTTCCTGGAGTAACAAATAATTTGTTAGCTAACCTTAATGTCTTACTTTGACTAACTGCTATTGTGTTAACTTGAGGCACTGTTCTAATTTTAGCAATTAATTTTATTTCTTTGTTTTTGCAGTTGCCTTGGAATTGTTAACATCTGTGTATGACTCAGGAAAATGAGTCAAGGCTGCTTTTTAATATGTAACTGATTCCAGTAAAAAGGTAATCAGTAATCAGTAAAAAAATACAGTTTGTAAGTAGCCTTCCCAATCCTGCCAACATTAGTAATTATAGCCATAAATGGCCTGTAATATACACTTTTAAAGCTCTAGCTGCACGCTGATACTTCCGAAAATACGTCACAAACACAATAGCTAAATCTGTTTCAAAACATAACCCCATTTTCCCTTAATCATCGTCACGACAGACCCCGCCACACAAACGCAGCAGTAGCCATTCACTGGCGCTTGTGTTTACATTTCTGCAAACGAGTTTTTATCATGGTCTCTTTCCCACAATGAGGGCACACACGTAGGTTTGCCGTCATAGCACAATGTAAACATGTATGGAGAGGTCTGGACGGAGGAGAGTGTGTGTTTGTGCATGTGCATGTGTGTGTGTGTGTGTGTTGGTGGGGGGGGAGCGAGAGCAGGGCTGGCAGACTGCCAGCACTATGAAGGTTTAATGACAGTGCTACGTGTTGAGCGTGAGGCTGCTGCTACACCCTGCACTCAGTTCAGTACACAACAGCAGTATTCAGCTCCAGCTCCCAAGCTCCCTCCCCCAGGGGTCAGATAGCAAGTACATCCAGCCCTCTTTCACGGCATTCCGGCTAAAGACTACTCTTGGACAGCAAGCACGGGATCTTTCATTAGAACTTGAATTTGACCTCTTTTTTTTTTGTTTTACTTGCCCCGTTATAGGAACTTTTCTTCCCCGAAACATTACGTAATCACAGAGGGCGGCCTGTGCTTTTTTTCAAGGCTGCCATGCTGGGGTACCCATATAGATTCCCCTCTAATCCCTATAGAAACACTTTATGTTGGAGCTGCAGTGTAGCGTGACAAACTGCATGCATTCTTCACTTCAGTAGTTTTGCCAACAGTTCCAGTTTTTAAACTTTTTGTAATTTATACTATTAATACTTGACTGCAATTTCAATTAAATGTTCTACTTTTTACTCCACTACTTTTAAAACTATTTTCAGCTACACTGAACAATACTGCTGAGCACACACAATTAATTATCAGCCGGAATATGTTGACCATTCCCGTGCCGGTCAGGACCAGATGCATAGCTTCACGTCCACAGTCGGTTTTGCAATTTGGTGCCTCCCACATATTAGTTTCTGTTGTGTAATTAGATTCCAGATCTGCAATCAGCATAAACAACCGACACAGTACGTGACAAAAGTAGTGTACCCACACAGTTGACCAGCAAAAAATTAGAACGAAGTAAACATTTTACTTGCATGTTAAAAAATTATTTAGGCTAATTCTCTAGTAGTCTCTTGTAGGGTCATTTTATTTTATTTTTTCATGTTTTAAGTATTTTCTCCACTACTTCTCTGGTGAAATCTGCTGTTAAGTACTTTTATCAAGGACACAACAGCAGTGATCAGACAAAGGGCATCTCACCACAGGCAATATGAGGTTTAAGGGGATGGGGAGATATGCAGGGGCCCAGCAGCTGACTAAAGTGAAAGTGGCTCACTCACTCACTTCCCGTTGCCTCAGCCTTGGCTTCCTGTGAAGTGGAAGCTGTGGGGAGAGTCACGTACTACTCGTGGTACACTCTCGCATGGCTAGGTCTGACAGCCTATCTGTTGCATTCATCACCTACCACACCACAACATAACAAACAGCTACTGTAACTGTACTGAAAATTGCAGATAAAGGAGGACGATGAGAATGTATGTACTGTATGTAAGCTACAAATAATAAATACACTGGCCTTTTTTTAAATCGTTGTTTTTCCTGCTTTGTTTACCAGATATTCTGCAGATGTGCAGTCAAGCTGTTAATACAATGGTATAATGTACCTATAATAAAACATTTATTATTGACGATTGGAAATAAGAAAAGCTAATGAATTGTTGATAAAATTAGAGAGAAGCACAAAATCACTTGTACTGTGAGCCTTACAAGTAATGATACGTTTGGCATTTCAAGATACAGTGTGTGGTAATACATTAACAGTAAAATGAAAACAGTATCAGATACATATGAAATTGTATTCAAACAGATGTTTTATACTCATTGTTTACACTTTTAATACTTGTCATCACTCTTAGTTCAACATTCCAACAGTCACTAAAATTCAGAATTTCTGGAAAATGAATGACTATAATGACTCTTTTGAGCTACCCAACTGAACTCTGCATACTTTACATTGTGTTTAAAGTAGCCTCTTAAAGTATCAGAACACATGAAATATGAATACATGATTGAAATAAATGATGTTTTCTCGTATTTCTGCATATTACTGGGCATATTGTATGTGTGTTGTCTGATTAAAATAGCAGTACATTTTGTGCCTCCACTTCCAACAACTTAGACAATATGTACTTAAAGAGAGTGAAATTTAAATCTTTTATATTATAACAATATCATGCTGTAATTTCTTTGATTCCTGTCTTTGGACTATGTATGCATAAATCATAAAGACACAAGCGCTCTAGAATGTGGCAAGAATTCAAATCATACCCATACTACAGAAACTGAGCGTTGCACTGTCAACAATTTTAAGTATTTTTGGGGAAAAAGTTAAAAAAACAAGTAAAAATATAAAAATTAAATGAACAAAATTCAGAGGACTCAATATTACAAAAATACATACACTAGCATTCAAAAGTCTGAGGTGACTGCTTTCCATTCAAAAAAATAATAAAAAAGTTAACGATACATGTGTGAAAATGTATGAAATTGCTCTACAACTGCACAGATCTCAACTAACATGGAACTATGAAAAAAGAAGAAATGTTAATGTTTAGACGTGTCCGGAGTCATGAACAGAGTTGTCTATATTTGAGCATGAAATGAGCATGAAGAGCATAAAGTAATAGTGAAATTAACATAAAATACCTTCTTGTGTTTAGCAATTATATCAATCTACATGTTTACATCATTTTTGAATAAAATAACATGATATGACAAGTGATTTCAAACTTTTGCTAGTTGTTTATACAACTCAGAATATAAACAATTCAACAAGTGTGAACACTTTATTTCAGTGCTTTCGGAGAGCATTGCATTAGAACACACTGCAAATAAATGAAGTAGGAGCTGCCCAAATGGCTAAAGCAATCTGTTTAATCATAGAAAGTTTATATATTATATAGTGTTGTTGTCAACTTTTAAGTCAAGTTTAATAATGTTTTCCATTTTACAGTCTACAAAATTGGTAGTCATCATATACATTTGATTGCATCCTACTTTAATGAATTACTGTAATATTTAATATCTAATTTGGAGCTAAACTGTTGGGTTTTTTGTGGACCACAGATTAACTCTGTTAACTTTGTTTATCCCGTCCTTAACAGGTGACTATATTACAGTTCAGCATATCTGCTTCTTTCAGAAAGTACAGAAATTGATATTTTAACTGTGAGAAACAAACTCTAATGTCTGAATATTCGTTCCATCTGGACCTGTTTCCTCTTTGTTTACTTAAAAGGGAATTCCATCCATTTTTTCAAATGTTGAACTGTAAACAGTCATTCAGAGCGGTTTGGTGTGAAATTTATTGTTCATTTAAGAGAAACTTAGAAACTCAGATTTCATTACAGTAGTGGTGATACGAATCAGGTGTGATGTCTACAAAACAAATATAGCCACTTTATTTACTATCCAAAATGACCAGTGAATTCACAAGTCTTCCGAGTTGTTATATGTAACACTGATAATGGTAAAATAGTGGTAAATCTGAAGAACTAAGCTTTCTTTTGGGACTGTTTTGCCTGACAGCTCGATATGCACTGCTGTGAATAGGTTTTTATATACATCTTAGGCCTAAAGCTGATCTCAAAACTATTGTAAAACAATGTCTCAGGCATCAGACAGAATATTGATAACCATGTCATGTAATAACGTTCTGTGAGAATTAGCTTTTGGAGGCATTAAACTCCTCAGATGTCTGGTTCCCATCACAATTCTGACTCTGCAAGTTTCTCTAGAACTGAACACTTACATCAAAACGCTCTAAATGACTGTTTACCTCCTAATGGATTTAACTATGCAGACATGTTTGAAAAATCAGTGGAGTTCCCATTTAAACAAACAGTTCCATTTGTGCTTAATGGAGATCACCAAGCTGACACCAATCAGCTAAGTACACTCGTCAGCGATGCGCGTTCACGTTTCTGTGGTAAATAAAACGGGTGCACCTGCTGGGTTATTCTCATGCGCATGCGCACTGTACGCTACAGATGCTACAACTTCAGCCTGTGTCTCCTAGAGCATCTTAGTGGAGCTCTACTCGAATTTACCGCATCGTGCATGTGGAAAAAGGCAGAGCCGTCTGTTTCATGCATTTCACAAAACCTGTGAAAATCTCAGACTATATAGGATATGCAGGATATATAAAAAAGATTGGTGTGCTTTCATTTGGCTGCAGTGAAGACGAAAATCATTTTTTTAGCTCTTCTACACTTAAAAAAGATGGTTCTTCAAAGGGAATGGTTCTAGAGTAATGGGTTCTACATAGGATCTTTTCATGCTTAAATAGTTCTTTGCATGGTGAAATGGTTCTTCAGATTGATGGAGAATGTGTTGTATATGGTTCTATAGAACCTTTTTGAAAATGGTTCTATCTAGCACCAAAGGGGGTTCTTACATCGTAACAATAGAAGAACCCTTTTTGGCATTATACAGAAACATTGAAAAAGGTTCTATATAGAACCGTACACAACACATTCTTAATCAATCTGAAGAACAATTTCATTATGCAAAGAACTATTTAAGCATGAAATGATTCTATATAGCATCATGACTCTAAATAGAACCACTTCCTTTACTAAAGAACGCTTGAAGAGCCGTCTGTTTTAAGAGTTACAGGCTAAACAGCTGAACAGTAGCTGAAGAGAGTAAGTAAGGGTTAATCCTGAGTTCAGCTCAAAGTTAGCTCATATAAAATGCTCTACCTTCTTGGTGGTTATGTCTGAAAGAGACAGTATTTACTGTAAAAGAGCTATTTGGGCAGAAAGCCTCTCACCTTCGATCTCTCACGAATCACGTTTTTGCCCAGCCGTCCGATGCACAGAGAAACCAGCTTGTCGATCAGTTTGAGTAAGAAGTTGATGGCCTCCGCGCCCCTCTCTGTTCCGCTCACCCAGGCTATTTTATCGCCCCTTATGTGTCGTTTGGAAACGCCCGAGCCTCGACCAGCGAGCTGTCCGTCGTTCAGAAGCCCAGAACAGTGCATTTGCTTCACCTGCCCTAGCACCATACGTCCAACCGTGTCGCCCAAAAAATTATCCACGTAAAAAAACCCATGATCCCGGAGAGCGGGCACAATGTGCTCCAGAGCCAGCTGCTCCAACTTCATGTCCGCAAGATGCTGAAGAAACGGCATGTCTGCTCCGAGCTTTCTCCGCAAAATTACTGTCCTACAGCCTGCTGGTCCTTCAGCTTCACCAAAACGCTTCAGTCTCAGACAACTCGAGCCATTCAAAACAGCTAAAGAAGGTTAAAGTGAGTAACTCTAATCAGAGTTGTATCTGTTTACTTGTTACTGCAGACGTTGTACTCACGGAAGGAGCTGAAACACGCCCCCTTAACCTGCTTGGAAGTGTGCAACGTGCAGATCGTGTAGTAGCGCGCGACGGAGGGAGTGGGGCGGGGACCAGACCACCAGCATCAAACCCATTCACTGTGTTTTACTCTAAAGCGAGAGACCAACACGTTTGCCTGAAAAAAGCACCACTCAAACTTAATGAAGCTTATGAACGAGATCTGTAGAGTAACACGACACAGAGACACGACTCACTTCAACGACACGCGTCCAATATGACCAATAAATCTGACACGTCCAATGTGTGTTTATTTATTTATTTACGCTCGGCTACAGATGGTGGGCTATTGTAATGAGTTGTTCATATCGCGGTGGTATTTACGCTTTTATCATAAAGCACTGCTAGAAGTTGTCGTAAGGCGTCCTCCCGCCGCCCCCCGCCATTGAGGATGCGGACGGGAGCATGTAGGCTACAGCTCGCGCTGCACGTTCATCCAAACACACGTGCGCACCGTGTTTCCCTACCCGTGTTCCATCAGACTCCTGCCTCCTGTGATTGGCTAGTCGTACCGCTCCTAGTGTGATGATTGGCTAATCTAATCCCGCCCACCGGCATTAGGATTGGCCAGTAGTTCACACTCAGACCAAGTCTGTCGGAATATGGGTGGGAAACGTAATAACCCCGCCTTCTTTCATCTCGAAAACGTGTACAGTTGCAGTTGTTTCATGTCGAAAAAGTTTGGGCATTTTTTCTCTCGAATGGGCACAGCACAGCTGGAGCAATAACACAACACCACAGTATGTCTACATCATCATCATTCCCTTTTTATATGCTATTATGCAGAACTAACGACGGAAACCATCTCATTCTGTAAACATACATACTATATTACTCTAAAGAAATTACAAACAGCAACTAATAACTCCGTTATACAAATATAACACATTTGTTTACAAATGTAGCACAAGGTAATTACTGCTAAGACTCTACCCACAGAAACCAGTTCACTAAATTCTTATGAAGCATTCTTGTTCTTAACAAACCACCAACACAACTCGTATATTTTCATTACACTTTGTTTACATTATATTTGCTTACAGGTTCAGCGTAAGCTGGCCTTTTAGAAACAACCAACAACAACTGCCAACTCATTACATTTTGGCTATTATATGGCATATATTACACACACATTGTGTATTTAAGGGTCCTATATTATGTATTTGTTTACAGATGTCATTTATATACTTCAAGAAACTGCCAGCAGACCGTCCACTCTCAGAAAAAGGGTACTAAGCTGTCACTGGGAAGGTTCCCTCAAGGCTATGTCTTAAAAAAAACCTTTAGTAAAAGGACATAATATTAGTTTTCTAAGTTGTTTTGACTCCACACAGCCTGTCTGTCTTCGGCCTTTTTATTTTGTTGTTCTGTTTTAAAACACTGGGTTATGAAAAGGTACAAACGTGTACTTTCGCCTGAGAAAAACTTATTTAAGGTACTTAGTTGGACCTTAAAACAATTGTTGTGCCTTTGAGGGTGTATTTACGTTGTTTGTACCTTGATGGACAAAAATGTACGTACAGAGTACCTTTTTCTGACAGTGTTGTAGAGCAGTGCAGCCTTTAAATGTGTAATTAATGCACTTTTGTGCAGGCGGTCACTCTTGATTAAAGGGTGGTGGTGTAAAGGTTAGAGCCTAATTGTGCGGATACATGTGTGGCCATAAATCTTTAGTATTATTATTGTTGTTGTTGATGTTGAGGTTAAAGACATATACTGGAATCCTGACCTTGTGTCTCCCTCTGATCTTGTAGCTCCCAAGTTGGCCGTCCGCGACCGTGATGAGTTTGTCCATCCTGGACAGCAGGAAGCCGATGTTGTGGCAGCCCGCCTCGGTTCCGTCCACCCACGCGATCTTGTCCCCCCGAATGGCTTTGCTCTTGCCCCGCGTCTGGCACGCGAGCTGCCCGTCCTGCATCCTGCCGCCGTCGTGGATGCGCCGGACCTCGTGCAGTACCCGCTCTCCGATTCGGTTCCCTAGAAAGTTGTCCACGATGCACAGCCCGTACGACTTCATGCACGGCGCCACGTACTGCAGCACGAGCTTGTGCGTGTTGAGTCGCCGCCGCTCGCTGCTGACCGGCCGGTTGCTGCGCGGTTGCCGGAGCTCGCGCGGCACTCCGTCCTCGGTGTTGTCTCCTGAGCGCCGGCGCCTCGCGCCCCTCGCGCCCTCTCCAACCGCGCTGTCCTCAGCGCCGCTTCTCACGCTCGCGTCCTCCATCTGTCCGTGCGTTAACGGAGCTGCTGTGCGTCTCGCTGCTCGCCTTTCTCGCGCTGGATGGGCGCGCCCGCGCGTGCTACGTGAACGGGGAGCCGTGCGCCCGAGACCACATTTATCACTCTAGCACTCGCTCGCTTTAGGCTACCCTATATAACATATCAGCTGAGTCATGCATATGGAAGGCGTATAGGCAATAACTTCTCAGAAAACTCTGTGGTCCGCGTTAAGGCCTGTCCGAACGGTAAGAGGTCGCTCGGTGGCGCGCGCGATCGTGCGGAAAGTGTGCTCTGCACGCAGCTGCTTTTGCTTTTACTTTTCGAAATGCCGAAGTGTGAGGAGGAGGCAGCGCGCTGAGCGAAGCCTTTAACTTACAGATGTGTTCAAAGTGAAATTAGAGCGCAGTTAAACACTCTCTGTGAACTCCAGACTGGTCTTAAGTTTATTTTGGTGGAGTGAACGCGTGAGCCTGACATTAGTCCCTTTTTGTTTTATAGGCCACTAGCAAGAACCGCAAATGGTCATTTCGGTCATTTAGGCCTGCTGTACATTAAAATGGACCCTGCATGTACAGTCTGAAAGTTAAACCTGGCTGAGCATGAACTTCATCTGGTTGAACATGAATTTAACCCGATTAAACATGAATTTAACCCAGTTGAATACAAACTTCATCTGGTTAAACATGAATTTAACTTGATTGAACATGAATTTAACCTGATTGAACATGAATTTAACCCGATTGAGCATGAATTTAACCAAGCTAATATAGATTTGCTTTATTTGTGGCCACATAAAAAAATTGCAGTTCTGAACCTTTTTTGGCAGTTTACTAAGGTATGTTTAAATTGCATCTGTGTCCACATGCATACTGATTACATGCCATAAAGTAGGCTGTGATTCCAACATGGTAATAAACTCTCCTTTCATTCAAGTTTGATGTTGTTTACTTCTGAGCAATCAGCCTCCAGATCAGACACCATTTTTCCCAAGTGTTTATATTATACTCAATAATGACTTTCCTCACATGTTACTTAACTATTTCCTTTACACTTTTAGCAAATAGAGTTCTATACAGCACCAAAAAGGTTCTATAACTTTATAACAATACTGGAACCCTTTTTTGGTGCTATATCAAGAACCACACACTACAAGAACTGTTTTCCATCATAAAGAAGAACAATATAACTATGCAAAGAACAGTTTATGTATTTAAATAGTTCTTTGAGTAGTTTTTATGTTATCTTTGCTTTTACCTTGAATAAACCTTGAAGAGCCATTTTTAAGGGGTATACATGCATGTTTTCCACAATCTAATAGTAATCAGCACTCTATGCTTGCCTTTTATGGTGGTGTAGCAGTGGTTACCTATGATCAGCCTTGGGCTGAGTGTGTGTAATTTTACAGGAAGTGGGTAATTTTCTGGAGAGCCGCTATGGATATCTACTTAAAGCAGATGCATCTAAAAGGTTCCTTACAGGAATAAAAATAGACTTCTTTGCAAGGATATAACAGGAACATAAAATCAATGCATTGTTAAGGGAATAGCAAACCATCACATAATACTAAGGTTTAAATAATAATTGTACAAGTATTTTACCAGTGCCACGTTCAAAATTAGTAAGTCTATATGTGATTCTGATGCATTTAGCTGTGGCTGGTGAGGGACTTATATAGATTTGCCTTATATGCTGGCACTGAGCTGGGAGAGGCCTGTTAAAGGTTTGTTGGTCCTGTTTACTAACACCTTCAGGCAGTTGCTCAAAGCCAGTGGAGCAATTATAATTGCAGTGTTAGCAGGTCACTATATTTGCACTATATCTGAGGTGCAAACTCCAGGCAACCCATGAGCATGTACGTGAGAACATCCTCATCCTGCAGTTTAAACAGTAACCAGCTGCTATTTTCATTCTGAGTCCATGCCAGCAAGATGAATCTGAGAACTGGATTGAATGTCATTGGTTGGTCTGGAAGGTCCCACCCATAATACATCCTGCAGGTGGCAAGCCCACACAAGTAGTGCCTGTACGTATTCCTACACATTAAACGTAAGCTTCTGAAGATTAACCATACAGATCAAGCCACTTTGCCAAGACTTACATACTTGTTCTTGTCAAGAATCTGATTTGCTCTGCTCTCTGAGTGACCAGTCTTTTAAACTGCAACCACCATGAACAGCAAGCGTAGTGAACTATAATAATCAAAAGATTATCACACTCTTCATAGTTGTCAAGAAAACGTAATCTATACATAGCTTTAATAATGACACTTTTGGAAGGTAACGGGTGAACGTACGATCAGACTGTAGTCAGGTGACCTTAAAAACTCACATTTGTAACACCATCCCCCCTTTAGCCATATTCTGTCCAGGGTGTGGCATTATTCAGTACAAATTACAAACAAGATAAGAGCAACGCACTGAACAGTAACAGTGAAAGTTGTCACATTCAATAGAATTTGTTTATCCAAGAAAAGACTGACCTCACCAACTGAACCATGGTCGACCCTGACATTGGCCGATGACATTTCAAAAGAAAAAGTCGCCCTTTGTGTGTAAACAAGATTGTTGACGTTTAGAAATTCCAGGCATCCAAAATTTTTCCAGCATACAAGATTCCATTTCCTTTTCAAGAACACGATCAGTGGCATACTAGATGTAGCATATGAAACTCTCCATGGAGACTACGACAATGTCTCGATGGAAGAAAATGGGCCTGTACTACATTTTCCCTTCTTTATAATAAAAGCCTTTGATGTTATACTGTTAAAACTTTCAAAATGTACTGTACACCCTTTAGTCCATAGTCCATATATGCAAATGAAGCTATAAAAACATCCCATTTTGATATGTGTTTTTGTGATGTCACATTTACATATACAGACTAGCAGATTACTATTGAAGTGAGCAGTTTAGCCCTGTCCATTCATATTCAAGTTATAAGAAGTGTTTCAGACTAGACTGCTTTCTGAATGAGATACAATACAGGGCAACCAATCAGAACAGATGACATTTACATATACCTGCCTTAAAGGCACAATAACAAAAAAAACAGCCTGTGCAGCTATAAGGGACAATTGGAAAATGTCACATAAAAATGACCTCTGACAGTTTTTGTACATAAAATCACACAAATATCATAAATAGACCTCATGGGGAAAAAGTGCAAGAAAAAAAGGTTATGGGCTCTTTATCCAAATTTCTTTTCACATCTCATTTGTCACAGCAGTAAAAAAAAAATAAATAAAAAATAAAATGAAAAGGTGGACACGGTATAAAGTGATGGAAGTGTTTATTTAAGTAATATTTAAATACACATAAGGGAGAGGTGCCACACAGTTACCACCTGAGAAACTTGTTTAGTTTTAAATTAGTAACATTCATGAGACTGAACATACAGGCAGTTCTCTGCAAGGGGTCATACAGAAGATGAATGGCAGGGGGTGGAAAAAACACAGGTTATCTATACAACGCTACATTGTGGTAAAACAAAACTCATCACCAGCCAAAATAATTCTTTATAAAATATTACAAATATGTATACATTGAAATATACACATTATCACAAAATATTTACTATCTCAATAAACCACTGCCATCAAAGGAAATTGAAGCATTATAAAAGTGTCAGCATTATATAAAAAGATGCATCAGGGCAGTATGTGCTCAGAGTCTGAGAGACTGCACGCTTACATGGGGCTACACAGCCACAGACATTAACACTACAATGGATCTGTGTATTTGCCTCCTTTGCCGATTCCTCTTCAGGCTTCTCCACTGTCTCAGCCCACCAAACTGTTCATGTCTCCAGCGATTGTAGGCACAGGGTAAAAAGCCCTGCAAGAGAACTCCTCTTTCTAACCGCAAGGGGGAAACCATGGGCATCCTGAAGTGTCAGATGCTCAGACTGTCACTGGACCACTTCAAAGTAGTGTAAAATGGCCATGATGTGCTGGGGCATGAACACATAGCCTGTGTACACCGCCATTGCTGCTACAGAGATCAAGAGAGAATCTGACATGATGTTAAAGAAACTTTACTTTTTAGAGAAGAAATAACCAGGGTAATTTGACATGCTGTTTATTTGAAAGAAACACTGATGTTCACAGAACTTGTGCCATAAAGTCTGTTCTTAAATAGTGCATACAAGGGTATACCCTATTTTTATTCACAGAGTGAATAAAAGGTAATAATAATAAAACCTTCACCAAAAATAAAACAAATTATTCAGTTGTTGGGCTATAAACACCTAGAATAGGGGAACATAAGTACCATCACTAAAATACTGTTGTGCGGACAAGATCGGATATTATTATAATAATAAAAACAAGGAAGTGGAACAGGTTCATCTTTTGTACTCAAGGTGGAAACCATGATACCGCTCCAACAGGTGCCTTTACTGCCTGCTGTTAAACTGTGAGAAATTCTTTAATACTAACTAAGATCAAAGGTCACATGTTTTAAGATCACTTTTTAACAGCTACAGCCATAAACTCCTGTCCCAAAAGGCACCTTAGTGACATCACTTGAAGTCAACAAGATAAAAGCATATAGAAGATCTTAAGGACACATGGTTTAAAAGTATGCATTTGGGACTAGCGATCGGGGATCGATTCCAAAAAGAGTCCATTCCTTGACTCCAACACGTGTGGAAGTCAGGGTCAACTCTCAGCCCAGGACTCAGAGTGAACTCTTGGAGTCAACTATTTAACTCTGTTGACTTTGTGTTTTTTCACTGTAATTGGTTGAGCGACCTATTGACGGAGGTGTGTGTAATGCAGAAAAGAGTCCGAGTTTGAGGAGCATGACTTTGTTAATTAAACAAGCTTTAAACAATGGCAGCGCTGCTCCCCAGCCACTGACCAGCTGGTCACAAACTCTGCTCACAATCTTTCCGGTATGTCCTACACTGCTATGCCATCCATTTTCTTCATGATTAGGGGTCAATAAACAATGATTTGAAACAGTACAAGGGACAAAAAACAAAAACAAACAATATTTTTCACAGAACATTGTGGAAAAGAAGATGAAGCTGAAGTTGGCTTCTTATTTGCCAGCATTTCATTCTAATTTTCTGTTCCACTTGAAATGGTGTTGCAGTTAGGCTGGTGCACCATTAAGGTAACTGGTGCACCATTAGATCTATTCTACTCTAAACTATGTTTAGGATGGTTTAATCTCTGCTATATCCTTTAATCATCAGTTCTGGTGCTGACTTGGTAAAAAATAAATAAATAAATAAATAAATAAATAAAAAAAGACACATAGAGTCAAGAGTCTGAGTCAATGCCAGAAAACTATTTGTGCACTATTTGGGACAGACTTGTGCATTACACTGGTTATAAACATACTATACCCAGTGAAACAGTCATCCTTCATACTTTTTTTTTTTAATTAGCTAATTTGCTTATCTACAATGGCTCAACCCAGATTATTACAACAAATATATTTAGCAACAAATACATTCTGGCTCACACTTCAATATCATCTTCTCAGCCTTGTTGGTCAGACCCTATTCTAGCGCATGGAAAATTGGGCCAGAAGATGCAGAGGACAGTTGTGGCCCTTGCCAAAGTACCCCTTTGAATTGCAAAAGAGAAATGGGACACTCTGTGGCCTTGCAGGTATGTACAAATAAGGACCTGATAACCACCAACTGTGACCCTAGACTTCACTAGGCTAGTCTGCCTCACAACTTCTATGTGAAATAAAGTACTAAATACTTTGATAAAAGCAGTTTAACAGGAATAAATAACTTAGAGAAGTAGTGACATCCATTGTTGTTGAGTTAAAGGTGGGATCCCTGGGGGGCATATGTGGATTTCACAAAGCAGGATTTCTCAGTAAGCTGGACAACTTTAGCCAAAACTTGAGAACTGTCCAACAGGAATGTTCCTTAGCTCTTCTCCTATTTTACAGGCTTGATTTTGGCCTTTGTGAAGTTATGTTTCGTAAAATGCCTCCTGGGCTTGATACTGAGCTTTGTTAATGTTAGATTTATCTTAATTCTTCCTGAAAACCCGGAGTCACTATCACAAGCCTCTCAAAATGGTGGGCGTGGCGATCAATGAAAACACTTTGAACCGAGAATCATCTAATGTTTGCAAGCCCTACAAAAACTCGTTTAGATAAAATACAGATCATGTGTAAGATATTTCAAGCTTATTTTAAACCATTTCTGTCGTGATGCACGTAGGCCGAGTCTTGATATGGAACACAAACGCCCTTCTTCCGCACGGTGGCGGAACGACGTGATGACGTAGGAACGTAGCCATTAGCGCTGAGCAGATCTTGTGATCTCCAAGTCATAAGTTATGGAACTTTAAGGGAGACAACGATTTGAAGATCTGGCCATCAGCCCGCACGCAAGTCCCAACGTAAGAAACTGAACACGGCCATGTAGATCATTGTTCAGATTACTTAACTATTAGTAGTTACTACTTTATATTAGGAATATTACAGTACTATAATAATAGTGCTTCCTATTGTTACTGATGTTATAACTCTAGTAACTGTACAAAACTGTTAGTGTTCCTAGTAAGCTGATGCCTTGCTCTGATGAATCACCCCAGATAATTACACCATCCAAGTTTCTCAGCTTATTCTTCTTGAGTTACGGGGCTAAGCCGGTTATCAATGAAATGTTCGGTTCGTATTCGGTGTAAATTAAAAATCTAGAACGTAAAGACTTCTGCTAATATTATTAGCTGCTAAGCCTATGGGTGACTATTAATTATTTCGCTCACTTGTTGCTATCTGTGGCCACAGAGCTAGTTACTTACGAAGCTGAAGCCAGCTTCTTGTTCGAATTTCCCGGCCCACCTTAAATGGTGCAGCAGTTACATTCTGGCGCCTAATTTAAGGTGGAACGGAAAAATGCCAACAAGAAGCTGGCGAATAGGAAGCCGACTTCTGCCTTGAGCTAATTAGGTTAACGTAGGATAATGGCACAGAAAGTCACCAAAATAAAAAGGGAAAAAACACAATTTCAAGAAAGGATACTGAAGACGGTTCGCTCCCAAGGCTCCAACATGTACAGTGCGGTGACAAGCAGATATTGGTAGTAAAACCAAGATATTTGTTTCCAAGCATCTCCAATCGCCATGTTCTCCTTACTTGCTCGTCTTGATTCCTCCGCTCCCTTCCGGCTTCTTCACAAAACGCGGATTGGTGGAAGTGCACAGTGACGACACGGCGAATCACGCGCCTACTTTCACCCGATAGGACGTTTCTGTGTGGGGTGGCTGTACAAATTTACATACTCGTTTGCATACGGCTTTGTGATTAGATATTTATCCAGAGAAACAAACAATGGAGCTAGATAACATTTTATTAGAAAAATCAGGATTAAATATTACTCATAGAGATACATTTCGAGAAACGTTTAGAAATGATGTGGGAATTTTGCAACGCAAAATTAATTTAAGCTTGAAGCTTGAAAAAAATCGAGATTTGAAAAGAATTATTTTTGAAGAAAGAGGAGTTTCTTCTATAATGATCTGAGAAAGCTGAGTACGGGGCAGAGGAGAGAGGATTTAAGACCTCTATTTTTAAAAACGGACACTAGATGGCAGTATACCTGCATTTATTCTACTGTTGCGATATTATACACTATATGGCCAAAAGTATGCGGACACTTGACCATCACACTTAATTGAGGTTGTCGGACATCCTATTCCAAAACCATGGGCGTTAACATGGAGTTGGCCCTCCTTTTGCAACTATAACAACTTCCACTGTTCATACAAAGCTTTCCACAAGATTTTGAAGTGTGTCTGTGAAAATCTATGCCCATTTAGTCAAAGAGCATTTGTGAGGTCAAGACACACAGCATATTATCAATGAAATGTTCATATTCTGTCTTCTGCTAATCACATTAGTTCCAAGTTTATGAGTGAATATTAATAATTTTGCTCACATAGCGGTACCCACCAAGCTAGTTATGAAGCTGATGCTGGATGAAAAGGCTTGCAATCAACATTCCAATTCATCCCAAAGGTGTTCAGTGAGGTTGAGGTCATGGCTCTGTGCAGGCCACTGGAGCCCCTTCATACCAAACAGGACACACTTATGCTGGAACTGCAGAGTCTTCCCCAAACTGTTGCCACGAAGTTGGAAGCATGTAATTGTCTAAAATGTCTTTGTATGCTGTAGCAGTAACATTACTTTTTACTGGAACTAAGGGGCCGAGCCCAAACTCTGAAAAACAGTCCCAGACCATTATCCCTACTCCTCCAAACTTTACTGTTGGCACTGTGCATTCCAGTAGGTATGAGGTGTTCTCCTGGCATCCACCACACTCAGATTCATCCATCTGCCTGCCAGACAGTGAAGCATGATTCATTACTCCATAGTCCAGTGATGGCATGCTTTACAACGTCAGTCCATGCTCGACATTGCGCATAGTAATCTTATGCTTGTGTGCAGCTGCTTGACCATTGGAAACCCATTTCACAAAGTTCCCAACACACCGTTCCTGTACTTATGTTGCTTCCAGAGACGGTATGTAGTGAGTGATACAACAGAGGATAGGTGATTTTTAGGCACTACACAGCAGGCCCGCTCTGTGAGTTTGCATGGACTACAGGTTTGTGGCTGAGCTACTGTTGCTCCTAGATGTTTCTATTTCAAAATAATAGTACATGCAGTTGACTGGGGCAGATCTACCAGGAAAGAACTTTCACAAAGACAGTTTAAATTTCTACATCCGCCACCCAGAGGGAATGCAGTCTATGTTCATTTGCTCTTTGATGATGTGTAATTTTAGTAGGAAATGCGCTATGTTAAACAGGAGGAGTGTCACTCTATAAACTCAACCCCACACATGGAATTTACTATCACTATTAATGTAAATATGAGCATAAAGTCCTTGGTCATAGTACAGCTGAACAAACCCCCCAGGACTCTTGACAAATACATAAAACATACAATTTTACGATAAATCTTGGGATCTCAGTGAGCTATCGGTTACATTTGAAGATTGGAACAGAACCCAGTGTAAGGTTGCTACTAGTCCACAAATTCAGATTCACAGTCAATTCTTGTAACAGGTATCAGCCATTATAATACACCATCTTTAAAAACAGCAGTCTCAAAAAAAGATTTATTTAAATAATGCAAGAAGTGACTAACACAGAGTCTGTTTGCTTGTAACTGTTTGTGAGATATTATTCCTACTTTTTCATTCAATGTAAGACTATATCAAATGTCCTGCATCACTTAAAGTAAAAAAAAAGAAAGAAATACACGTAAATCTATTTGTAAATCAAAAAAAAAAACTAATTGTAAAAACTTTTTACACATATTTTACATTAACGTCCATGAATACAGAAGTGAAAAACAGATTAAATCCTTTTCTACAACATTCCCTTATTCTCACCTGCGTTTCATAATCAACCTGTAGACAGTGATTTTAGGAATAAAGGCTGTCTGGAGTCCTGTGTCACACACATTATCTCTTCAGCTGTGGCTTGCGAGGATGTTGAAAAAATGGTAGACCTCATCTTTATCAAACACAGCCACTTCGGTAGAACACTCTGTACATTTGACTGGATGATATATCTCTTCCTCATCCATTCCACTCAGTCTGGAATCAGTCAGACCTGCCTCTGCCTTTGTCTCTGTGGATGTAGATGTGGCCACAGAGCCTTGATGACCTTTCTTCCTGCGTCGGTTCTTCTGTTTGGCTGATTTATACTTCAGCACTTCATCCTTACTCACTGTACAGTTCATCACAAACATGGCTCGGTACTGCGTCCTATACTTCTCATGTCTGTGGACAAAGAGAAGAAGAATCCTTTACGTAAAATGTTATATATTTGCTATTTTCAAATGGGTGCGGGAAAGTAAAACCAGGTTTTGATTTGACAGTGACAATATAATTAATCAAAATGGGCAGCTACTGGTGGACTAGTGCAATAATGCCTTCACCTCTGACAGTCCAGACATAGTGTGGTCATACATGCAGGACAATTGAGGACAGCATCACTGCTCGGGAGAGGGCGAGATTTGTTTCTTTTGTCTGTAGATGATGTGGCCCTTCTGTGGCTTCTGTACCTGTATCCAAGCAAACGTTTATGCAGAAAACATGAGCTAATTTTATGCTTTTGTCTGTGTAAGCTAGAATTTGATTACTGTAGTAATTTTAGCTGTCCTTCGGTACAATACTCACTCTTTTCTTCTGGCATCTACCCATGCCTGATCCCGATCATCTTCATCTGGGTCATATAACAGCTCATCATTTGTAGGTTTAAGACGCTGCTTTCTCCTCTGACTCTGGGAGACACCTGAAACAGATCATCAAACCCACAATGAATACTGATGTCTCTAAGGGACAGCACGTAGCGCTGTTGCATTAGTGCTTTTCCTGGCATCCTTACCGGCTTGGCTGTCTTCATCTGAATCTGAATCAAAGTATATGTTGTCATACTGCTGAGGGTGCGTTCTTGCCATGTTTTGTGTTGCAGCATTGCCACCGGTTTGAGAGGTCTCACCTACAAGTAAAATGACTCTCTGTAAGTAATCACATAAGTCCTCCACAGATCAGGCACAGCTTCGACTGGGAATGTTATAATAGTAACCTTGAGTTGATGGAAAGTTCCAGTTGCACTCCATGGATTTCATAGTGCTGCTCAGCTCTGCCTCCATCTCTTTCTCAAACTCATCGCCACTGGATGACTCGCTTTCCCCAGTCAAATACTCTCGGATGAGCTTCTTCTTCTGATCTGGAGTTCCATTAAGAAGAATGTCGAGCTCATCTTCAGAGCTAAAGGACAATACATACAAACAAAGTCAACCATACTGCTTCATTTTTTGCGATTAGTGCATCAGGTCAGATGCAATCACACACACACACACACACACACACACACACACACATACATACATTATATATATACACCGATCAGGCATAACATTATGACTACCTCCTTGTTTCTATGCTCATTGTCCATTTTATCAGCTCCACTTACTAAATGGGTGCACTTGGTAGTTCTACAATTACAGACTGTAGTCCATCTGTTTCTCTGCATACTTTGTTAGCCCCCTTTACCCTGTTCTTAAGTGGTCAGGACCCCCATGGACCCTCACAGAGCAGGTACTATTTGGGTGGTGGATCATTCTCAGCACTGTAGTAAAACTGACGTGGTGGTGGTGTGTTAGTGTGTGTTGTGCTGGTACGAGTGGATCAGACACAGCAGTGCTGCTGGAGTTTTTAAACACTGTGTCCACTCTATTAGACACTCCTACCTTGTCAGTCCACCTTGTAGATGTAAAGTCAGAGACGGTAGCTCATCTGCTGCTGCACAGTTGGTGTTGGTCATCCTCTGGTCCTTCAGTAGTGGTCACAGGATGCTGCCCACAGGACGCTGCTAGCTGGATAGTTTTGGTTGGTGGACCATTACAGTGACACTGAGGTGTTTAAAAACTCCAGCAGCACTGCTGTGTCTGATCCACTCGTACCAGCACAACACACACCAACACCCCACCACCAGGTCAGTGTCACTCCAGTGCTGAGAATGATCCACCACCCAAATAATACCTGCTCTGCTGTGGTCCTGTCCTAACCATTGAAGAACAGGGTTAAAGGGGGGTAACTGTAGAACTACAAAGTGCGCTTATGTTAACTGGAGCTGATAAAATAAACAATGATAGGAGATACAAGGAAGCGTTCCTAATAAAGTAATCGGTTAGTGTGTGTGTATATAATCTAGCCAACTCCAGCCACGTTTTAATACTCTTGAAATCAGTGGTATTAATTTTCCTGAGGTAACAGTCTTTACACTTCTAGGAAGGCATTACACGAGAAGTTGGAACACTGCTGTGAGAATTTGGTTGCATTTAGCCACAACAGCATTAATGAGGGCAGGTAGTGATGTTGGATGATTAGTTCTGGATCTTAAATACCACTCCCAGCTCATCCCAAAGGTATTTAATGGTGCTTCATCACTCCAGAGAATGTAGTTCCACTGCCCCACAGCCCAACTGGGCACGATGACCGCAGACTCATGTGCAGCTGCTCGAGAGCGTCATTGCCATTCATTTGGCAATACTTTTCTATGAAGATTGTACAAGCTGTGTATGCTCTTAAAGCAGATTCCGTGTAGAGCTGCTGATCTTTAAGAATGTATCTGTACAGTTATATGGAGTGTAAACCACAACGTGTACATACAAAACTAAAAGCCACAGTCAAGTCCACACTGGTTCTGTTTACAACATTATTACAGCACTTTCTACCTGACTGCTCTCTCTTCGTCACTCGGTTCCTCAATCTCGTAGGAGTCATATTCTTCTTTTCGGTTCATTGTTTTTCTTTAATCCAGAAAAAGGATAATATAACAGAAAATTTCTTTCGCTCTGATAACGGCAAATATACCAGATGATGAGACGGGAGCACTGACTGATTCCGGGTTAATTATTTTCCGTCCATGCGATGCTTCAAAATAAAAGTCATTTGAGGCTACAGGTTAACTTTAAAAAAATATTTACCAGAGATGTAACGTTTATGAGTTTTTATGGCCGATTTCTTTACAACCATTTTTATTGAGTGAACAAAATGCTCTTTTATTATTGGCATTTTAAATTTCGTAAATGAAAAATCAAATAAAGTTCTACATTGAAAGTAAGAGGCAGCTGGCTGTTTACCACAATCAGTCATCAGTCATGCGGCGTGGTTACCTGACCTGTGAATGGACCAGGCCCCTGGATTTCAGTTGGAAGTCTATGAGCTGAGGTGGCGCATGACTTTTTTTATTATTTCATATACTAAGTCATTTGTATGTATCCAAGACCTTTTCATTCATTTCATTTTTTACATCTGTAGTGGATTGTCTTGAGTCTTTGAGCCTCAGGCCTTGTGATCAGAGGTCTCTTGGCGCTGGCCTCACTGGCCTTGTCCGTATTCCACCCCTAACAGGAGCATTCAAACACAGCAAGAGTGCACTTTCCTGCCCCAGTGTTTACAGTCACAATATTTACAGACATAAAATTTGGCATAAAACTATAACACAGATTTGTTTAAACTAATATCAAGTATTAAGCAATGAAATTTAGATTGAGACCCTTATTAGTCCCACAACAGGGAAATTTCACCTCCGCAATCTAACCCATCCATGCAGTGAAACACCACATACACACTCGTGAACACACATCTAGGGGGCAGTGAGCACACTTGCCTGGAGCAGTGGGCAGCCCTATCCACAGCACACAGGGAGTAGTTGGGGGTTAGGTGCCTTGCTTAAGGGCACCTCAGTCATGTACCGTCGGCTCAGGGGATCAAATCAGCGACCTTGCGGTCACAAGGCTGGTTCCATGACCTCCAGCCCACAACTGCCTGCTCTAATGAGTTAAGATTTTCTTCATATCTCAGTAGAACAGCATTCATATGGGCAGCAGTGTTGACGGTTAACGTTATTTCCTGGAATGTACCTGGCTAGAGTATGATTCAGAAGACTCTTAAAATTGAACAGAATTTTCTTCATGCTGAGCTTTTTCCACTCACATGAAATGAATTCTATCACATAAGGTAAACAGTATTATTTATTTTTGTCATGTTCATTACCATTTTATCACCATTTTTACTATTTATGTCAGCATTCCTCCATCTGAATAAATGGAAGCTTTGGTCACATACTGTGGAAAAAAACACATTCATATACAGTGCACTTAAAAAGCCGGGGATGTATTCATTTATGATTTTTACAATATCTGATTAGTCTACATATTAAGGCAAACAATGATCCATTATTTGTTAGGAATGAAAAAAAAGGAAAAAATGTATTAATTTTGCTAAAGAGCATGATACAAAAGGAAAACTATGAGTCTGATTAAGATGATCAACAGCAATACAGCGAAAACTAATACAACATGTACAAGGCTTTGAGTGACCATACACTTTAATCATAGTAACAATCAGCTCAACTTGAACAAGACAACTGAGCAGCATCCATACAAAAGGATTACCGAAACTAAAGACTCTGGGATTACAATAAGCAAAAATAAACACGTAAAAAGAAAACAATTAGACAGAAATTACAGGAACATAAATGTGTTCATGAAGCAATTGTCATGAAAAACGTCAATTAACAATCAGAAGTTACAAGACGCGATTAACTGAATTTGTTGGTTCTTGTGCTGTGTGGACTTGGGAAATCTTCCACAGTGGGCCGCGTCACTTTAAGGCGGCAGTGGAGGGAGTATGGTGTCTCTGGTAGTGATACATACAGATGTTTCTTGACAAACAGACCCCAGGTATGCTCTCTCCTCCAATCCTCCAAGTAAAGACGGGACCAAAGCAGGGAAAGCCCTAGACAGAGAAGCCTGTTCTAGGGTCTAAGTGTCCCCTTTTAGAACAGCCAGACAGCTTTGCAACAATTGTAGATTACCCTTTAAAAGAAGACAGTGAACAGTGAGTATCAGGGCAATGTAAAGATTTTCTCTGATTTTCTTCCATTAATACGCTCAGTGACATAAAACCACATTAAATTAGGTTATATTTCTGCTTTTAAACGAGGTGAAATCTTTCCATCATGGAATAAAATTTACCTTTGCATGTTTGAGTTCAAGCTCAGCTAGTTCCACCAAGTTCTTTCTGAATGCTGCTACTCTTCTTGTTTTGAAATCTATCAGTTCTGTTTTGGTTGGGGGAAAAAGTCCACACATAAGCAGCACCATAATTTAAACATTCCTTCTGTACAATAAGTCTTTAATCTATGGGAAATACAATACTGTTTATGTAAACTTCAAAAGGAAATTACTGTGAAACTGTGCAATGAAAGAAAATATCAACAAGTACCTTGTTTAGCTGATTCTGAGATTTTCTCAAACTTCTGACAGCACACCTGCTGGGTGGTTTCTGCTTGAAGGACGTCTTTGTTTTTGGCCCTGGCTTTGTCCAGAGCTTTGTTGGCATTCTCGTAATCAACTAATGCCCTTCCTCGTCTGTACAGAAGGTCCTGAAAGGCAGCAAAGGACAGATCAAATGAACTCAACTCTGCTGTTCAAACACAAAACTAACACTCTTGACCACACATGAAATGCTGAGCCTGTTATCACACATGCTGTAATCTAATAGTGTAAACAATCATGAAAGCAGCATCTGAAATGGCTTGCTATGTGATATGAGGGATGGTAAGGGTCAGACAGCATACCTTGGCAGCTTGCGACTCCCTGAGGTAATACTTCAACAAGTCAGCAAGTTTTAGGTCCTCATCAGCAGCAACTCGTGCTTCAATTTTCTGAGCAGGAAACATACAGACGGCATGAGATGGACTGACAGGAAGAGAGCAGATGACCTTATGATCCTTGACACACTGTGCTCAATTAGTATGGCCTTGTTGTAAAACTGCTGACGTTCACTGTGCATTCAGCACCAAATTAGCTGCCTCTCTCTTCAGAGAGAGAAAAGAGCTTTAAGGCACTTCCTCATTAAGAGTTGAAAGACTCTTATTCATGAGGGGCTACCTTCAGATCTCTCTTCAAACCTTCTCAAGGCTTAACTTGAAAAACTAAATTGGGCCATGGTGATACCACAGTTTGCAAACTAGCATAACCACAGTAAACTACAACATATAGTTAAATTAAATATGGTATTAAAGGGGGAATTCCACCATTTGTTTCAGAATTTCTGCATAATTAAATGGTTAGATGTAAGCAAGTAACTCAGAGTGGTTTGATGTCAAATTTTCCTAGCTAGAATTGTTCATAGCGTTGGTGATAGGAACCAGACATCCGAAGCTTTTAAAAAAGCTTTAAACGCCTCTAAAACTACCTCTCATAAAGTTATCACATGACATGGTTAAGAATACACTGCCTGATGTTGTGGATATTGATCTATATGGTTTTGAGCACATTTTTAAAGCCATTCATTGCAGAGAAGTACATGCAAAGTGTAAAAAATAAACAAATAAATAAAAGAGTATGTTTTTTCCCAGACATACCACTATTTTACCTTTATCAACATAACAAATAAATGCTCAGAAGAGATGCAGGATCACTGACGGTTTTGGATAGCATATGAAATGGCTATATGTTGCATGGTTTACATAGCAACCCCTGGTTCCTATCACTACCACTGTAAAGAAATGAGTCCGTAAGTTTTTCTACCACTCTGAATGATTTTGTTTACACTAACCAAATTATGCAAAAATATATGAATTCCTCTTTACTGTTGGAAACCATATACTAGTTCCTTCCTGTGGTTTACCATGCCTACAATAAAATGACACTGAAGTAAAGCAGTTAAAAATGCTTTGCACATACCCGTGTTTTCTCAAAAAGCTCTGACACTTTCAAGAAAAATCTGAAAAGAAAAAGGAAAAAAAAACGAATTCACCATAAGACACAAAGTTATGTTTATGGAGGCTAAAACAAGATTAAAAACTGTATATACAGCAGCTTGGTCGATCCATCAAGCTAAAGTGGGGGTGGGGACAGCGTTACATACTTGCACATATCCGTTGAGTCCTGGGTCCCTAAAGTGTATAGTGTGGAGGCAATTCTGTTGATGTCATCTGCAGCACCTGTAAAAGACCTTCTGTTACACCTCCATACGAAGCACACAGATATTCAGCAAAGTGCTCAGCTCTGCAAACTCAAGGCCAATACTTATCCATGCACTGACTCACTCAAGCCATTCATTCCTTCAGTTAAAAAGCACTCACTCTGATTTTCAATTTTCCACTTCAGTGTGTCATGTTTCACTGCCACAGAAAAGAATACACTTCACCCAAGACTCACACACCAAACAGGAGACAACTGATTAAAGAGGAGACATGCCAGGTGACTGCACATACGCTTGCCATAAACTGCTAGTTGCCGTGATGAACAGCATTAAAGTCGCCAGACGTATCTAAAGAACACTGACAGAGTTATATCAGATATACAGTGTGGCTCTCCTGCTCAGGCATACAGAGAAAACTGCACTTACCAGTTTCCACATTTGTAAGCAAATTAATGCAAAACAGAGTAGACATAAAATACTGTACAGAACATAACACACAATGAAACATGACACACGTGGCATTTTTGGAGAATTTTGGAGAGTTGCATGTTTGGTCCTCAGATTTATCAGTTTGGCCTGAGGTGAGGCATGAACTGTTGCCAGAAGACAAGATTATTTTCCATTCCAAGACTGTTTTCCATTTCCAAACGTACCACATATTGCTGACACCCCCCTGTGATGTGTGGTCAAACTATACCACTTCTTAGTGGTGATGATAGATCTTCACAAGTTAAAAATGCATAAGTGATATATTTTTCTGCTTACATATGTTGAAAGTGTATTACAAGCATGTAAGTGAAGAGCTTACCTTAAACAGTGACAGTTAAGAGAAGGGGAAGAGAAACTTACTTTTGTGAGACCTGATCATTCTGTCAGATTTGGCGGAGGCGTCTTTGACGCGGTTATGGTACTCTAAAAGGAATGTCTTCTCATGTTCAAAGAAGTCATCTACATCCTGTATTCAAATGGAGAGAGGGGATGAGGGCTGTTTAAGTGAAGATAAATTTATTCAGAGCAGTTTTCCTGAATATGCTTATAACCACTTTGGGTCAACATATTCAAAAACTTGTCCACAAAAAGACTACTCAGAGCTATAATTAACATTTAAAGAATCCTAAGCAGCCACTAGTAAATAATTTCCCAGAACAGTAATTTCCTCCTTTACACCTTCATCGCTCAACCTGTGTCACATGATAGTCATATGTCCCAATGCAGGGTGATCTCACCTTCACTCCTGCCACTATTACTCCATCTGCAGACTTCACCACATTCTTGAAGAAGTCCTCCAGTTTCTCCTTCTTGTTTTTGCCTCGTACGCTCAGCTGCCAATGCCAGAAACAAGCAATATGTCCAAGTCAGTTTACCTCTATTCAAAGCTTAACTGTTGCATGAAGTAATGAGTTTTAATGAAAAAGTAAAATGGGCTAAATTTTCTTTCTGTTTTTTTAGTGAATAAAATGCAGCTGAACAAAGGGAACACATTGGCAAGCAGAGGTGTACTTTCAAATAACAGGATAGAAAATGTGACACAAAAAATGGCACTTACATCCTGGTTGTACTCTAAGAAAACATGAAAGTTCAAGTCTTTGCGCAGGACAGGATGGGCAGCAACACGGCAGAGAAAGACTTCATGCATTGCCACAGTCTTCTTGAAGATGGCCAAGTATTCGCTGCAACACAATACACATTACTTCTAGTGTTGCAGAAACAAGCGTACATCAAAGCAACCGTAAAAACAAAGTAAAAATATATACATGAAAGTGACTTACGCCTCAAGTTCCTGTTTCATTTTAGTGAACTCCTCCTTGGTCATGGAGCCTTCTCCCTCACCCAGCTTCTGTAGCTTCTCTCGTGAGGCATCAAAGTCTGGTCTCGGAGGAGCAGGAGGAATCTGAGAATAAAACAACACTCCATCAGTCATGTAACTGTTCCGACGGTCTTTATGTTTCCAAAAACCTTTTGTCGTTTGACATTCAGAGAGTAATGCTGATGGAGCATACTAATGATATCAGTGTTCACTGTGTCAGTCTGCAAATGCATGAAGTAATCTCTCACAATGTTAAGTGACATGAATAATTCACTTCAGATGTGATGGTAGTGCAAAATGCTTTCCAGTGCCAAGAACCATGGCTGCCTACGTCTAAAGTATATTCCAAATGAAAGGGCAATAGATCAGACAGCAAGGGTGACCCATCCTGCAGAACATTAACCAGAGCCCATAAGACTTCGACAGCAATTTCCCAGTGCCACCCCAACCCATTCTTCTTCCATAAGAGCAGACCTTAGTTCTAAGAAACTGATTCAATTATAAATAATGCCGTATCAGCTCACTCAACTGGACTTTCAAAAAGCAAAATGTCAATTTTCCTTTTACTTTGTCTTCTATCCTACATAATGTTACAGGTACCTTTGCAAATAAACCCTAAGTATCTAATGCAAACAGTTTAATCTAGAGGTGGCACAATAACACTTTTTCCTTTTCCGATATCTATACCAATACTGAAACCTTGACTGCTGACCTATACTGATCAAACATTTCTTCTTTAAAAACTACTAAGCTTCATTGAAATTTTCATTGAAGCACTTCACTTAAGACGAACTTCTGAAAGTAGACGATCATGCTCAAATTACTCAAAAAACACTCTACTAGCCCTTAGGAAGGACAGATTTGTTACATTACTGGATCAGAGTCGTTCTTTTTTCATCTCCAATATCAGAGCCAGCATTTTCTGCTGATAACAACCCAATACTGATACCTATTATCGTAACGGAAGCCATCACCAGTTTAAGCAGTAGAAAACTGGTTTGCTACTGGTAGCACACAATGGCCCTGCTAGAAGGAGTTTTCAATGTAAAATATGCTCTGTCACGTTACAGTGAACACTGTGCTGTGATGTCTTTGCAGAAGTGGGCCAATGTCATTATTATGATTTTGCATGATGCACTGGACTACTGCTAGGTAAATTTAGCTTTATTAAAGGAGCACCATCCATCAGCTGCTGCATTAAACGTGTGCTTGTGTTCACCCTTTATAAATAACAAACTTTTTTTCTTCAGGGAAAAGTGAATGTTCAAAGAGCCACACTTTAGTAAAACTTATTTATAAGAATGAAGGCTTATATGTTCAGAGAGGCAGAGAAGTATGTTTTAACACAGACCTAGACCTTCTTTTAAATCAAAACAGCAAAACATTTCGACTTCCATTTGGACCACATCCATTCAATAATTGTTACATTTCTATGTAATGCTTATCCAGGTAGATGTAGTGCCATTTTAAAAAAATGTTTATTTGTTACACATCAGCAGATATGTACATGAAAATACTGGATACGTGCATCGGCACAAAACTCCTCATTTTTAAGCATCCCTACTTCAGATTTTAACAACTACTATCAACATAACCTCAGACCAGGAATGGCCTACATGACTGCCATACTTACAATAAAACCAGCATATTCTTCATTCTCTACAAAGGAGTCATGGAGCCAGATGAATTCTTCATGCTGTCTGACCACAGAGAACTCATTCTGCTTGAAGTTGGGTAGAGTGCTCTGGAGAAGCATAAAACACATGATAAATTCTTACACAACTCATTAAACAGTATTCACCTCTTAGTATTTCCAACGAGACACTAAGCTGAATATTTAAATGTGACTGAGATCAACAAGACCATTCAGAACACAAGGAGAATTACAAGCTCGACTTTTCCACCATTATTTCTGCAGATAATATAATTTGCAATTATTATAATTTGCATGTTTGAAGAAACTTTCTTGGCAGCAACCCGTTAGACAGTCCAGTCACAGGGACAAGAATAGAAACACATCTGCTTCCAGCACTAATTGACTTACCTTCGTATGGACGGTGAACTTCACTTTGTCTCTCTCACTCAGAGCATCTGAAATGTCCACTTGTAGTGTAGCATCGGTCTGAAGGTCCACATTGACAGCCCTGGGCTGTAAACCATGTTCAGTTAGACACTACAGACAGTGAAGGCTCTCATTTTCACTTTTCTCACATTTTTCCACTTGTGAACCATATGAAGGGTTTAAAACAAGTATTTTTTCTTTTTAAATGTAATAGCTGTGACCTCTCTGCGTGGCCGTTCCACTGTGAGATTATTCTATTTTATTCCTGACAGTTAAAGAAGGCTAACAGACCATGTATAATGAAAGTGTAGATTTTGTTTCCAGTGTAGATATTTTTGCAGCACTGTTTTAACAGTCTGCTTTGAACAAATGGCTTTAATGTGTGCACATGTACAGTGGCCCCGAAAATTATTTGAAAAATTCGTGACACACTTAAGTTCATTGTGTAGGACACAAAATGTCAGACCAAGTTACATTATTTTAAACAGACCATCCCAAGACCTTTTACAAGACCGGTTTGCATCCAAGCTGTCTTTGTTCATGATCCCATTGATGAACACAAACTCACTGGCACCTCTGTACAAAAAAACGTTCCAGACTTTGACATCGCCAGCTTTCCATGGCATGTTCACACAGAGTCTAACGTGCTAACATTTTCAGTTTTTCTCTGAAACAGATCTCAACTTATAAAGTAACCTAAAGAACAACAATAATGTATACCAGTGTTTTAATATGGGAAATATGAAATTATATATCGTTATCATCATGAATTACATCCCAATGTCACAGTATGCTTTTCTGACATTTCGTCAGTACTTAAAAACACTTCCTAACTGCATGTTTCATTACAGTTAGTCCTGTTTAACTGGATTTAGTGCAGCACAGTATGTGAAATTATTGTATTTCATAGCTTTTGCTAATATTTTAATTATATGCCAATACTGTTTTTTCCAACTTACTAAATATCAGAAAAAAATTCAAATCGTCATGTGTATCATGAAAGTGTCTTGTAGTATTGTGATATACATTTTGCCATATTGCCCACCTCTAAGTTTAGGTGTCCAAATAATTTTGGGGGCCACTGTATATCAAGTGAAGAAAACAAATGCAGATTAAAACGTAACTCATGTAGCTACAAAACACTGGCAATAAATCCCTGAAATCTGAGTATCATCAACAGCCTGCCAGAGATCAGTGCTATTGTCTGACCTACTGCTCAGCTAACTGGCTTCATTCTTCATTCTCTGAACTTTGTTTGCTGGCCTAAGGAGCAGCCCAGGCTCGTCTGTGTACAGTGACAGAGACAGGAGGCTCGCAGATAAACAGATTAATAACCCTCTTCTGCTCACAGCTCACAGACACCTGGCTAAACCTAATGTCAGTGGGTTAAACAGGCTAATCGTTATGCATGTTTGCGTTTCCCACAGTATCTTTATTTCCAGCCAGTAGGAAGTCAACTGACTATCAGACGCTTTGCTAATAGCTTGTAGCTCTCCAGCGACATTGAACGTGACTGACACGGCTAATCTGACACAGCCGTTAGCCTATTAAACCGCACAGGACAGAAAAAGGCGAAAATGCTTTAACAAACAGGACGGTACAGCTAACAGGAGACAAAAAAACGAAAAAAACTTACTCCTCTGTCCTCCTCGGAGAGGAAATCGGGACCATCGTCCAGCCCTTCTTGCTGTCAAAAGAAGAGACAGAAAAAAAGCACAACGTGCATAGCTTAGACATTAAATCGAGCATTTCACTGTGAAAATGACAAGGCGAAAAGCTCGCCCATTAAAAACCCTAAGCAGGCTACAGTAATTGTACAAAAACCCACCATCATGGCTGCTGCGGGTGGAGTACGAATGTGGCGATGTCGTGTGACGTGAGGCAGCGGATCCAGGAGGGCGGAGCCTGCAGGAGGACTCGGCCGCTACACTCCTCACTACAGGCGGCGGCGGAGAGAGGAAGACCACGGTGAAGGAACGAGCTCGCGGCGCTACTAGAGAAAAAGAAGAGTACGATAAAAAAATCTCATAAACACAAGAACTAAACTGTTTTTGTCGATGCAGCTGTACAAGAACAATTTTGAACCTAAAACAGTTTGCAATTCTGGGCTCAGTTTATATGAGAATTTCACCAAATTTTCGGAATAATCCAGTGGTTGAGATGTAAACAGAGTCACTCAGAGTGGTTTGATGTGAAGCAGGTCATTGTAGAGACTGATTCTTTAATTCTTTGTGTTTAACAACACAAATATAGCCATTTTATTTACTGTCCAAAACCACCAGTAAACGTACACTTGCCTTCTGAGTTTTTATATGTAATGTTGATGATGGTAAAATAGTCATATATCTGAAAATGAATGGATTAAAGTAAACGGCTTAAAGTACATTTTAAAACAAAAATCACAAAACTATCATAAAACTATGTGTTGAATCTCAGGCAGCATATATCTCACCACTTTATGTAATAACCTTCTGTGAGGGAGCTTTTAGAGGCATTAACTCTTCAGACGTTAGGTTCCTATCACCACCACTGTGAACAATTTGGACTCTGTAAGTTTCTCTAGAACAGAGCATTTCACACCAAATCACTCTGAATGACTTTGTTTACACCTCAACCATGTATTTATGTAGAATGTTTGAAAAATTGGTGGAGTTCCTATTTATGCCCGACAAAGGTTACTTTTATAAGACCACACATTTCTTTTACAGACGGTACTTATTATCTGATACCGATACTGAAACCGATAATAATGAGATTTGTTTCTTTAAAAAACTACTAAGGTTTAAAATGAATAATTTTTCAACTGAAGCACTTAATATGAACAGCTAAAAGTAGGGTGCCATGATCACACTACAAAAACACCCCACAAGTAGAAATACACAACGAACAACAGGACATCACACAATGTGGGTGTGTGCTGTTTCAGGCTAGATTTGTTACAGGATTCAATATTTTTTTCCCTTCGATATGTGATCCAGCACTGAAAAACAGTGTGTCATCTCCAGTTTCTAAAATTAGTTGATTTTCTTTCTAAAGTAAGATACAGCGCAAAAGGGTTCCAACAGGCATGCAAGAATTTGCCTGTAGAAATGTACTAATATACTGCTGATGCAGTGACACACTATTCTCCAACAGCTGAGTTATTATTTCCACCTTAAGGTAGACCTGGTGAAGAGCAAAATGTGTGTAATCTTATAACCTGTCTGGGTCTAATTCACTGCACAACACTCAGTTTAATGTTCTGGGTGTTAATGCATTTTCATACATTATCTCTTTTCACTGCAGTTGAGCTCTTACAGAAACAGAAGTATCTGAAGCTAATATGGGCCAAACATAACACTTTATGCACAAAAATGGTGAAGACATTAGAATACTAATTCATAATTCACTGAGGATATGACATTATTGAACTGTTTTTATGGATGTGGCTGTTTAAGGCCATTTTGAACCAGAAACTGTATGTAGCTCTAAGCCCATGGAAAGCTAAAGGAAGTTTACTTTAGAATCTCCCTTTAAAAGCACACATTGTACAAAAAACGGCTCACTTAAACCTGAAAAAAATCCTAAAACTTAAAATAACAAACCTGAAACCTATGAATAAAAGATGCTGGATTGTTCCTTCAAAAAGACGACACAAAATAAATAAAAAAGTAAATACTACACTAAATACAGTAACCAGTTAGTGTTTTTGGAGAGCAGATTCCATGCAGGAACATAAATGGTTCCTGTATATGTTTAGTGTTAAACTGTACTGCTGGAATGTGGTCCTTTAAAATCAGAAGTGGAATCAGTTTATTGGCCAACTATGCATGTAGAAAGAATTTGTCTTGGTTAAATTTGTGCATACATTCCACAATACAGATTACAAAATAGTAAACAAATAATACAAATAAATACAAAGACAGACCCACAAAGGGTAACACAAATTATACATCATAATCAGTATGGAAACTAAACATACAGGGTACATACAACAGTATAGATGCAGAGGGAGATACCTGTAAACAGGTGTACATATACAAGGACATTTAAAAAATACATATCCTCAGTAAACATAAATTAAATGCAAAGTGTATTTACAACAGTTTAGATCAGTGTAGGATTTGACTGTAACATTATATCAATTATTCTGTGGATGAAAATATTCAGAATATTCAGAATTTACTTGATTAGACAATGTTATGGAGTAAAAACTCACTGTGTCTTATTTTGCACAAAATATGGATTTGCAGTATTTGTGTGGAAGTACTATACATTTACATCATGTGCAAATGAAACTTTCTATTTTCCCATATTTTTCATTTACTGGTATTATGAGGATGTGAGAATTGCATTGGTTTGTGAAACGTAAGCTATGTATCAAAGGCATGACAGGCTAGATAGAGGGATGAAGTATCACTTATCAGACTGTGCTTTCTGTGCTTGCACTGTAAAATATAGTGTCTTATAAATTGTGACCTTAATCAATCAATGAATAAGTGAATCAGCTGGTTTGCTTAAAAGGGCTCTGCACAAATGTGCTGACTTATTTCCTTTTCCACCATCAAGTATACATGTTAAATCATTTTTACCACTTCTGCTGTCTGCAGTGAAATACTGAATAGAACAGGTTTTCCCACTATTTCTATTTATCCACATGTTTAGTAGTTTCTTTCCACTCTTTGCCTCTATTTATCTACACAGTTGACCATAAACGTTTCAGATACATTCACAGTCTCCCAATAAGGAGTGTACCTTGGTGATCTGCATTATTTGCATTAATGATACTTACTAATTAATAATACACTGCCTAATCCACCCATTTTTCTTGGGCAAAACAGCATTGAGGTATTCACATTACTGAATTAGGATAAGAAGCATTTGCAGTCTTAACCACTGGGTGGCACCTTAAGCATTAGCTTTAGGACCACACACATTTTGTCAACACTATCAACTGTTTTGCCAATAACAATGCAATGCCCCTATTGACCAATACCATTTACCTGACTATTTTCACAACACTGACAGCTGGAACCCACCAACCTAATTCCAGTTTCTCATCAGGACTGGAAGATCACCTGTAAGAACACATCAGTATGTATAAAACCCACCGCAGACCACTGATCAAACTACTGGTCAGATGTGGCCTTCAATATACAAAAGTGGTGATGACTTAAGGCATTTCTCACGTTAATGTCTTGATGTTCTCCACTATAAAAGGGTATGAATGGACACCTTCTCCACCCGACTGTTTCCTGGGACCAGATTGTGCCAGCATGTTCACTTACCTTCTGCCTTACAGTCATGTATCTGCCAGCTTTCATGGCCAGGACTCAGGTTAGTCAAAGTATATTGGTTCACAGTTAAATTCTTTACTCAATTTGGTGAGATTCTAGACATTCTTGGTCCAATTTCTGTCAATCTGGACCTTCACTCAGACACATTAGGTTAAAAAGGGTGATTCCAGACTGTAAGAAAAGTACTGGTCACAGTTTACAGGCTGGTGGATTTTGATACAGTACAATAAATTAGCTCTGCACAGACCATTATGACCATACGACCATTAAAGAATAGAAAACATACAATAATAAAACATAAATAACATTGTATTTAAGCAGTTATTAACACAGAGTGACTTATATGGGCGCTAAATGAAAGAAGTCAATATTCATACAACCTTTCATGCTGGATTGACATGATTCAATGAACATCATAAACACAAAACAACATCAAGATCAACCAAACGTCACCCCAGCTGTCACTCTCTCTAATAACACATTGAGTAACTTTGTACTGAGGTTTAATCTTGTGACCCTTATGCCGGCAATAACACGTCTATATTCTCTGCACAGGTCATGTTTCACTGCAAATAGCCTAAACATTATCACATGTTACTTATGCATAGAATGAGGGATTAAAACAGTGACTTTCAGCTGGTGGAGCTGTCTCCTGTGACCTGCTTAATTATGCACTAGAAAGCAAAACAGCTATTTAAACAGGCTGTGCTGTGCCACCACTCTGTGAATTGGGAAATATTGTTGTGAGCAAGTGAGTATTGCACCATCTCTCGTCTCCTCAGTTGCCACCATCCAGGCAGTAAAACCCACCAGACACTGTTTAAATTAGATGGAATTTCGGGAATTCGTTGACAGTATTTGTGCTTCAATCCTCACATGACTAGCATTCTAGTTCACTTTGCAATGGCGGCAAGCAATCACCAACCAGTGCTCATACCACATACCCTTTCAGAGCACAGAATCTTGTCGAGAGCAAGGAGAGGTCACTTGTTTATTTTCAGCACGTTTGTCCAGACACAGAGATTCAGGGGCTAACATAAAAGGCCCTTTGTTTCAGGCAGCAGTATACATAAAGGCCCTGACCAACTGACTTGATGTTTCACATGTTTTAGGCCACATCAGCCGTGTTCAAAGATTAAACAACATTTAATCTTTATAATCTACAGACCTCATGTGCTTATTGTAAGCACAAATGTATGTTAGCTTAAAATAAGCTTTAAAATGTTTTGTTCTTTTGCTTTATTAACAGCACAATTTTGGTTAATTTGTTGTCCAATGTGCCGTGACAGCTAAGGGTGGGGGGGTGCATTGGGCCAAAGTGCAAAAACATAATGAATACCCATCTACACAGCATATTTAAGCTTCATAGACTGGTGCAGAATAGTCTTTTAAATATTTACATTTCACAGAATAAGTCTGTTAAATTTTCTTCAAGTTAAAGGAAAAGTGAAACCATCAGCTCACAATAAAAGAACCTATGATAAAAGAGATTTGTGGCACTTCTTTCAAAGATAAAGCTGTCCATTGCTGCAGTTCGACCAAGCCCAGCAATATGTTCTTGCACACCTTTAGGGCTTGGACAGTTTCATAACCACTAATAGAAAGTTCCTGATCATTGGACACCAATAGGGACTATCTTTGAAAAACAGAATAGAATAAACTTTCCTCTAGGCAGCTTTTTAAAGATTCTTCGTAAGTAATGGAAGTGTTGACACAATCCATTTGTCTTCTTTTCAAAATGATTTAGTATGAGTAACCCTGACCCTGATATTTAGTTATAAAGCAGAGCAATATTGCTTTAAATGCACCACTTTGTTTGCTGCCCACATTCCACACTGTGAAAAACACTTTTTGTAAGTACTGCACAGGCTGCTGAACGAGGCTTCCCTTTCACAGCTCTTTGGAGGCATGTTCAGTTTTGCCATTTGTGGACAACGATGACAAGACACAAAAGCATGTTGGCCATAAATAGCACCGAGCAGCAGAGGATTGCTCGCTGCCGGCGGATCAAATTCTCCAAAGGGAGAAGCAGCCTCTGGCCTCAAGCCCAGTTCCACTGAAAGACACACACACCACTCTGACAGAAACTTTTGGACCATATGAAGGTGGGCGGGTGGTCCATTAAAGCTTTCGAAACATCAGGAAAGAGACCGCCCCAGGTCGGAACAGGTCACGTCTGGCAACATGAATGACGGCAAGTAGGACATGAAACCTCACAAAAAAGGTTGAAAGCTGAAAGTGCTCCCAGGAAAGCATGTCCTAGCAGCTAAAACATTTTAGTGGCTATCTAAGCCTATATGGCAAATGTTAAATATGGTATTTTTATAAACAGCTGGTGCTTAATTTCTGCAACAGCTGAGTAATTCAGAGAACTTACACCAAAAAAGGTACAACACATACAGCAGTGTAAATTTTACCTGGGAAAATATTTAAAATGCAACCTAATTGGGTAGTAAGTGATTATTTGCTCAGAAAACAAATAATAAGAAGTAGTGATTTTGGAGTCACTATGTTTCTTTAACCACTTTCAAACCTCTCCTCAAGACAGCCTAGTATTATTTGTAGTTATAATCGAATAACAAGTTTAGTAAATCTATTTTTCATAAAGTTATATCAGGTGTGCTGGTCATGGAATTTAACAAATTCATGTGATAACTGGGGACAACAAAGATCTGGAATGAAACTTTGTTATTCAAACTAGCTCACAAAATATTAACTATTTTTTTGAAATTCTTGTTATTTTCCGAAAAAAATTTAAAGTTATGTGGTGATTTTACAAGCACAAACACTTACTGGCCACAAAAGTGGCTTTAATAATGTGTTGATATGCCTTTAACTTTAGGACAGTGTTATATTTACTTTGGGTTTGAATTCAGATGGTATGTCACATAACACCAGAACCTGAAGAGGTGAACCATGCAAACCAGCCCAAAGAAACATGTCCATGTGGTATGCCACAAGGTTTTATTGCAAAGTGGCAACTCCACCAATCTCAAAAACAATGTTCCATTTAAGGCTGCGACTGCAGATATTGCCATCTTTACAGATATTTTGCATTCTTTTTAGTGATTAAAAAAACAATAACCAAGCAGCACCCCCTTCTTCTTATTCAGTGGTGTACTGTACATTCGAATGAAAGTAAGGCTGCAACGGAACAGTTAATATGTATCTGTCTTTGTCCATATGTATTAACAGGAATGAAAAGTGTGGTAACTTCAATCCGGTGACAAACACAGAAATTCCACAGTCCCCTTAACAGTTTTGTCTCAACTTGTAGTGTATAAACAAAAAAGTGCTTTCAAATCTGCATAGTATTAAATGTGTTTGCCATGTCAAATGAGTCAGATTAGGTAGAACAGTTCAAATAAATAGTTCAAAACTCAAGAGTGCAAAGTGCTTGCTATTGGTTAATGCATCCGTGCGAAGCATTAACAGAAAGCATTCTCGCATGTCTATTACAGTAGAAGATTGCTGTAGTATCTCTGTGAATATATCAAAAAAGATAAACGCTGGTATGGGAAGTACTGATACTGTGTGATACTGATGATTTCCAATGTTGTTTGGCAAAACACTTTATGAGAACTTTCTTGGGGACATAAAAAAAAACTACCAGAATTTGAAAAAGTCAGCTGGCAATAAACTGGTAGATTCTTTGTATATCTTTACAAGATCTCCTTAATATGAAAAGAAAAGGAAAAAAAAACAAAAAAAAAAAAACAGACAACCTAAACTATTCCTTCGGGGTCAAAAGATAGATACAGCTGCTAAGATAGAAAGCGTGTGGAATCCAGATGGCACGTGTCTTTTCTGTTTACAATGGTCGCCCTTCCAAAGATACAACCACATTGCCTCCCAATTTCTCTGCCAGGGTAGAGCGGTCCTGAATGTCATCTAAACCGTTGACTTGCCACTCATGTTTGATACCTGGAAAAGAGTGACGCACATCATGAGAATGTATTACAATATCTGCCTGCCTGCACAAAAACATCTGAACCACTTTAAAATAATCAGCAATGTAAATTCCTCTCCTGAACTTGAGTTAGTATGACACAGTACATCAAGTACTTGGGATAAATTTAACAACAAAGCAGAACTTACCTGTAAACTTCTTTTTAATGGCATCTTTAGAGCTAGCATAAATCATCTTGCTTTTTAATGGCGCTCCCTCAGGGGCCCTGAGTGACAAGGATAGTGACTTTAAGCTCACGCCTACAAAGCATCATTGGTATAAAGTATAAATGCTTACACAGAGGCCACATACCAAAATATAAATACCAAGTCTTCTTTCTTGGACTCTTTTGTTTCGTAAGTGGCATCATACAAGCCATATCTGCAGTCGTTAAGAGGTAGGAGCTTTACAAAGCAGGCATAGGGATCATCCACAGTCTCTCCAATATCGCCAACCAGAATTTGCTTGCCTTCCTCTACGATAATCTTCTTCTTGTCTTCGCTGAGACAGAACAGCACTGCCTTTTTGCGTTTTTTTACCTCGTCCGAGGTTGAGGACTTTCGCACCTTCATGTCGTTGAAGACTTTGATGACTTCATCGTTCACTGTAACTCCTGAAGCCTGAGGAGAAGAGACAGTGAGACTACCTTAGTGAGGAAGACACAACCGAAAGCCTAGCCAGGGTTAGGTTACGGAAACAATGGTGCTTCATTATGAATCCTTCATAATATACAATATGTACAGAGCCCAAATACATAATGAATAGACCAACATAGCAAAGGTGACAGGTAATAACCGGTTATAGCAATCATTTTCCACTTGTTGTGTTAACAGCAATGACAAAGCCAACCTAATGACTCACAACACTTTCTATGCGTCCTGAACATAGTAGTTTCTCGAGAGACAGCAACCTCCTGTCTGTTGAAAGGGTAACTCCAGCCATTTAAAAGAAAAACCTATATAATTAAATGTCAAAGATATAAACAAAGTCATTCAGAGTGGTTTCATATGAAATGCTCTGTTTTAGAAAAACTTGCCGATTCAGAATCGTTAACAGTGGTGGTGATAGGAACCAGACGTCAGAAGCGTTCACTGCCTCTAAAAGCTCCCTCACAGAAAGCTATTACATGAAATGGTTAGATAAACTAAAGTCCCGATGGCTTTACATGTATTTTAATCCACTCATGGCTGATGGGTACATGCAGGACGTTGAAAAGTGTTTCCTTCTCCGTATAAACCTTTTTAAAGTGAGTTAGCTGGAGTGAGTTAGCCCTCAGCTCCACTGCTGTAGAGACACGCGCCGCTCAGGTAGCTAGCAGTGCTCAGAGTTAGCTCGCTGCTAAAGGCAGCTGTCAGTCTGTCTGTAGGGCCACCTAAATCCTATTGAGTCATGGCTACAAATACCCGTCTTCAGCTCTAATGGTAACTGATTTTACACGCCATGAGGACGTTCACATCCCTCACTGCGGGCGAAGCCCTGCTTTGGCAGCGAGCTGGAGTTCAGCGCGGCCAAAGAGCCGACAAACCGCACATTCTGCCGCACGATAACCGTTTACCGGCCCCGGTAACGTTAGAGAAGAAAAGTTAGTTAGCGAGCAGGCTAGATTAAAAGTGATTAGCGTTATAGACTATCGGCTAAAATTAGGTTAAAATGGCCGCCTAGGGTTCAAGGCCCTGACCATAGCTATCCCAAACTGGAACTGATTTAATTAGCTATCGGCCACGAACAAGATTAGTCCACAAAATCACACACCGGCACCGGCGATCGGCGAAAATGCGTCGTTAGTTATTAAAACAACGGCTTGCCGAATTACATTCCAGTGACTGGCTACTCAGAGTTAACCTACAAAAGTTAACTGCTCAAGAGTTGTTAAAATAACGTCCTGAGTGTCGCATACTCAGCCGGCAGCGATCAAACTGAGATCAGGCGGGTATGGGAAACAATGCAGACTCACCATGTTGTCCGACGGTAGTTTGCAATTGAATGTGCGAGTATTTTCTTGGTAGTTCTATCAGGGGAATGTGAACAGCGGAGCGAGAGAGGGAGAGAGAGAGAGAGAGGGAGGGAGGGGGAGCAGGAGCGTGGCAGCACTGCACAGTCGCAGTGAGGGAATCTGCAGTGCAGCCGGCGAGCGGGGACAGGCGGGCAAAGAGGCGCTCTGCAGAGCAGCCGGGCAGGCAGTGATGGACTGAGCAGTGACGGGCTCTGCAGTCCAGCAGTAAAGGGCCCTACACTGTAGCCTGATAAGCGCTGATGGACCAGGTGAGACGGGCGGCAGCTCCTCACTGCATCCAGGTGAGCATTGACGATCTTCAGAATCAACCAGTTGAGCAGTAAAAGGGCTCTGCACTGTAACCTGTTAAGGGGTTACAAACGCTGCAGTGCACCAGGTGAACTTGAAACGTGAGACACTCTGCACTGCAAATAGATGAGCAATGATGTGCACTGCACAGCAGCCAAGTAAGCAGTGACAGGTTGTGCACTGCAACCATGAGTGGGTACAGGTTTTGTACTGTAACCAGGTAAACAGTGACAGGTTCTGCACTGTAACCATCTGAGAGGGGACAGGTCCTGCACTGTAATGAGGTAACCAGTGGAGTCAGCACAGGTTCTGCACCTTAACTAGGTGAGTGGGTACGGGTTCTGCACTGTGACCAGGTAAGCAGTGACAGGTTCCGCACTGCAATGAGGCAAGCAGTGACAAGTTCTGTACTGTAACCATGTTAGAACTGACAGGTTCTGTACTGCAACCACATGTGTGGGCACAGGTTCTGTACTGTAACCATGTGAGAGGGTACAGGTTCTGCACTGTAACCAGGTAAGCAGTGACAGGTTCTGCTCTGTAACCATGTGAGAGGGAACAGGTTCCTCACTGTAATGAGGTAACCAGTTGAGTTGGTACAGGTTCTGCACTGTAACAAGGTAAGCAGTGACAGTTCCACAAGCAGTGACTGCAACCACATGAGTTGGTACAGGTTCTGTACTGTAACCATGTGAGAGGGTACAGGTTCTGCAGTGTAACCATGTGAGAGGGTACAGGTTCCTCACTGTAATGAGGTAACCAGTTGAGTCGGTACAGGTTCCACACTGTAACCATGTCAGAGGGTACAAGTTCCTCACTGTTATGAGGTAACCAGTTGAGTCGGTACAGGTTCTGCAGTCTAACCACGAGTTGGTTCAGGTTCTGTACTGTTACCATGTGAGAGGGTACAGGTTCTGCACTGTAACAGAGGTGAGCAGTGACAGGTTTTGCACTGTAACAGAGGTGAGCAGTGACAGGTTTTGCACTGTACTGAGGTGAGCAGTGTGGTTTTGCACTGTAAATTAGGTGAACAGTGGCAGGTTCTGTACTGTAACCACATGAGGGTTCAGGTTCTGCACTGTAATGAGGTAAGCAGTGAGGTTTTTCACTGTATTGAGGTGAGCAGTGGCAGGCTCTGTACAGGTAAGTTCTGTCCTACAGTGTGCCTTTGATAACACCAAACATAAAACTGAGGTATCTAAAATACAAGCTCATCTTTTTTTCCTCTTACAGTAAAGTTTTTCCTCCCCAACACATTTAGGTGTTTTTTTAAATTACTACAAGTCCATGAGTATGGGTTTAAAATTTGAAAGACAAACCAAAACAATATAGTCGTTGCAACAAACAAAATATTAACAAAGTCAATTTATTGATTCATAAAGGAAAATGTACACAATTGCTCGGAAATAAGCTTAAGAGTCTGAACAAGGAACCCCCTCTTACCCAGGTTTCTACTGTTTGGAATCCAATGCTGGTAATACATTACAAAAAACAAACAAGGTATACAAACACAGCCTATAAAAACAAAAGAACACTGTTCATAAATAAAGCAAGTTGTCAATTTTCAAATTATATCCAAAACTAAAATAAATAACTAATTAGTCACATGGAAAAGTATTCAGAAAAGAAAGAAGCAGGTTTTGGTTCCTATGTAGTGTTTAACCAAGCTATAGGGACCCGACAAGGTATTTTTAGTTATTTTACTATTCACAACTACACAAGAAAAAAGCTATTTTGCAAGACTTTACAATGCAACAAAGATTTAATGTTGGGAAAATCTATACAAACAGTAGTCTAGAAATGCAGCAAAGGTATAAAATACAAATGCACCATTTAGAAAGTATTTTCAAAAACAATGTTCTTCTTGTCCTGAGTCAATGTGGATGGAAAGGACTTTTCAAGAAACAGTGCAAATATTTTTCACAGCACAGGTTTGTCCTGGATCACCTTAGACAACAAATGCTTTTTTGCATTACTATATAGTTTTAGAAACGTGTTTCATCCTCTTGTTATGTGGATGTTTAACAGAACGTCTTATTTAAAAACTGTTGTGCCCATCAGTCTGCTGGTGAAAATGAGAAAGAAGTGCTAGTTTACAGCCTGGGTCGCTTTTGTGGAGGGGTCATACGGTCAGCCAGGCCAAGCCTCTGCAACTCAGAGTGGAAGAAGGATTGAAGTCTGAGGCCAGCCTTTGCTTCATTGGTGTTACGAGGGTTGTACTCAAGGCAGTTGGAAAACATCAGCTCCACATCTGCTATATACTCCGCTGCAAGGAAACACAAAGGCAGAAGTGAGATGCGAGTGTGGTGGAGCAACTGTTTCCAGTTGAGATGGCAGATGTAGAAATGAGCCAACAGTATGGTTTAGACAGGTATTCAAATATTGGCCTCTAGCATATCAGTGTAAATTTAGACATGTATACCCAACCAGTCAGATGACTTACATGCAGTTTGGTATTCACAGTTGTTCACCTTTTCCCTGATTGTACTCAAAGCAATGGGCTTCTTGATGATATCATAGTAATCCGGTACCTGCAGGGATCAACAATAAAACCAGTATGTCAACTTTAAAACCCACACACCAAGAATGCAGAACAGGAAAAGCAACGTACCAGGGTGTGATCAAGAAAGCACAGCACTGACATAAGCATCCTTATGTCTAGAGTGCTTTTTGAAATATATGTACATTAGTCTGAATTCTCTATTTTTGAGTACAATATGGTTAGTAATTAATGTAAGTCTGATGTGTATGTACACAACAGGTGGACTGTCTATATTAATGTCAATCTCTATATGATGTACCTGAGTCCTGGACACGAGTTTCATGAAGGGCCAGCTATCCTCATGTCTGACCAAGTCCACAGTGAGCTGTTCACATGCTGACAGCTCATGGACGCCAAGATTTCTGCCTGAGCTGCGACGACTTGAGTTGTTGTTTGGGGCCAGGACCACCTTGGATTTTGGGGAGACCTCTGCTGGCGAAACACAAAAAAGCAGCTTAAGGGGACAACAAAAATATCACTTGAACCAATACTGTACATAGCACTGGTAACTCTAACTTCATATTCAATACACTTTAAGCAATTCATTAAAACAAAAAAAACAGAGTTAACCCTTAAAAATCTGAGGCTTATTACATACTAAGGCTTATTATTCAGTAACTACAGGGACTCAAGTGCAAACTGGTTGAGCTGTTCTTAGGTTATAGAATGTGTGATAAAACTTTAAGCCTTTTACACAGAAGTATGGGCAAATAAATTAATGAATATTTTTCCCAACGGTTTGCTTTTTTAGTTTTGCACTGAAGATGCGAGACTAGTGTTGCTAAAAAATAATGAAGTCACGTGAAACATTTCATGGTGACAAACGTATTATTTTAGCCCTGTAGATTGAGGTAAGGGAGGAAAATTTATATTTTTACTAATACATAATTGATTAAACCCAGCCAAACAAAAGCTTACTAATTTCTTAAAAACAGTACTTCATTAGTAATGTCTTACCGCATCACCAGTGTCACTTACCAGAGCTGGGTCTTTTCCTGGAGTCTGTATGGGCTGCAGCAGGGCTGGCCTGAGTATTTGCTTTAGCCGAGGTATCACCGGTGCTCAGTACCTCCAGGCTAAGACGGGCACTAGAGCGGTTACCAGCCCGAGGAGGTGGTCTGCCATTAGACACTGGGGTGGCCTTCTTCCCTGAGCTTTTGGAGCCTTTACTGGCAGAGAGGCTCTGCTTGGGTGTGTTCTGCTGGCTGCGAGGTGTGGAATGATTTGATTCAGCTTGTTTGGATTTACTACTTGACTTACTACCTTTAGTGGTCTGTAGGGGAAGCTTCACAGCGGTCTTCTTAGAAACACTAGAGAAAGAGTGATGTATTTAGACAACATTTATATCTTTCTCATGTATTTCTATTACAGTGAATGAACTATTCTATATGTCACAGATGACTAACTAAATAACCCAAATCAGCTAACCTTTCTTTCTCTTGCTCTTCCTCCTCCTCCTCTTCTTCAGACTCCTCCTCCTCTTCCTCTTCCTCAGACTCTTCTTCCTCTTCTTCAGACTCTTCATCTTCTTCTAGCTCCTCTTCAGAGTCAATGGAGGACCGCTGGCGAGAGTTTATGCGGTGAGAACGTTGTTTGGGACGGCACTCTGGGCAGAACCAGTCTTCAGTGGGAACAGCCTAGGCACCAACACACACATTATCCATTTAGTTCTACAGAAAGATGCTTATTTATAATTCTACATGTAGTAGAAGCATCTGGAAGAGGGCAGTATACCTTCAGTTTAGGACGCACACAATAGATATGATGGCCCCTGTCACAACCATCACACAACAGCATGTTCTCCGCATCTCCCTTCCTGCGGCACACCTTGCAGCGGGCATTCAGGATTGACTTGGCCCAAACCACACTGCGTTCCAGGGTGGACAGATGCATGAAAATCTGTGAGAGGCTGGAGCAGCCAAGGAGAGATTCCCTCCAGCGCTCCAGCACGGTCTTCACCTGCCGCCCACAGTCACTGCCATCTGCAGCACAGGAGACATATGGGTAGAGAGAATATTAGCCATTTATTTGCCAGATGTTTGTTTGGAAATGCATCTTGTAGCATCTCAGAAGAGAGTCTCTCCTAAACTTTACAACTCAGACAGTTTGTCCCTCAAATAAATCCCTGAAACAAGCACTATTAGCTAGCCCTCAAATTAAAAAATCTCTCAAGCAGATAGATATTAAAAAATGTGAGTATATTCTTTACTGAGTATAAAAAGTGGCTCATTTTCAAAAAAGGCATGCTTTACAGCTCATTTGGGGCTTAGAAGAGTGAAGGCTGCTCTAGCAGGCACAGCCCATTATGTGCTATGATCCAACTAGTTGCATAGTTACGAAAAATCTGTAGGTATCTATATTTACAAATGAACACATGAATTCCTGTATAAAACCCTGCCTTGATTATGCCCCATGTGTCACTGACAAATGTCAATAACATCAACAAAAAATTTAAATGCAAAATTCCCTCCTTTTTAGAGTAGAGTAGGGCTAAACTTAATCATTCTTAGTTGAACAACCCTCAAATGGTTCTCACAATACACTGAGTAATCTGGAATTTCTCAAGAGTGAGAATTATAGTAATTACTGTATATTGTTAATAACGTATAAAGGCATATTTGTAACACACCATCCTTCTCACTGGACTGGTCATCATCTTTCTTCTTCTCTTTTTTCTTCATTTTTTGGTCTTTTTTGCTGTCCTCGTCACCTGGTTTGAGAACAAAACAACTGCTGTTACAATTTTTTTTTCCAAAATGCAACTTCCATTGCCCAGCACTGCTGATGACTGTTGTGCAAAAATATCTACTGATCCATCCCATGGAGCCAAGGCTACTCTCCCTCAGAGTAATATTAGTTAGCAAGCTGTCTTACCAAGTGGAGCTTTGAGGAATTTGCGTTCAATGCCCTGCTCTATCTGAGCCAGGGCTTGTGCGAGGTAGTGCACATTGTTGTTGACAGGCTGGGGTGTGCTGGCACTGGTGGAGGCTGCACTCTGGCTTTCACTCTTTAACTCCTGCAGCCTGGACAACCAACAGACACAAGCTCTAAGATCAGATGAAGTGTACTAAATACAGCAAATACTGGCTGACCATGTGTTGTGTCCAAGTAGTGTTTGTCTTCATGCTTAAAACTTTTCCTTCTAACCATTAACAATCACTTTGTTTCTGGTTTGGTTCCAGACAACAGTTCTAAGCTGCTTTTACCTGTCTTTGACTCTGATGTGGCTCTCGTCTATTTCCATGGCCTCCTCCTCACCACTGAGTACTCCGTTCTCCTTAGCCTCAGAAACCAGTAGTTCATAGTTGCCACTTTCCAGTGCTGCTCTCCAGGCACTTCTCTCCATCGTCTGATAATTAGAGCAGTGGGCAGAACTGAATACCCTTATCCATCATTCATTTTTACCAATATCAGACTGTAGTCACATTGAGTAATGACACAAACTACTTAGGTCTGTATAGATTTGGTAAAAGGTTTAATCATCTCAAATCAAGCCACTTTAATCCAGACAAATATTTTCATTCTTAATGAGAACAGTCTATAACAGTAGATCACCTCAGAGGCAATAGGGCAGCATACCTTTACTGCACCCAGAGTTCCCTGATAAATGCGGTCCTCAATGTCCAACAGCAGATCCCTTAGACGATTCTCCATGTGGTGATCAGCAGGTGCAGTGCTTTCTGGGGCAGGGGGTCCATTTTTAGACTTCACAGTGCTACCTTTGGCCTCTGTCAGTACTTTATCTGTAAAATTACATCACAAATCAATGAGATCAGAGATTCATTAATAACCTTTTTGCACAAAGAGACTTATTTTTGCATCCTGTGCCACAATGCTACTGCACAAACAGTAACTTATTCCAGTCCTGTCCAAAAACAGACTTGTGGCCCATATTTTAAGACATTCTGCCTTGTCCACCATTGTGCTGGTGAATTTGATACAGAACCTGCCTTTCTCCTAAACCTGAATGCATATATTTGCTTTTAATGTAATATACCTGTTTGGTGGTAGCGCTCTGCCGCACTACTGCTGAGCATTTGAACGATGCGTTCTTTCTCCTGCACTAGAGCCTCTTTGAGGGAGCTCTCGCGGTGTCCTCGCGGGTTAAGAGACTCAATCAGCTGCTCCAGCTCAGCAGGTGTGCTGTAGAAAGCCCACTGATTAGGCCGGTTCACAGGGGGAGAGTTGCTCTGACATGGGCTGGGCTCTTCCATCAGCTCTTCAGTCTTAGTAGGGCTCTGGACAGAAGAGAGCTCTTCTGTTTTGGGTTCAGGAACAGGACGGGGCTGCAGCATGTCCTCAGTTAGGCCGAAAAAGTCATCCTCAACAAAAAGTGCTCCGGCAGAAGGGAACAGCCAGTAGCGGCGGTAGAGGCGGTCACGGCCCAGCGGAAGGATGTAAGTGCAGGCTGCAGCTTTATGGATCCGCTCCAGAAGCTCCTTCTCCTTCAGCTGCTGCTGTTGGAGCTCCTCTGGGCTCAGGCCATCCTTCACCTCCTCCTCATTAGTCTGCTTCTCTTTTGAAGTGCTGCTCTTAGCTAAAGAGTAAATAACACAAGCCATGTTTCCATATATGTGCAACAATCTGATAAAAGAATAGCTAGCCAAACATGGTGGCATGGCAGCCACCAATTAGCATGATAACTGCATAGTTGTCTGGCGGCTATTTGCTTACATTAACTTTCTTTAGCTTCAGTATTGACTGAATGCATCCTTTAATACTGATTAAGCCTTGGGTAAACTACACAACTTTTAAAGTCTTAACAGATTATAAGAAGACTGGGCATCTCATACGATCTGTTTTTGCAGATTTTTTTTGGGCGACAGAAATATTGGGGATCACACACTAAACGACACTGAATCAAACACAAACTCATGCTCTCTCACGTTACTAGGGACCCAAATAAACAAATGTGGAGCTGCTTGCTGCTGTCTTTTTTTTGTTACTTTTTTCTTTGTTTACTTGCTGTATTTTCTTCTTTCGCGCTCTTAGTTTTCATTGGCTGTTGCAGGAGTCTGTTGAGATTGAGCCTTCGACCAGTTTACATTACTAGATTGCGCTCAGAATCGAGTAGACAAAATCAAACATGTCTGATATACTCCGACTGGTCTGAAACACAATCGGGAGGCTAAAAATCTCGCCCCTCGCACACTACTTCATTCTCTCTCCAACTGTCAACTCTGACTGACCCAAAAATCTGCAGACTAAAGCCAACTAGCACAGACTCGGCCAGACTAAGAATCAGGGCTAAATTCGGGGAAAAGGTCATGTAGTGTAACCCCAGCTTTACACAGTTTGAATGTTTTGCAAGCAAAACTTGTAAGATTCTTGTTTACAAGCAAAAAGAACAGTGAAATAGTGTACCACTAATTTTAGAAAAAGCAATGTAACACAAAGAAGGCACAAAGATCAAAGGCCTCCATGTCTTTGACTGAATGGTAAATGAAGAAAAATCTTCCAGACGTCATCAAAAACATTAGTTATGCAAAACAATTAATAAACCTGTAAAGACCAGTTTGACATGTAAGGGATTCACAGGCTAAAAAACAAGGTGAAAAATCCACATGTTGCAATCTTCAAATACCTTTTTTAGATCTGCCTTGTTGTACATGCTCCCCTTCATCCTCTGTCTGCTGGTCAGCATTACCCTCCTGACTCTCTGTACTAGTGTCCATCTCCTCTCTGCAAAGAGTTAACATTATGGAGTTGAGTTTCAAGTAGAGCTTGACAGATAAATTTGGTGTGCCGATATGAGCTAATTGCAGATAAATCTGTATTGGCCCATAAATGCGAATTCAAAACAAGAAACAGAAGAAAGAAAGATCCTTCAACCATGTTATGACTTGTCGTTGCATAATTTGTCCATTAGAGGGCACTCACTCTGCAACCTGTTGGCAACACGTGTTTGGAACGCCTTAAATCACAACAAATCAGCTGACCCAAGCAGAGTCGAGCAGAGTAGGGTTCTTCTATGCTATACAACCCTTTTCAAAAAGGGTTCAAATCAAATCAATCTCAAGAACCATTTCTGAAACATTTAAGCATGCAAATGGTGTAGTGTTCATGGTTCTGTATAGATCCATTGTCTTTACTAAAGAACCATTTACTAAACATCTTTTTAAAGAGTACAGTGTGTGTTGTCACTATTTTGTATTTTTATACAATTCAATTATTATATCATTACCAAAATTTTAATATATTTTGTGGTACTTTTGTTTGTATTACTATGGATCTGATAATTTTTAGAACTTGTATTTTTATACATATTACTCTCATCAAAACTAATATATTTTGTTGTACTTTTTTCAAAGTACCATTTTTGACAATAAGAGTTTTCTTTTAACTGTATAATGTCATCATCTGGGTGAGGACTCTTAAATAACCACACATAAATGTTATAGAAAATCACTATTGGTCAGGCTTTAATCTCTAGTTCTTTAACAAGTTGCTTCATCGTGTGGTCTTGGCTAATGACTCCATTATTGTCTTACCCTGCTACATGTGTGCCATTCCTTGCTTCCTCTTCTTTGAGTTTCTCATGCTTTTCTTTTAGTTTCAGTTCTTGCTCTCGCAACTTCTCCTCCTTTCTCTTTCGAACTCTGCAGGTATAACAAAGTATTTATAAACTGAAAAAAAATTCTAAAAGTTTCCACCACTATTCATTCTTTTAGTTTCATTTATGTCAAAAGCAAATACAAGTTTCTCATGGATAGACAGTGTGAATAGATTTTGAATGGTGAGAAGCTACTGTGTGTATATCGGTCGCAGAAAGTGAGAGTACCTGTTAGCAGCCTCCTCTCTCTCTCTGCGGTGCTGTTCTGCTTTGATCTCACGAAGCTCCATCTTGGCTGCTCTCTGCTCATCAGCACAGTCCTCAATGAAATCTCTTGTGGAGACCAGAGTCAGCAGCTTCCCACACAGAGCATGCAGGATTTTCAGTTTCTCACCTGTCATTGCATTCACACCATTAGCAGCTAGTCACTGAAAATTGTCCACTCAAACACAAATGTTGGCTGATAAAGCAGTTCTTAGGTGAATACCCAACTATAGAAGAAACAGAGCAGGGTTCAGTGGTAGTTAGTAGTGTGAGAAATGGCCAGACTAGAGTTAAAGAGCATTAGTTGTGAGTATTAGCGTAAGCACCCACCAGGCAGCAGATCATAAACAGCAGTGCAGGAGAGCTTCTTGAGCAGGCCAGGGTTAGAGAGCCGCAGCTCCACACAGGGGTCATCTGTTGAGGCAAAACCCCCTTGCTTCTGGTAGCGGAATTTTGCATTGGTGGAGATGCATTCTGCCCCTGAAGCCAGAATGTGCAGTCTTAGGATCTCAGAGAGAGTACAGCTGTCCAGATCCAGCTGTTTCAGACTGCAGCCTGTAAAAAAATGGGAAAAGTCTATTTGAACTTTAATTTTTACAAATTTAAATAAATTTTTTAAAGCCACCAATTTACATACATTTACTAAACATATAGCATCTTTATACTGATGAAAGAAAACACTGAGAAAACTCAAAGTTTAAATCCATTCTGTTCAAAGGATGGAATATCTTTTGCATCCATGTTTGTCATGGCCAAAAGACTCTTAGGTCCCCCACTGTACTCTCTCTATTAAGGGTTCCAATCTCCTCAGTAATGTTTTCTCACCCTGATGGAGCTGAGGCCAGGCAGCAGCCAATGAAGCTACAGCACTGATGGCAGACTGTGTAGGGTCAACATCATCCTCCAATGCCTCACTCAGATCTGACAAAAGACACAGAAAAAGTTAGTCTCAACTTGGAGAACACTGTTAGGAAGGCTTATTTGGTGTTATCCTTAGGGATGCATCGATACTATTTTTTCAGACCGAGTACAAGCATACCGAGTACAAGCATACATACGGAGTACATTGTTTTTTAGTCCTTGCAGATACCAAGTCCGATACCATACTGAGTAGCCTACTTAGAATTAGGTAGTTGTTAGTGTAAATGAGAGTGATGTACCTTAACTGTCAAATCATTAAAATCTACGCTATGCTATATTATTTAAGGTTATTGAGTAGCGCTGCAGTGGAGAAGAGCAGGTTTTGTTCCGTGTCAGAAAAGCACTACTGCATTGGTGTAGCTTTGCTCCTCATCTGTATCTTTCAACAACAGTCTCTGAAGTGTGACAGCAGGAATCACCTCTGAGGCTAATGCAGCCAAGGCCAATGCATCCAAGGAGCTCACGTGTGGAGTTTTACGTCTTCTGTTTGGCTGATTAAGCTGTAGTTGAATGTCCCCTAAAGCCTGACATATACTGTGTGTAGAAATCTTGTTCTATGGTGAATCACACTGTACATTTGAATTGACCACTGTGTGCAGGCAAAGCCTACGATCTACATACACTGTACAAAAACGCTTGGTCCACACTATGTGCAATGCAGCGTCTACAGACAGCTGTCTACAGACAATTTCAAATAAAGTCGTTTCATTCAAAATAACATGCTGAGAAATTGAGCAGCACTGCTAACACTGTGCACTGAACCTAATGAGGTGGTGATGTACATTGTAGACCAATACAGCCTCTCTAACAGTCTATTTTACAAATCACCATAATGTTTATACCTTGCTATTCTAGTCAGTCAAACAGTGTAAAGTTGGCACAAACGGACTTCAGGAGCAAATGTTGACTTTTTCTGCCTCTGTTTAGCTGGCCTATGTGTCTCCACCTGTGTTGGGGAAGTGGTTGTGATTGTGTGTTTAAAAACAGGCTAAACATCACACAGTGTATTCCTGGTAGGAATATACCAAGCTGGAATGTTTAAAGTGACCAGTAACTTTGTGTCTGACTGTTACGGAGTCAGTAAGTCATCAGGGTGGCAGCAAACACTCTGCGTACATCACATTGGTATCAGCTGGTATCGGAATGTTGGTATAGATAAATTTTCATGAGTATGAGTGAACGCGCGCAGTATCGGCCCAATACCTGATACAGGAATCAGTATCAATGAATCCTAGTTACCCTACAAATACAGGGCTGGGGAGCATGTCTTGACATGAGTCGTTGTTTCTTGCCATAGTTACACTCTGCTTACAGCACAACCAAACTAATCACCTAGGCCAGGAGGCATTCTCCTGATATTTTTAGCAAAGGCTACATTCACATTACCAGGTTGAAGTGGCACAAATCCTATTTTTGCCCTAATGGGACTCAGATCTGATGTTTTCAGGGCTGTGTGGAAACGCAAATCTAATCTTTTCAAATCCGACCTTAGCCACTTTCATATGTGGCCCTAGATTGGATACGCATCCTATTCGTAGCCATGCGACCTTAACGTGAACGCTCAGATTGGTATTCATGTGCTTTTATCCCCCTGTGCGTGCGCCACCATTCATTGCGTTACCATGGCAGCAGCGTCGAACAGAGGTTAAAGTCTGTAAATGGTGGAAAAGCAACACATCTCACCTTTTTCGGATTCAGTGCACTCTAATAATGCAGCTGAGAGCTGTTCAGAATTAATTATCTTCGCAGCGAAGGCTCGTTCTTCTCGTTAAATTTGTTTGCTGATGATGCTTGTGACACACGTTATTCATTCAAGTGACGTTACTAAGTAGGATGTGCATATGCGGGTCATTTCAGGACACCAGTTCGTTCACATTAAATGACAGATTTTAATCACTTTCCTAAACGAGTGTGAACCATCGTGTCAGAGAGATCAGATTTGAGCAAGAAATCAGATTTGAGCAATGAGGCTTGTAATGTGAACGTAGCAAGAAAACCATGTCTATAATCATGTTGTGGCATAACTTACTATCTAGAGCTGGGAGGCAGAAGGAATGCTGGAGTGAGTTGTTGATTGGTGCTGATTATTTGCAAACTTTGGTGCTCAAACATAATTAACAGAATATCCAGTCTCCACAATACATTGTCAGTTTTGCACTATGATAAATATGAACACAGCAAAGAGTGAAATCTCAAGCGCCAACATGTCTTATAAAGGTCTAAAAAACATTAGAGCCTACATATGCTTTTGCTAGGAAACAATGTATGTGTATTGCATTTACATTAACATTTATGGCATTTTGCAGACGTTCTTATCCAAAGCAACTTACAACTTTTTTTTTTTTTGACACAGGTAGGCGAAGGTAGTTTTAGGAGTCTTGCCCAAGGACTCTTATTGGTATAGTGTAGGGTGCTTGCCCAATCAGGGGATTGAACCCCAGTCTACAGCGTAGAAAAATAGGTACACTATGTATTGGCATAGTCAACATAAATACAGGGACCTGCAGGAGGCACTAGATGCTGCATCATCCAGCTGCAGTCTGCTGCAGGATTAGGGAGTTTGAAAACAAGAATACTGCTGAATCATTCGCATTGGCTACTGGATTTCATTAGCTCATGTGAGTGCCAAACAAAATGAATAGCAATGTAAATATGGCTGATATTACTGAGCCAATGTAGAATTGTTTTAACCTTCGAAAGTTAACCATTTATTGTACAGAAACCATTACTACCATCACTAATGTCTCAAGAATTTAATGCATTTTACTAAATCTCTATGATAAACTACTGACTCTTAATTTTAATAAACGCTGTGTTGTAACCAGCATCCATGTGGTTATATATTATTTTTTCTTTTTGGTATACATTTTTTTTAATAAAAAAAAATCACTTTAGTTTTATAGTATTGTATCATAACATGCTCTGACCTTTGGTGTCTGCTTCAGCCACTTGCTCCTTCGCCACCTCCTCCTGCTCCTCAGCCTGTGCCTGAAAAATGGCAGACAGGAAGAAGAAGAGCAGCTCGCACAGTGGCCCCTCTGGATCACAGCCCACCAGGGCTTCCTCCAGAACCTCTGTCATCATCAGAACACAGAACTTATTAATGGACCTGGGAGAAGTCTTAAAACTGCTGTAAGATATTCAGCATGAACATTCAGCTGGCATTGCTGTTTCAGTCCCCTCCTCAAAAGACAATTTGATCATTATATGCAGAGTGTGTTGATATTCCTCTCTCACCTAGTGTGATACCATCAGGAAACTCATCCTTCAGGTCAAAGATATCACCAAATGCCTTCAGGAATTCCAGCACCATCAGTGCATCTCCAAATAGATCAGGAGGCAGACGGGTCTTCACCGGCAGTGGGTTTGGCAGTTCCTGCACAAACATGCACACAGATCAATGACTATAATCATACAAAGACTGACTGACAAGTAGTCACTAATAGAGAAGAGCACTCCTACCCTGAGATCATCACACTCCATGTCCTCTCGAGGTTTACTCCACAACTTCAGCCGTTCAGCATATTTCTTCTTCTCTTCCTTTAGCTTTTCTCGCTCCTGAGTAAGTGAATGACAAACATGGTGCATACAAGACTGCAAAATAACACTTGGCAAGAACATGCTACATTAAGTGTGCTGTAATCCACAGTAAATTACTGTAGTAATTGATGTAATTTTAGTAAAGTCCCAATCAAAGTGCTCTCCGTTAGTCTCTCGGAGCACAGGGCTACTGAACTCACCCTCTCTTTCTCCACCTTCATTCGTTCCTTCTCTTCTTTTCTCTTCTGTCTCTCCTCCTCAACAATTCTCTTGAGCTCTTCTTTCCTTCTTTCTTTGTCCTCCTTTTCCTTCTTTTTGGCTTCCAGTATATCCTCTCTCTCCCTCTTTAATTTTGATTTTTCATGTGCTGAGCAATCAAAAACCATGAAAACATTCAAACGTACAGTACACAAAGGCTGTCCACCTTTTGGTAACTTAAAATAACTTTGTATAATTTAAATTACATTTATGAACATATTATATAAGAACATATTAAACATCATAGGCTTACCCATTGCCAACATTTCTTCTTTTTGTTGCATCAGTCTTAACTTTTCTTCTGCAGCTCGCATCACGTTTGCCCCTTCAACATAACTCATCTGAAGGTAAAGGAATGCAGCATCTATTAAGGACGCTCAGAAGTCTCTGGTTTAAATTAGCACGCTTCCAGCTCCCAGGATTTATAAAACACACTGCACTGTTATATTGAGTTTTGTCAGTTTTTGCTATAAATTATTTTTCTTTGAAAATGTTCTTGGCATAATGGCCCTCATGTGGTGGACACCTGGCATGACCACTTTAAAGTCAAATCAGACCAGTGTGGAATGAGTTTCCCTTAGACATCCTTGTGCTAAGATCTTAATTAACATCTGCAGAACAAAGCAACAGCTGCACCCACCTCCCCAGGAGATGTAATATTGGGGCGGCGACCTCTGCCCTTGCTAGGAGGACTGAAGGCAAACACTGGAGGCTCATCTGGGAAGAACTGAGAGAAACTTTGTTCTGACAGCTTGTATTTTGCAACTGTTGATGGCTAGGAAAGAAAAAAACAACAGCATAAGCTTCTGAATATCCCATGATGACTATAAGTGATATATTTACAAGTAACAATAACAGTGATATACCAGCCAACTTAAATTAGCTCACACTGGAAGAGGTTAAAAAGGCGTACTTTGAGTCTGATGGTCCCATGCATTAGTTCACAGTGCTGTTTAAGGAGCAGTTTCAGTCGGTCTCGGGAAAACACATTCTTCTTACGACTACAGCAGAGAGCCAATAAAAAAGAACTGCATTAGGGTTTCACTAACGAAATCCGGTTAAATACTGTTGAATGTAAGCTGTACAAAGTACACTGTCAAATGTAAACAATGTAAGTGGACAAGAACAGTTACAGCTCCATCATTTTGGGGGATTTTAAAAAGTTCTTTCAGAAATTCTTTTAAAACATTTCTCACAGCAAAAACCACGACCACTGGAGTTTGTTGGCTCTAAGCACATTGGAACATGGTCATTACACATCTACTATATTATTTTTCCACAATGTCGACATTTTATAATGGTGTGCTAATATCTACACAGTATGTTTCCAAGTAGTTTAGTTCTCAAACATATCATGATTGGGGCATTTCTAGTCCAAACACTGAACCTACAGAAGAACTGTTCAAGCTGCCATTTTATTTTAACTGTATAGAACATAACGTAGACAATAAATAAGCTAAATGGATCATAGCATAAAATAAAAGCTGTAAATAAGGCAAGCAAAATGTCATTTCATCACATCTTATATAACCAGTTTCACTTTATAAAACATATCGAACAAAAATATAAACAACTCACCACAATTGAGCAGCTTTTACAAGTATAGGTTCACAGTCTTCTGACTTCACAGGCTGAATCTTATACTTAAATGAGGATGGACTGAGGGGCTTCTTCCTGCTTCAGTAAAACAAAGGACAAGAAACTGATCTCAGCCAAAACACAAATTACATGTGTAAAATAACTGAAAGAGACATTCCAGGACATCTGAATTTTTGAAAACTCACCCACTGGGCGTCTTGGGTGAAGTGACTGTGCTCTCATCATCACTGTCACTGATGACAATGGAATCCCCCTCCATCCGGTGTTTGATATGACCATTAACTGTCCCATTGGAATGAGGAGGAATGACCTCTAAGATCTTGTAGGGATGTCTGTGAAACATGATTATATATGAAAAAGCTGGACGAAACAGAGAATCTGCCTTTTAAATAAGACATTTATGACATACCCAAAACCTGCAACTGAAACTAGAGACACCAGAAACACAAAGCTAAAAAGCTTCCAGCATATTTATTCTATAAACTACTGCCATTTTCATGCTGTTTTCTTGCTCCAACATGGCCGTTTACTACTAATGAAGGACTTGTTCATTAGTTAATCAATCAATCAGGTGTGTTGGGAGCAAATAAACTTTCCTGAAGTGTCTGGGGTTTATATGCACAAAAATAATGTTGAGGAACTACAAAAAAAGGAAAGAGCGATATTTTAAAAAGTGAAATTTGACATAAGAGTGTGCATCATAATAGGCTTATATCCTACATTTTCCCCTCTGAGATCCACTGACAATGTCTGTGGTTTTATGAACCAAAACCAATTGTTCTGCGACATCACAAAACAACAAACAGGCTGTTTTAGCAACTTAGTTTGTATAACTGGACTGTAAGGATTGGAGAGTGAACAGTACATTTTGATGTCTGTTCACATACAACCTCAAATGCTTACTTTGAGGTTTTCCATGAATGTACTTTTTTGCCACATAGTATTAAGTTCACTGGTTAGAGTAATATTTGAAATATTCTCAGATAAATATGATCACTATCCCAAAGCCCCCGACCCCCAGCGGGAGACATAAAATATGATTAAATAATAAAAAGAAGAGTTCTTTTTTTATTACTAATAAATCAAGTATTCCACCAAGAAACATAGTTCCTTCAGAGTATGGCAACGCTGCCAAGCAACCATGAACTGCTGAACGAGAAGAAGATTGTCACCCATCATATTGCGGTCATTTCATGAACGTTTTAACTTTTTTGTTGTATAACATCGAACATATCAGAACACAGTACTGTTTAGTGCAAAAACTGTTGCTTTATAAGTACTTTTTGGTCACTTCCACAAATCTTATTTAGCACCAATGTAATAGCACCTCTCTTACCATGCTGAGGCTGAATCTCAAATGGCTCAATGGCTCCCTACTCCCTACATAGTGCAGTATGTAGGAACAGTGCACAATATAGCTAAAATTGTAGTCATTTGGGATTAAGCCACATCCATACTCGACAAATACAGCTCTATTTGGCTGTAGACACTAGAATTTCAAAACTTCTCTAGCACACCATTTAGGGAGTACGGAGCCGAGATTCAGCCTGGGTTTGATGCTACTTAAGGAAGATCCGAGTGAAACACAGACATCTGAAGCATATAAGCCATTCAAGTCACAATCTTTAGCCTTTTTATTGCCGTTTTACAGTGAATCATATTCCAAGTACTTTAATTCAAGCCTGTAATATTAATGATAGCGCTGTTTAAGCATATTTGCTACCTTTTAGCCTGTTAGCTAGCTGGCCAGCCTAGTTCTAGTTGAGAAAATAAGTTTTCAGACCCTCAGTTTCAACAAAAACGGGTTCTCACTTCATTAGTACACTCGGAGGCCCACGCGAGCAGCATGAGAGGCAGAGATTATTCCAGCGCAAGGATTTTTCGTGCATGATGCAGTATGTTGAGTTGGTCATAGGTGTGTGCTTATTGTGTATTTTAGAACAGCTTTGAATGTGGCTCAGCCAATCAGATGTTAGAACCAGAACTATTAATTTTAAAATAATGGGTTAATTATGGGCATCTTCTAACTTTTCATGGGTAAACATGGAAAGTGAATATGCCCGTCTGCACACTGATCGAAATCAATGCTGATTTCTCTATCCTTTCTCTGATTTACGATTAGAAACAGGTGTGCAGGGCTTTCAATAAACCTGATGAAAACGTCCATTCAGACAAAATTAGAAATGCACGTATGCATCACTTTAGTGGTGTTCTACATATGACTTCATATAATGGCCCCTGGTCTCTTTTTGAAAGTTCAATCACATGACTTTATAATCAGTGCATACTAATGAACCTATGCCCTACAAAACATACACCTCAATCCCACTGTCAAAACAAAAACAGTCAACTGTCCTAAATTTCAATAACCATAAACATGGCCAGGACGTCAGAAAGGAACCCATGCAAATAAAGTATACCTGAGCAATGGCAAAGCCAACCAACAAGCACCGCCAGAGTGCGTCAGACACACCCCAGTATCCCTAAAAGTCTCCCCAGCTCCCTCTAAAAAAGCTCCCCTCCTCTCCCCTGCTGGGACTCCGTGTTGCTGCATGTCTGGCTGCCGCTGAGCAGGCCATGATGATGTGATGTCTGAGACAACTCCTTATGCTAGGCCAGCCTATCAGAATGCCTCTTTTAGCTCCACCCACACTTTGGTTATCTCCAAATGGCAAAGTCAGCTTGTGATGGCTGCCTCTATCCTCTCTCACAACTGAGGACAGCTCAGTAATTCAGAAGCTCTACAGGCTATACTAGACATACTGTTTTCACCGTGAAATATACGCCTTTTCAAACACTGTCAAAAGTACGGAGAGTAGGGCTGAGCGAACTGAAGAACATATCTAATTGTGACTATTTTATTCTCTCTCTTGCTCTATATTTTTTTTTTTTGCTCAGAAGACCAGCATATCCATGTTTTCTGGCCTGAAGCCTGAACGAGGTACATAGTGCACTGAACCGTCAGTTAGCTGTGGTTGTGTTGTCATGTACACAGTACATGGGTGTTTGGTTGCTTTTGATTGGTCTAAATCTACAGGCAGATCACAAGCTCCATGTCATTAGGTTTCCCCTTTTGAACAACTTTGATAATATAGGCTATAATTAAAACTGTAGCTTTTGTAATTTGAAAACTGCACTCAGGTCAGTGTAGAGGCATCACATACATTAAAAATCAAAAAGGCTGTTTTGTGCAGAACAGACTGAGAAGCCAAATGCATCTCAAGCCAAAATTACCACAAATAATTTTACCTTGATTTTTTTTCACATTGCTATGGAAAGGCTCTGACAGAAGAGACTTCATCTTTGATTTGTACCATTTAAACAAAATTTAAGATTACTAACCATCTGGTAATTACTCTCTTTTAAAACTGAAATTAAATTGTATAATTTCAGTCATGAAACCCATGGTGATGAGGGCATTATAACTGCATTCCTCAGGAATGTTAATATTAACTAAGAGACTCCAAATACAACTTGTGTAGTCTTGTGTTCTTCCTATGCCATGAAACCAGCTACAATTTGTCATAAGAAGAAAGTTCACTAACTGAGGAAAGTCTGATTTGACAGAATCTGGGAGCAAAACAGTAATTCCTTGTTTATTTTTACATAAAGCAGAGTAGACATGGAACCGAACATGATGACAACAAATGAAGGCCAGATCTTTACTACAGCAGACGGAGTGACAATAGAAGTTGCAGACCATTCATTCGTAGTGACGTCATGTGGACTGTCACATCACTAACAAAGAGCACAGACAACTAAAAAGCTGAAATAATAGCCCAACTTGGAACTTAATGCCTTTTTACTTTAAGAGTGTTGTTCATATTCATGGACTAGATCTTTTGTCACAAGCAAAGCCATCACACGATTCTATTCAAGACTATATCACTGTTGTCAGAAGAAAACCTCGTATCTCCAAAATAGTAGCTTTACAGGAAAAGGAAAAAAACTACTTTTAATGTAATGTCAATGGAACCAGACTTTTTTCCAAAGTAATTTTAGGTCATTTATTTTAGTCCATTCATCATGAAATTTACATACAATATAAAGGGTAATAGGTATTTCTTCCAACAACAGTGATTTTACATGTCGGTGCTGTATTTAAAAAAAAAACAACAAAAAAACATTTGTTCAATACATTACCTGGCACCGGAACGACTCACAAGATCCACCATCTCCCCAGGAAAGAAACGCTCTTTCACAAAAGCATAGATGTCATCGCATATCTCATGCAGGCGTGCACGGTGGGTGAGAGCAGTCAGGTGCAAGAGGGGGAGCATCAATGTAGTAGGAAAGTTCTGAAGATTAAGCTTGGCTTTCTTCTCACTCTCCAGGGCTTCCTGGTAAGTCAGACCCGGCTTGCCTGTCACCGCACAGCTCCACACCAAACTGTTACAAAGGATGGTCCTCTCAAAGAACTCACTGTAGAAACAGCATATCAAGACCCACAGTCTCAGTAACTACCAATTTGGCTTTAAAAGAGACATACAGGCGACGGTTCACATTAACCATTATACTTCTGCCCGTTAATGTCAAAACTGAACTCCATGGTACTCTTTAATTGACTGCACTTTGCTGTAAGGAATGTATTCGTAATTAAAAATGAGGTCAAAGCATGGTCACAACGCGGAGTATGATGACCCAAAATCACCATTTCTATTTACATCGTGTGCATCTGTTTATAATTGGTGTTCAGGACTTCAATACAAACATGCACTGGATGAGTTCTCGCTGTTTGGTTTTCTTGGTGTGTAGTAAATGCCTTTGTCATCCCGATTTTCTACGTCTCGTCTTGTAACACTTTGTCAAGTTACATAGGAGCAAGAAACACCGACAGTGCAGAAGCATTAGAGGGGTCTTATCATCTTGCTAATTGCCTTCCAACAATAGCTGCTACCACGTTTCTAGCTGAACATCCTGTGAGTGTCGAGAACTTAACAACACACTTCATAACAACAAAAACAATGAAGACGCTTTTAAACTCGGTCAACTCCGTTAATCTTTACTGCTACAACCCAAATGACCCCTATATGAAAAACAAGGGGGACATTTTTCATTTTACAGCAGCTTTTAGGAGTACGGCGCTAACTAGCACAAGGGCCTAGCGAGCTAAGGCTAGCGCCGAGTTCATCCGTCCAGGCAACTCACACCTGCCACTTCGTAAGGCTTATAAATCCACACAGCAGCGAAATAAACCCTGATTTATTTCTGTACTCTAAAAGGCACATTTAAACTAAGTGCTTAGCTGTTAACGACATATGAAACAAGAACAGTTAGTCAACTCAACGAAAACAAAAACTTTGCAGGACGTCCCCGGGCTGTCACTCTGTTGTCTGACTTCGAAACAGTTTGATGCCGTTAGCTAACCTAGCTAGCTAACTTACAGCTAACGTCCTATTAAGTTCAGATGGAGCAGAAGTTGAAAGTCACTCACTCGTAGGTTCTGAATATCTCGTGAGTCACTTTACAAAGGAAAACTTCTTCGTCTGGCTTGAGATCAGCAGGAGGTTTCTGTCGGACGAAGGGCTTTTTGTGAAGAAGCGGCATCTTTCTTTATCTCGGCGCCTGTGCTGCTGCTGTTGATGCTGTGCCGCTGTTGGCGGTGGCGGTGTGTCCTATACTTTCAAAAAAGGGAGGGAAACAGAAAGTAAGAAATGTTTAATTCTGAGCTTTCACGCGATACGGAAAGACCCGTTTACATTCTCACACGAACCATCCAGAGCTGACGACGTGAAAAGGGTTAAAAATAAAAGCGCCAAACTACGAGAATTTTCAAGAGGAAATCCAGCCTTTGTTAATGACACACGCTTCCCACTCCCGGTCTCTCACACACACAGGGTGACGTTAAACCCAGCCCACATGAAAATGTGCTCTCAATGAGAGCGTGTGTCGGCTGTAACCGACTGGAAAAACGACATAATTAATAGAAAACAACGACGCCCACAAAACACTGTCGAACAGCAGGCACCTTTACCCGTTGTATAATGCAGAAAAGTAGTCCGTTTGTGGGGCAAAAAAGAGAGAACTCAGGTCCTGCCCCACTTCTCCGAGCGGGCTGAGCGTGTTGACGACAAGTTTTGATCCGTTCTAGTTCAGTTACAGACAAGGAAGGGGTGTGGGAGGAGCTTGTGAGATAATCTTGTTCTCCTATTGGTTATTCACACTGCCATTCACATGCTCATGGCCAATGGTGATGACTGGAGATGTGGGATAAGGGACTTCATCATAGCGCTTCACCTATTGTATTCTCTGACTTACCGGTAGGGTGAGATGGGAAGAAGTGAGACATCAGGTGGGACGAATAAGATTGATGCTACATGGCTATTTGAGTGACAGGGGCCAATCAAATGTAACTGTCATAAATAATTACTGCAAATATGCTTGTCATTTAGCATTTGTTTTCACTGGCCTAGCATCACTGCTACCGATCATAATTTGACATCAGCGTGATTTCACTGGAAGTCTGACAAATCAGAATTACTTTTTATAAGAATGTATAAATGTGTACAAATCAAAGTGTTTTTAAAACTCTATGAAATACAGTATTTCTTGTTACAAAATTAGATTTTATCATTTGACAAAGTAGATTTCTAGTACAGCTTTACTTTTGCTAAACATGCTAGGAAAACTGAGAAGCCATTGTGCTGTACTTAGATCATTTTTCACTGCACTATTAAGAGCTATTACGATATGGTCACTATGGCGTGACTTTATCAGTGTTTTTTAGCCAGGGTGTTTAATAACAGGCCTTATCATGCATGTATACACAGATGGGTGAGAAATGAAAAGGAAAACACTATGAAGTGTCTTAGTGATGTGTTGGGCCACGACAGGCCACCAGAACAGCTTCAGTGCACCTTGGAATAGATTGTTCAAGTCTCTAAAACTGTACTTGACAGATGGAACGTTCTTCCAAAAGATTTTCATCAAGTGTTTTGATGATAGGTTGAGATGTGGTGACTGCGAAGGCCAGAGCAAATGACTGACATCATTTTCATACTCATCAAACCATTCAGTGACCCTTTAGGCCCTCCACTGTCATCCTGGACGAAAGCACTCTCATCAGGATAGAATGAGGTGATCAGTCAGAATAACTTTGTATTGATTAGCAGTGACCCTATCCTCTAAAGTGTCAAGTGAACTCACACCATGCCAGATAAATACTCCCTACAGCAGAACCACTGAAATGCATCACTGTAGGGGTCAAGCATTCAGGCCTGTTTCATTCTCTTGGTGTATACTGCACATGCACTCAAATGCGATGAAGTATGACTCATTATCACTTTTTCCCTACATCTCTTTGTCTAAGGTTTTTGCACCACTGAAGTCTTAGTAATGAGATATTTCTGCACTGTGTGCCTTCAACCACAATTTCCAATCCTTTCCCATAGATCTAAATGCAGATGTCACTTCTGTCACACTGTTCCTATTGAAACACTAGACAGCTGAGCAGCCTGTGACTGAAGCTCCTGTCATTAGGCCTCAAATATTAAACCCTCTTGTTAAGGTCATGCTTTTCCTCTTTCTATTCTTATCTAAAATGAAAGTCAACTGGACCTGCTCAGCATTTTTACAAATGCCACAGACCATTGTAGGATGTTGTTTAGCAGTATCATGCAGGACAGCTGTCTGAAGTATGTGCACTCATTTTGTTTCTCCACTCATTTTTTGTGTGGAATCATGTTGCATGTAGACCTAATTAAAAAACATTCTTTATCGCAATATAAAAATTATATAGTTTTAACACACACATTTAGGAGGCATGTGACAACTCATAAAAAGGATTTGGTATTTAACAGGTCCTCCAGTGCAAATGGTGTTCCGCTGTACAGTTCTCCCTACAATGTTTAGCAAACATACCATGATGAATTAGAAAGAAAAATGGAATCCTTATTTGTATACAGAGAACAACTAATATGACACAGTCAATGAACCTAAGTAACTATTATTGTTACCAATACCAACTTTTTTTGACCCCAATTGCTAAGTACACTATATAAAAGTATGTGAACAACCTGCCTAATTATTGAAAACCTCAAAGGGCTGCCAAGTGCTGAAGTGCACAGCATGTAAAAATCACCAATCCTCTGCTGTATCACTCACCACAGAATTCCCAACTGCTCCTGTAAGCAACAAGAACTGTGTGTCAGGAGCTTCATGAAATGGGTTTCTAAGGCTGAGCAGCTGCTCACAAGCGCAATGCCAAGTGTCAGCTGATGGAAAGCACGCTGCCACTGGACTCCGGAGCAGTGAAAATTTGTTCTCTGGTGTGATGTATTATGCTTCTCTATCTGGCAGTCTGATAACAAATCTAGGTTTGGCAGATGTCAGGACAACACTAACTACTGGAATGTATATTGCCAGCAGTAAAGTTTGGTGGAGGAGGGATAATGGTCTGGGGGTGTTTTTCAGGGTTTGGGCCCCTTAGTTCCAGTGAAGGATAATGTTAATTCTACAGAATGCAAAGATATTTTTAGATAATTACAAGCTTCCAAGTTTGTGTCAACAGTTTGGGGAAGGCCATTTCCTGCTCCAGCACGACTGTGCCCCTGTGCACAAAGAGAGGTCCATAAAGACATGGATTGACAAGTTTAGTATGGAGGAACTCCAGTTGTCTGCACCGAGCCCTGACCGCAACCCCACTGACCACCTTTGGGACAAACTCGAATGCTGATTGTGAGCCAGGCCGGCCTTCTTATCCAACATCAGTGCCTTACCTTACAAATGCTCTCTTGACCAAATGGTCACAAATTTCTACAGACACACTTCAAAATCTTGTGGCTTCTGTAGCTGCCAAGGGGTGCGAAATTCATATTAATGCCCATGGTTTTGGAATGAGATGTCCAAAAAACTCACATAGGTGTGACGGTCAGGTATCCACATACTTTTGGCTATATAGTGTATTTAATCAAATCTGCTTTTTAAAATTATGATGAACTTATGAGTTATGAAATATGAGTTATGACTACAAGAGTTTTTAAACATCAAGCAAAATGAGCGAGCAGTGACTGAAGTTTTTTAATTGATAATTGCTTGATCTTCGAAGATCTTAGGCGGGTGACAGTCCATGTTCTTTTCTTGTGCTCTAAAAGACATTAACTATAGACAAAGTCAACAAGTTCTGGTACAAAATCCCCAAATGTTGCAGAATATTTACATTTACAGCATTTAGTTATCCAGAGTGACTTTCAAAAGTGCTGAACTATGGCAATTAATTCAACAGTGAACTATACAATAGTGATAACAGTCTAACAAAGCACTGTTGTCCTATCAGATTAATGGCCCACTGCATGTACTGCCAGCTGGTTGTTTTAAATGTAGATGTGTTGATGTATTTCATTAAATGTGCAACACTAGCAACATATCTGCCAAAAATTCATCTGTGTATTTATAGACAGATATCATTGGAATCTAGCGAGTCTAATTGTGCATGGTTCTATGGCAATATCCATTTCCCAAAATCTTACTGTTCCAAGAAGTCCATTTTGAGTCTCTTGTGTCTGAGTTCCAGGTCAGAGTACTCTGTAGAGATGTATTTGTTTGAGGGAATCTGCGTCTGCGTCATTTTTCAGATAAACACTATAATCAAGCGGCACTTCCTCTAACCAGTGTCCAATCGCTGACAGTCCCTGAAACACAAAGAAAAGTATCAGTCATAATAAAAAAGCATCAGTGTCATTAAATATGCATGACATTCAGGGAAATATAGCTTATTATTGTTAAATAACGTCACTGTCCAAAAGAAAACCCCTCCTTTTTTATTTTCATTTTTCTATATTTTGAGCACAGCAGCTGCCCTTTACATTGTGTGAAAATGTTATGATAAATGGTCCAATAGAAATGCTCCAAAATTGCTTGTAATAAAATCTCTTTACATTAACTTACATTAAAAGTAAAGAACATTTTTGCAATCTCCTGTAAAGTTGCCATTTTGGAGATACTAGTTTTTCTTTGGACAGTGACAATATTAAAATTACAAACATCTGTGCTGCTCACATTGGTGTCTTGCAGTGACATGAGAGCTTCTTGAATGCTGGGAACAGTTACCAACAGTGCACCTTTCTTTAGAAAATTTTGGCTTATAAACTGCCAGGCCCTGTTATAAAAATAGGAATGAAAGAAAGAAATTCTGATAAGTGAACATTCAAGTAAAATGTATAATATTCAACTGGATATATATATCAAGTGCACTGCATCCTGATTTTTTGGTTCTATTCCATATTATTATTATGGGTGCATCTGTATCCCTTCTGATACCCTTATAAAATAGAAATAAGAAAAAATACAGAAATAAGAGCTTATCACAGCGTACTATCCTGCCTGAAGGTTCTTATATTTGCATCTTGTTTCAAATATTCAAATAAACATTTACAGTTTCATCACAATCAGCAGTGATAGCAGGTTAAAGTCCATGCAGCTACAGTATCAAAGAAGAGCCTACTAATAGTGCACCTTACCTTAGCTGATCTTTGAGCTCCATAAAGTACTCAAACACATTATTCATGATCAGCACATCTGCATTTTGCACTAATGCAGCCTGAGAGCAGATATCTGCATGAATCACCTGTGGAAGGCACACAGAAATAACTCTCAAGGCATGTCAAGTGCAGCACTGATCATGACATAAGCAGTACAATAAAACAGTCTGCTACCTGAATTCTGTCACTGAAGCCATACTTCTCCACAGCGATTGTCTGAAGCTTGACAAACTCTTCACTTATTTCTACTCCAACAAGTTGTGCTGCTGCACTGTAGACATAACCCTACTAAAGGAAAGGTTATCTGTTTAGAATTTGTAGTAAATATAAAATATTACTTCAAATTGTTGAAATCAATCTGCTTGTGAGTATGAACGAGTATGAGTAGGAAGTCTATGCAGAGATCAAAGCGAATATTAAGATATTCATGGTAGGGCAGGGCAATATGACAGTATTTTATTTTTATCGGAACAAATTACATCACAAAATGCTTTTTTTCCTAAGCGTTTCCTTGTGGCTGTTGTCAGTAATTAAAGAACACTGACCATCTTTATTTCATTACATAAGAGAATTCATTACATAAGAGAATTAGAGATTATTAATCCTGTTTGACTGGATTTAGTGCAGCACAGTAGATGAAATACTGAATAAAAATGATCATACTGACAGTTTTTGGTAGAAATTATAAACAACGTGGCACTAGTGGTGCTTTGCACAGTGCAGTGAGAAAGCATTTACTTTATTACAGCATACATATGACAGTGAATGCTTTTAGATATTTAAACAAATTTTAATACTAGACAACCAGACCAGAGACAAAACTATTTTAAAATTATTATTTAAGCAGCAATAACTGCAACCAACGTTTCTTATGATTTACCATAATTTGTGCTCACTCCTCTTTGCAGAACTGCTTTAATTCAGATATATTGGTAGGTTTTTGCCTGTGAACTACTTGTCCGAGGCCACACCAAGGCCATGCACAGCATCTCAGGACTACCACCACCATGTTTTGAATGGCATGAATTTTCAACTGTGAAATGCAGAACTTACTTTATGGCAGATACAGTGCTGTAAAAAAAGTACTTGCCCCTCACCCGATTTAATCTATTTTGCCTAATTTGTCACATTTAAATGTTTAACTAAATTTAATATAAGATAAAGACGAATAAACGCAAAATGCAGCCTTTTTTTTTCAATTTTTACCCGATTTTCTCCCCAATTTAGTCGTCTCCAATTCCACCCGCTAGTTAGGACCTGCTGCAAGACCCAACTGTGCTTGAGCTTTAAGTCACAAACTGACAGGCAGACATTCTCCTTCAGGATTTTCTGATAAAGAGCAGAATTCATGGTTCCATCAGTTATGTCAAGTAGGGCCAGACAGGGCTGTACAACATTTTTCTTTCAAATTAAATCATTTAAAAACAGCATTTTGTGTTTACTTGGGTTATCTTTGTCTAATATTAAAAGTAGTTTGATGATCTGAAACATTCATATATAGGAAATATTTGCAAAAATAGATGAGCACTATATAAAAGAACCTCCATGTGTCCATTCAGACTGGTCTATCCATAGAACATCATTCCAAAAGGCTTAGGGAATATCCAAGAGCTTTGTTTTTTTGCTGATGTCACATTAGTACTGATGTTTCTTTAGGTTAGCAGTGTTTCTGCCTGGCTGTTCTTCCATTCCCCTTTTGCCCAGACACTTTCTTGCTGCAGAAACAACAACCTTAGAAAAGACTAAAGACATCTACATCTCCTTGGATCTTCACCTGGAACCTTTGGTGACTTTCTGAATGATTTGCTGCTGCACCCTTGGGGAAATTGTGGCAAGTTGGCCACTCCTTCACCAAGCGTTCGCTTCTCATTTTGTAGATAATGGCTCTCACTGTGGATGTCCTAGATACTTAGATACGGTTTTATAACCCTTTCCAGTCTGATGTATTAAAACACTTTTTCCCTTATCTCGTTTGGAATTTCTTTTCATTAAGGCCAAGTGTTCTTGTACTTTGCAACTACATCACTCTGATTGTAATATGTGTGAGATTTCAAACCTTGCTGTGTTCAATCAGCTGAATCTCATTATCAATGAAATTTGGTTGATTTGATGTTTGAGTAACTAAGGAGCAATTACTTTTTCCACTACATGTAAGTGATCTGCATGTTGGAAACTTTGATGTTTAAATAAATGAACAGTAATTTAAAAAGTGTGCTTTGTGTCTGAAAAGGTTCTCTTTGCATCATATTTCATTTAGTTTAAAGATGTAAAAGTATTCATTGTGAAAAATAAAAAATAAGAATGGGGCAAATACCTTTTTCATATCATTGTATCAGTTTATCAATATACTGTGATAAATAACATTTACCATGAAAATGTCATTAAGTATGTGATATATTTTTGCCATATTGCCGAACATGATAATTATTCCTCCAATCTCCCAGTAGTACTTTACCCCATAGAGCACCGCTCCTAGTCTGGAACCCACATCCACAACCAACTTTCCTGTCAGGTCTGGGAGAACGTGATGAAACAGGTACTGGAGCTCCGAAATGGAAAAGGAATGCGAGATGAACTCTGCAGGACATTGCAATCTGAGCCTGAAAATTTGCTACTATATTCAGCAAAGTGGAATGACTTGAAAAGTACAACATTCAGTTAAGCTAAAGAGTGTTTACAACTTACCCAGAGGGGCTGTTCTATGTGATCCACAGTTGAGACAGTAGTTGCGACTCATTTTACCCTCTTCACAGATGGAATCAACTGCTTCCTCATCGTACAAAAATGCATCCACATGCACAGTAGGTTTAGAGTTCTGCTGGGTCTGCAATAAAAAGTGGACTTTAGGAGATGCCAGTTATGGTTTAGTTGCCTATGTGAAGATAAACAGGCTGAAAAGGCAGACCTTCTGGATAGCCATGGTCTCTGAAGGAAACATAGCCTCAAGGGGAAGACAAGGCCTGAGATCGTCTGCAATACTTTTGAGTATAGTCCTTTGATTGTCAACCAAGTAGTCATCAAGATCATCTGAAACACAAATTACAGTATTTAACTAAAGCAGTAATTGCCCTGTAAAACCCCATATAGAAAAATGTTGCGAAAAAAATAAGTGAGCAAAAACATTCATCAAATATAGGTAAAACATACAATGACTATTTTTCCCCACAAATGTTTGGAGAAATTGCAAACTATTCATTCAATAAAAATAATTCCTGCAAAATGTATATCGGGAATAGTTCATTCTGTCAAAAAATATATTTTGCAAAATTATTGGCACCCTTGAAGAATAGTATAAATAAAACCAAATGAATGTGTGTTGGGAATAAATGTTTCTTGATATTGGTTTTAGTATTTAGGAACTTTATTGCTGTCTATGATCATTTTCTGTTTCAATTATCAGTAAGCACAATCAGAGCCAGAGTAAAGAAATTTCAAAAGCATGGGACAGTTGAAAATTAGCCAGGAAGGGGACATATCTGCATATTGCCCCGATGCACAGTAAGGAGTACGCCAAGAGAGGCAAAGAGAAGCACAAAGGTCACAGCATCACAACTGCAAAGTTTAGTTATTGGGGTTTCACCATTTCAGTGTGATGCCACCACGATGACCAGAAACCTTTTGGATGAGTTCAACCAAATAAGCCCTTCCTGAGACCAAGACAGTAATCCAGCATCTGAACTTTGCCAAGCAACATTGGATGTACAACTGGAATCATGTGTTGTGGTCAGATGAAACAAAAATTGAGCTTTCTGGTCATGCACACCATCGTCATGTTTGGCAAAAAAAAAAGAGGACAGAGTACAGAGAACAGCACCTTGTACCCACTGTAAAATATGGTGGTGGCTCTTTGATGCTTTGGGGCTGTTTTGCTGCCAGTGGTCCAGGGGCTCTTGTTAAGGTCAGAGGCATAATGAATTCCATTCAATACCAGAACATCTTAGGTGAAAATCTGGTTGCCTCTGCCAGAAGGCTCAAACTGGGCTGTGCTTCCAACAAGACAATGACACAAAGCACACTTCAAAATCGACAAAGATATGGTTGCAGCAACTCAAGATTTTGCAATGGCCAACTCAGTGTCCAGACTTGAACCCAATTGAAAATCTGTGGTCTCAACTGAAGGGTCAGTTCACAAGAGAAAACCCAAGAATCTCAATGAGTTGGAAATGTTCTGCAAGGAAGAATGGACCAAGATCCCTCCATACAAGTTCTCCACCAACACTACAGAAAGAGGCTGAGCACTGTCATTCTCACCAGGGGAGGCTCCACCAAATACTGAAATTTGAGGTGGCAATATTTTTGGAATCTGCATATGTATATGTTGCTATATGGCTGAAATATATGCCCATATTTGAAAATGGCCAGTTTCAAGTTGGCATATATGTCTCACATATGTCCATATGTGACAGGTTAAGGGAAATCCATGTAAATTACACTAATATATGCCATATATTAAATATCCATATATTGTCATATATCATATTCCCGTATGAGACAGCACAACAGTGAGTAGGTGTATTTAATCAAATATCTTATTTTAGTGCATCCAGCTATGAAACATAAAAGCTAACCGTACTTTTGCTGCAATGCAAACAAACCTACACGTAACTTTTACTCTCGACAGAGACATAAAAACAGAAAGCGAATTACCGGAATTTTTCACCCAGTCGATGAGCTTAGCGAGATCCTGAGGCTCCGTTCTGCCTAATATATGCAGAATTTCATTCTTAGCCTCGTTAAAGTTCATTTTCAACCGTCAATTTTAGATTTAGATGGTTAAATCTGAAACTCGAGCAGCACATGTACCCGCAGCACTTCAGTTTAGGGAGGAGCCAAACATGCTCTTATTTTTTAAGGTGGCTCTAGAAAACAACGCTCAGTGATGCTAACTAATAAGACCGTAAATCAAAGTGAATTGCATTTCTCAGCATGAAATTAATATATCACTGGCAAGTAATAATATAAAATAAAATAATCTCATATTATATTTGCTACTAATCTTCCTAAATGCAGTTCCACCTTAAGTACGCGTTTACGTTGGCTGGCTGGTTCAGACAACTTTAGTTATGGAGCATTTTCTCAAATAAAAAGGTTGAAAAAGAGTAATAAACAACATCATGTCATTCTCCTTATTTTACCGTGAATAAGAATAAAATATTAAGAAATATACTGAATATTTGTTTACGATAGTACAAAAGCGGTCTACAAAGAGCCGTTTAACGCTGATTCTGGATCAGCTTTCGTTGCCATATCACTTCCTCAGCCTGTTGACGAGTGACGATAACAACTGACCCCAGATCAGCACAAAACATCCAAATCCGGCGTTTGCCTCGGAAGTAGAAAGGTTTTATGGGAGTTTGTGTGTTAGATGACGTCTACCTGCTCTCTGCCGAAACAGCTGTGTCGAAGGTAAGACAAGGAAATAAAATCCGGATAAAATTAACCACATAAAGACTTTTTCACTGTTTATCAACGCATGTATGTTGTCTCTGTGATTTATGTGTATATAAACCTTAAAGGATGTGAGGATGGTCCTCTTTTTGCTCGAGTCTTGGCCAATCGAGCCTCCAGCAGCGAGCTAACGCTAACGATCCGAGAAAAACAAGCTAACCAAACGTAGGTTAGCTAAGTTACACACGAGGAAGCTTAATCACTTCATTCAGGGTGGATTAGAGTTGTTTCTGCTTGAATTAACTCGCATTTGCTTTACTTTAAAGTGGAAATCGCAGAAGACCAGCGTTAGCTATGATGTTTTTCTGATAGACGCTGAACAGCGACCCGCGAACATGACTGTAATGTTTAATACCGCTAACGTTACTAAGTAACGCACTGAACCGTTATCATTATTTATTTAATAAATCCGCCTCTTGCTAACTGGCAAAAGATGACCAGAACATGTTGTCCCTAGTATCTCTGTTATCGACAGACCGTCTGTGCCTCATGATCCCTTTATACAGCTGTGTGGGGTTTTATATTGAAGGCATGTTACTGTGCACTTTTCCTTTACTGGTGTAGCTTCTTGTTTTCTACTTATGTTTAGATTTTTTCTGATGTGCGTATTTGTTTCCTGTGTTTGAGTTTGGGGTTTTTTACTGGTAGGCAGGCGACTGTTTTTTGTGTTTGTTGTATTCGTTTTAGTGGTGGTGGACATGTTTGGGTCTTATGTTTGGAGCTTTTTTCCTGTGGTTTGGTTCTCGGGTTTGTTTATTATTTATTTAACTGATGGATATGTGTTTGGTTACTGTATTCGGAGCATTTGTGTTTGGTTTCTTGTTTTTGTGTTTTTTCCTTTTTATTTATTTAAACTTACTGCTTTGGTTCTGGCTCGTATGTTTGAGTTTTTAACTGAGCATGTGTGCTAGACCGTATCGCTAATGGGCCAAGACTCCTTGCGAATGTGAAAACGTTTCCCTTCTGCAATTTTAATGCCAATTCCTAAGTGTTTATACTAAAGGGAAATGTCAATATTATAGCATTACTTACGATAGTCGTACATTTCTGCAACCTACAATAAATATCTTTAGTATTACTAGAAGAAACAATAAGATTTTTATAATGCTGGATGATTCATCTGTCACTTATTTTTTAATATTTTCACCTTCTTCAAAATTCTTTTGATACTGTTTAATAGTAATATATAATACTTGTGTAGTATCTTTTAGGAAACTATAGTAATTCTTACAGAAATCCTGTAGAAATTCATGTAATGTTTCTATAGATACTGTTCATAGAAGAAACTTGTGGCCAAGCACTCAGAAAATACATTAAAGGAGTAAGTCTTTTGTGTTAAATTAACTCTTTGTGTTTGTCCTAGGAAACACTGTGGTTTATTTGCTGACTTAACTGGGTCATTTGCACCCATATATAACTATCGGTGGGATCTTTGAACGACAGTTTCCCTGGGGGGAACCCCCACCTTACTGAAGAGGTTGCATTTGCCTAACACGTATGGAAATGCCCTTTACTTCATGATTATAACTACGGCCACCTAATAATAAGTGCAGAAGATCATTACAGCATCATGTTTTCATGTTACAGGTAGCCAACTCTAAACCGCAAACATGGTGTTAGCTGACTTGGGAAGAAAAATAACCTCGGCGCTGAGATCGCTCAGCAATGCCACAATCATCAATGAGGAGGTAACTGACCAGTATAGTTTTTCTAAAAGGTTTTTTTGGCTGGTAACATTTACTCTGGGAGGTTCTTTGGGTCTCTGCTTTAGGGATTGTCTTTGTCTCTCAACACTCCTTGTCACTAGTGTTTATGAAGTAAACCTCTGTCTTTCCCAGGTTTTAAATGCTATGCTAAAAGAAGTTTGTGCTGCCTTGCTGGAAGCTGATGTCAACATCAAACTGGTGAAGCAGCTCCGAGAGAATGTCAAGTAAGATTGGGGTTTTAGATTTTTGTATGTAATGAAGTTTTCCTTTTCTCAAAGGAAATGCTTAGTCATATTTGATCATTCTTAGGGCAGCTATTGATCTGGAGGAGATGGCCTCTGGGCTGAATAAGAGAAGAATGATCCAGCATGCTGTTTTCAAGGAGCTTGTCAAGGTTTGTGCTATGTTATTGCAGAGTAGCTTGTGTTTTTTGGCAATACATGATACATTGTTAAAAGTTAATGTTGCATTCTAAGATGTGTTTTGCTTTCTGCAGCAAAAAAATAAAGGGGGTGCTCTACTGTTAACTAGATTTTACATGCAACAAAATGTACTTAACCCACTTTTGGTAGTGAAGTGAGCAATGCTTTATCTGACTTGCTTTATGCTTTATCGTAAGCCCAAAGTTTTTATTTTGATGCAAGCACATGTAGATGTGAATGTTTCAAGAAGCCAGACTGAGTGATTTCTCTTGTAGCTGGTGGACCCTGGAGTAAAGGCATGGACACCTACCAAGGGAAAAAACAATATCATCATGTTTGTGGGCCTTCAGGGCAGTGGGAAAACCACAACATGTTCTAAGGTGAGTCAAAACTGTAAGCACACAGACTCCTCTGTGACAGGAGGGACATGTCATTTCCTATTAGTGCTTTTACTGAATGATTCGATTCTTGCCCATTATTATTAGCACAGACACGCTGTTATCTTTTAATTAAGGAAGTGTAAGAAATACATTTACAGATTTAGCTGTGTGAGTTACTTTGGGTTTGTGAATGAGCCCTTTGTCATCAAGTTTCTCTTTATTTCCTCAGTTGGCATACTACTACCAAAGAAAAGGATGGAAAACATGTTTGATTTGTGCTGACACTTTCAGAGCAGGTATAGTTTGTTCCTCCTGCAACTTTCTTTGGAGTATCAGAACTTCAAAAGTATTAATATGCAACTAAAATGTTATATTTTGCTGTTAATTGCTTTTATAAGGTGCCTTTGATCAGCTGAAGCAAAATGCAACGAAAGCCAGAATTCCCTTTTATGGAAGGTAATGTTATCTTTAATACACTGTTGTTGCACATATGAGAAATTTTTTAGATGTGAAGCACCTCATTGACCTGGCTTGTAACTTACTTAAGGCTGAATTATACTTGCGCATCTGTGTATCTGAAAATATGTGGGTGTCTTCCTGTCTCTCTCTCTCCCTCCAAGAATAATACTCACTTCAAAATTTTTGTAATCTTGATCTTGAAATTGAGTTCTGTAAAAAAACAGAAAGTTCTGTGTTGGGATTGATGGGTCTTGTCCCACCCCCAACACTAAAGGATAGCCAATCAGAATTAAATTGGTGCTTAGCTGCCCAGATTGACATGTTGCTAAATTTCCCCCTTCTCTGCATCTCAGTGTGCATACGTAGATTTTTGCTGAAACATAAATTAGCCTTCACTCACTCTGTCACTCACATTTAGCAAACTGAAGATTATCCGCAAGAGAACTCAAGTAGCATTTGGTGCTTCACATCTGTGACACTTTTTCCTTGTCTTTGTTCGAGATACAACATGATTGTTTGATCTTCAAAATTGTGTTTACCAACAGTTACACAGAGATGGATCCAGTCATCATAGCTTCTGAGGGAGTGGAAAAATTCAAATCAGAAAACTTTGAAATAATAATTGTTGACACCAGTGGTCGACATAAGCAAGAAGACTCGCTGTTTGAAGAAATGCTTCAGGTTTCAAATGCTGTGGTAAGTGTGTAATGAGTCTCATTGGTTTTACTAAAGCTAGGTCGAGCCATAACAGAAACCATGGTTCTGAAATTATAGTACTGCATGTGACTTAATTTGTGCTTTCATTGTTCCCACAGCAACCCGATAACATTGTGTATGTGATGGATGCATCCATCGGTCAGGCTTGTGAAGCTCAAGCTAAAGCCTTCAAGGACAAGGTAGATGTGGCCTCTGTCATTATCACAAAGTTGGATGGTCATGCTAAGGGCGGTGGTGCACTCAGCGCGTAAGTGCATGTTTCACTTTTAAGATAAAACCCATATGAAGTACTGTCACTTTATTAGACAAAGAGTCATAATTGCTTTAAATTTCATTTTAACAGAGTTGCTGCCACAAAGAGTCCCATCATTTTCATTGGCACAGGCGAGCACATTGATGACTTTGAACCTTTTAAAACTCAGCCCTTCATAAGCAAGCTGCTAGGTATGTTTTTTTCCCCCCTTTTATTTTAATCCTAGTATTTTTTCAAATTCTTAGCATTCGTTTGGGCTAATTTTTTTTCTTTTGATTTTACAGGTATGGGAGACATTGAAGGACTGATAGACAAAGTGAACGAACTTAAGCTTGATGACAACGAGGAGCTGATTGACAAGCTCAAACATGGTAAGAATTCAATTCTACTATTTTTCTCAACATTTGCCATCAGAGATCATAAATATTTACAAGCTATGATTTCCTTTGCATACATATGTAATCCTTTAAATAAATATTGTAAGCAGTTGTGTCCAGTTATAGAGAATGAACTGCATTTTGTTTAAATTTTGCAGTGCTAATCCATCATTGCCATTTTGTCTGTTTCACTATCAGGCCAGTTTACACTCAGAGACATGTATGAGCAGTTCCAGAACATCATGAAAATGGGACCTTTTGGGCAGATCATGGTATGGTCAGCCTACTCTTGAAATATGTAACATTTTTATATACCATTATATGTTTTCTGTAACTTCACAATCTGTCTGTGTATGGTTGAATATCCTGTTGTATAATATTGCCTGTAGGGTATGATCCCAGGCTTTGGAACTGACTTTATGAGCAAAGGCAATGAACAGGAATCCATGGCCAGGCTAAAGAAACTCATGACAATTATGGACAGCATGAATGACCAAGGTATGATTATTTATTTATTTATTTATTTATTTATTTAATAATACTCATTGTTCTTATGAATCTTAGAAAAGTCCACATTTAATATGTGCAGAACTTGACAACAAAGATGGTGCCAAGCTCTTCAGTAAGCAGCCAAACCGGGTTCAGAGGGTGGCGCGAGGATCTGGCGTGGCCACCAGAGACGTGCAGGAGCTGCTCACCCAATACACAAAGTTTGCTCAGATGGTAAAGAAAATGGGTGGCATTAAAGGCTTATTCAAAGGTGAGTTCTTAAGTTTATTCATGTTGTTTTTGCACACCTGTACAGATGTTAAATTTCTGTAAATATTCATATTCATATATAGTATGTCATAAGACCTGCATATGTACAGATATTCACACACCTCATGGCTCTTTCATGACTATTCATTTCTTTATTCTATTTATTGTATTTTTATTTTAATGTAGGAATTAACAAATTATTTTTAGAGGGAGACATTCAGTACGTCTTGCTCATTCATGGCAAACAGAGAGATTTCATGGTAACAAATAAAAAAAATTTTTTTTTTTTTTATTTCTTCCCTCCAGGAGGGGACATGTCAAAGAACGTCAACCCATCTCAGATGGCCAAGTTGAACCAGCAGATGGCGAAGATGATGGACCCCAGAGTGCTCCACCACATGGGTATGCACCACCCCCACCCTCTGAATAAGCCATTTGTAATTTGCTAGCCTGGTTGGCGCCCAGAGTTGAACGTTTAGGCCTAAGAAAGAAGAGAGATTTGGCTTTTAATTAAAATTTACCTTGTACAAATGTAAGTCATTAGTCTGCGGTCTTTGTTGCAAAGAGACCTTTTGGTGATTTATTGTATTTATCTTGATGCAGGTGGAATGGCTGGGCTACAATCAATGATGCGGCAGTTTCAGCAAGGGGCTGCCGGCAACATGAAAGGAATGATGGGATTCAACAACATGTGAACTTCTGAGCCTTAAATAAAAGATGAAAAACAACCTGATGGGTTTTTAAGAAGCAAAACCTAAGTGGAGGAAGATTGTTTATTTTTTTTTTTGCCTCAAATAGTACAGTAATTAATTAAACCATGTAAAATATTTAAAGGCTTAAATATTTCTTAAGCCTAGTTAGCCTTGGCTAAACAAACTGTTTTACTGGAAGGTTTAATCAACGAGAAGCATGTAATTTTAAACATGTTTAAAGCCAACAGGATACGATGCTCAAATCAGGTTGTTTGTTTTTATTTTTTCCCCCTTTACCAGAACAAATTTGTGGCAAGCTGTCAGAATTGCAGCTCAATGTTTGCTTAAATGGCTGTGTTGGAATGTGAATGTGGTCTAAATTATAATTGACAAGGTATAGTTAAATGTCCTGTTCTTTGAAGAAAGATTAAATGTTTGCAGTGCAGATTTGACAGCTTTGCTTGTCTAAAGAGGTACTGGTGATTGTTACACAGACTGACACACACACAGACACACAGACACACACACAGACACACACACACACACAGACACACAGACAGACATGTTCATCCTTTTTCAAGACGTTGCCAGAAATGGGCCTAGCTGCTTTCACCATGTATGAACCAAATTTGAGGAATACAAATTCTGTATGTATTTTCTCTCCCTATTGTGATGGAGATGGTTACGGTTGGAATAATTACTAGGCGATCATGGTTTATTGTCTTGAGTGTTTCCTTTTTCTGAATTTGCCATAGAGAAGCTTTGGCTTTGTATCTGAAATACAGTAGTGGCAGATTAGTCTGTGGCAATATTTTGTCATAACATTAATAAATTTATATAGCAACATTTTAACAACTGTTGTTCATTTATTTTGGTATGTTTACATAATGTGTATGCACATCAGATTGCTCATGTAACTTGAACTAATTCAGTGTTATATAGAACAGAATAAAGTGGTTCTGATGAAATGCTTGAACAGGCCAAAGTGAAAAAGATACAATGTAAAATTACACTTTATTAGTATTCTTAAGTTTGAGACATCCACGTAATGTAACTGAAGTATTTTGAAAATAAGCTCTTTTGCTACATGTAAGGACATTTTAGACATTTGAATATTATAAATGGCCTTATTATGGGATGGGAAGGTTAGCCTCTTGAGGCTTCTGAAAGTCTTCAAAAGTACATTTGCATAATGTACATTAAAATTAAATCACTGACTTCACGTTGAGGCTGCCGGAGTGAACTGATGAGATGAACCAAGTTTTTCTGAGAAAGGGAAGGCATCTCCTTTGACACACACCTTCTCGACGTGGCAGTGCCTCTTCAGCCATGTTGGTTGCTACGTCAGCGCCCGAGTCCGTTCAGCGAGCTTGGAGAGCAAACCGAGAAAGCTGAGCTCAGAGATACCGGTGGCTTTGGGTACGTACAGTCGGCTGTTTGGGTTTTCATTGGAATATTTCAGTGTGGTGTTGCCTCAAAGAGTGGTATACTGTCATTGAGGTATTAGCCTGGTTGTTGCGAGGGAAAATACTGAGCGGACATTTGCCAGCTAGACGCGATGAAAACTAACTCTGGTTTAGCCAGCTAGCATGTTGACGAATTTGAACCCTGACTACTGTTACTTCTAGCTGAACTTACCTGGCTAGCTAACGTTAGCTCTCACCGAGGGGTGTGGAGATGTCTTATTTTCTCGTTATCACTACAATCTAAGTGGGCTACGTATTGAAGAGCAGATTGATTTAGCTAGCTGGAGGAGATATTTATTTACTGACGGTGAACTGTTTAGCTGACGAATGCAGCTCGATGTAAAGCTAGCGTTAACTGTAGCTAAATTCGCTTAGTGGGTCAGTTCACTCTTAAAAACATTTAACGTTAAACGGTTCAGACCTTATTCAGACAGACATAAGGGTTTTTTTTAGAACATGGCATTAACAGTTAAACTTCGCTGCTGTGCTGAAGAGTCGACAAGCTTGTGATAACCGTTTGAATTAAAAGATAAACAGTTCGTTTAAATTAGTGCATTACTTTAATTACAGTGTCAGAAGTGTGAAATATGTGCGGATTTCCAAAAGAAATACGCGCTGTTTGCGGTGCGTACCGGTCAGCAAAGGTTAAGCATCATATTGGCATTTTTCCATAGCTGAAAGTTCTACTCATTTGTACATGTGGCATGTACTTGGTGCTCCAGTTTATCTTTGATACACCCTCTTTATTACAGCTTTTTATGTACCAGACCTGTTTGATCATTGGCAACCTACACGAGTATGTGCATCTCTGCTATCTCAACTATTGATCCCACTCAGTGCAGCTGTTTACCTTCTCCTCCACATTCTGGGTTTCTTATCTTGATCTCATCGCACTTTATATGAATTCTGTTCATTCTTCCAACACTTTTCTTACAGCTCACAGTTGCTCGAGGGTGCCATGACAACCTTCCCAGAGTTCATTCAGCAGAACGAGGACCGAGATGGGGTGCGTTTCAGCTGGAACGTTTGGCCCTCTAGTCGACTGGAGGCCACTCGTATGGTGGTCCCCGTGGCATCTCTTTTCACCCCTCTAAAAGAGCGCCCAGATCTCCCACCAATACAGTACGAACCACTCCTGTGTAGCCGGGCCACCTGCCGAGCCGTGCTCAATCCTTTATGGTGAGTCACTTCAGTGAAGGCTGATAGACAGTTGAGTGTGCTCATTCTCCTGTTCATTTTTTATCAACATAATGGGTTCATAGATGGAGGATCTGTCCATCAGCATCGAGAACGGCAAGTTTTTGCCTCTCATAGCACTGCCTACATGTGACTACAGTACACTCTTAAAAATGATGGTTTTTCAAGACTTCTTAGTAAATGGTTTTCTTTAGAGCCATGAACACTCAGAGAAACCTTTGATTCTTTGAAGGATTAAAAGGTTCTTTGCATTGTAAAAGTGTTTATCAGATTGTACTGTAGATGGTTCTAATTAGAACCTTCTTGAAAAGGTTTCTCCTGTTGTTATGATATGAGCTTATAAGAATAGAAGAATTCTTTTCAAAAAGGTTCTATATAGAACCATCTACAGCACATTCACTGTCAATCTGAAGAACGCTTTCATGATGCAAAGTATCCTTTAATCATGTAAAGGGTCCTTTGAGTGTTTGTGGTTTCATATAAAACCATTTTCTTTACTAAGGAAACTTTTGAAGAACAGAGTATATGTCAGATTCTAAAATGTACTTTTTTTTGTCTTTTCTCCCTCAAACAGTCAAGTGGATTACAGAGCAAAACTGTGGGCTTGCAATTTCTGTTATCAAAGAAATCAGGTAGGAGCTAAAAGAGTGAGCAGTGATTAGATCACATTTTACTCATCAAAGGCTTCAAAGTCTTGTATTTGTCCCTCCTTAATGACATTATGTACATTTTGTCTAGTTCCCACCAACTTATGCTGGGATATCTGAGGTGAACCAACCAGCTGAACTACTTCCACAGTTCTCCACCATTGAATATGTAGTACAGGTAAAACTATTGAGTTGTGGAATAGTGAATAAATCTGTAAAAAAATAAATACATTATTAAAAACCATACGTGAATGTAAAGGGGAGTTCCACCAATTATTCAGCAGTTCTGCATAATGTTCTGTTTAAGATCTAAGCAGACATGTTTGGGGTACTTTGATGTGAAATGCAATATTCTGAAGAAACTTAACAAGTCAGAATTGCTTACAGCGCGGGTGATAGGAACCAGACGTCCAAAGTGTTTGATGCTTCTAAAAGCTACAACACACAAAGCTAGAACACTAAACGGTTACAAATGTGCTACTTAATGCTTGAGACATTGTATTGCAGTAGTTTTACAATTTTTAATGCCCATTAATGGCTGACGGGTGCATGCAGGGCTTTGTACATTTTAAAATAGACCCCAAAAAAGGCTCAGAAAACACATTTAGGCTCACTCTTCATTTTGCATAGTAAATAGAATGGCTGTTTAGAATGGTGTTATAGACATTGCAACCCCTGGTTCCTATCACCACCACTGTAGGTTTCTCTACAATGGATCATTTCATCTAAGTCCACTTTGAATGAATTTAATTATGCAGAAATTTTTAAAAATATGTGGAATTACCCTTTAGTCCTAAAGAGAGTAAAAGTATAAAAGTAACCCATTTAGCACTGTTCAGAGCTTAAACATTGATGAAACAATAGAATGTGGAAATAGCAAAAGCAATGAAATAAAATGTCAGCTGTGTCTGGTCATCCACAGCGAGGTCCTCAGATGCCTCTGAACTTCCTGTATGTGGTGGACACATGCATGGAAGATGAAGACTTGCAGGCTCTGAAGGAATCTCTGCAGATGTCTCTGAGTCTGCTGCCCCCCACAGCCCTTGTGGGGCTCATCACATTTGGTCGAATGATCCAGGTCCATGAGCTGGGCTGTGAAGGCATCTCTAAAAGCTATGTCTTTAGAGGAACCAAAGACCTCAATGCAAAGCAGCTTCAGGTGAAGTTTTTTTTTTTAGACAAAGATATATTTTGAAAGTCAAATAATGCAAGTAATGACAGTTTTTATCAGTTCTGTTAATTAATAGATAGTCTTCCTTATTTATAAACCATTCACTAGTAAAACTAAAGAGTGCAGTACAGTATGCTGTTTTGAAAAGTATTTTTGATGGGACTGGGCAGAATATGCAAACAGATTTAGGGTTTGGGGTGTTAGTGCTGTGCAGAACATGACAAGTATAACAACAAATTTGTTGACCTGTATAATAACACTTTCTGAAAAATTGCCTGAATGTCTGTTGAATTATGTGGTTTATTCAGTAGAATTGCTCTGTATGTTAACTACAGGAGATGCTTGGATTGACCAAACCAACTGCAGCTCAGGCAAGTCGAGGACCACAACAACCCCAAGCTCCTCCTTCTAACAGGTGCCTTTATATTTTTCATTTTTCTTTTGTTTTGTAGTGTGAATGGGTGTATTATGATCTTGGGAAATGGGAACATCATGGAGATGCAGTGTTTGCATTGTAGAGAGCACCTAGTGCTGTAAAATGACACCATATTCCTTATGTTTTGCAACAGTGTTTAACATCTGGGCTGTTGAACAGCAGGTATCAGCTCACAATACCAATTTCAGTGCATCTTTAATAGAATTATCTAAGACTGAGTCCTCTTTGATATTGTGGCATGTATATGTTTAAGCATGCATTTCGTATACTGATTAGCATTCTTATTCTCGTCATTGATCGATAAAGCTAGGTGAATACATGGATGTGAGATGTGGGCTGTTCTATTGAATTTGGATGTTTTTAACATCACACAGCTTTGTTGGTTCAGTCACAGTTTTTGAGCTTTTTGAAAGCTCACACGTTTGGAGAATAACTATTTCAAAGGCTGTAATCCATCACAGTCGGCTAAGCCTACACTACAGTTAATCATCTTAGAGTTTTCAGTTGTTTTTGAGATTTAGCTATCTGTCTTTTTGAGTCTCAGTTAAAGATTTACTGGATTATAGCCTAGTAAAATATACACTGAAGAATGATGTGTTCCGTAGGTTTCTGCAGCCAGTGCAGAAGATTGATATGAACTTGACTGATCTTTTGGGAGAGCTGCAGAGAGACCCATGGCCCGTCACTCAGGGCAAACGACCCCTCAGATCTTTAGGAGTAGCGTTGTCCATTGCTGTTGGACTGCTGGAGGTAAATCTAATTGTTAATGCAGTGTTTCCAGTACTGTTGGTCTTACATAAACTGTATAATATTTTTGGCCTGCAGAATATTTTGTGTTTATCATAGCACTCGTAACATCAAATGCAGAAACTGTAGAAAAAATGGTATGCTGATAGTGAAGTGTCTAATTTGTGAGGATTGCTTCTGGTGTTGACATACATTTGCATTACTGTTTATAGTGTTTTTGGTGTTAATTCACAACTGCATTTTTTTTCATCTCTTCTCTTTTGATAGTGCACGTTCCCTAACACAGGGGCCAGAATTATGACCTTCATTGGTGGTCCAGCCACCCAGGGCCCAGGCATGGTGGTAGGAGATGAGCTGAAAACACCTATTCGCTCTTGGCATGACATAGAAAAGGACAATGCAAAGTTCATGAAGAAAGCAACTAAAGTAAGTCGTCTTTATGTCTTTTGAAAATAAAAAATAGGGTAAAAAATAAATGGGACTGTCAGGTAATTCACTTAGAAATAAGAAAAGGTTGTGGAAATATGTTTTTTTTTTACCAGTCAGCCAGATGAAGATAATGCACATTCACATAGAAACAGAAATACAAAGTAGATGAGGGCTGCCTAGCCTGTGTGAGACATAAGAACAACTGTTAGTCTCCGACAGCTGCTGTATGTCGCTGTTAAGGAATATGCTGTCACTAAATGTCATAGGTATCTATGCACAGTGCTTTTGAAGGAAAGCTTAGACCTTTCTACAGATAAGAGATGGGATTGGGCAGTGTACAAATATTGGCACCCCTGGTAATCATGAACAAAATGAGCTGTAAAAAAATAATCTTAATTACTTATACTTTTGATCTTTCTTTTAAAATATTAGCAAAAAATTTAAGGTATAATGATCAAAAGAAAAAAAAACTAAATCTTGTCCTGAAATAAATATGTTTCTTAAATCTGTGTGCCACAGTTGTTGGCTTACAGTTGAAAATGCCCATTTCCACTATCAGGTCAATAATTAAGTAGTTTAAAAGAAATGAAGATGTTAAGAATCTGCCAGGAACATGACGTATGTCTATACTGACCCCACACACGCCGAATCTAAAGGATCTGTATGGAGAAATGGTCTCGGATCTCTTGCCATGTGATCTCTAGTCTCATTATGCATTACAGGAGACTCAGAGCTGTTATCATTGCAAAGGGAGGCTGCATAAATTATTAAATGAAGGAATGCCAACAATTGTGGCCACATGGATTTGAGAAAAGCATTTATTTCTTAAGATTTAGTTTTTTTTAATCATTGTATTTCAAAGATTTTTTGTTAATATTTATAAGCAATAAAGAATTTTTTATTTTTTACAGCCTGTTTTGCTCATGTTTGCCAGGGGTGCCAGTATTTGTGGAGGGCACTGTATTATGTTTTTCCATATGTTAAACTCAGCAAGTAAATAGTGTGAAAAATTTTTAAGCAATTGAGAAATTGTGCTCTAAAATGTACTGAAAATGCCATATTTAGGTTTGTTCTCTGTAGAGGGTGTGTTCACTTATTTTCGCATAGAAAATCAACAAACATGTCATTTGAACTCAGGGTGCATTTTGCTGTTGTTGACCTAAGAACTACATTTTTGAGGTTTGGAGAAATAAATGCAAAACACTTTGCATAATTATTGAGTACATGTCTAACTGATGTCTAACTTGTCATAATGAACATTTTTTGTAGTTTTGCCATTTTAATGTGATTATTCATTTTAAGTAAAACAGGAAAATCCAGTGTTCAGAATGTTCAGAATCTGCACTATTTAAACATTTACATTAACATCTACTGAAAACCTGGGATTTGGTTCCCCAAATCATGGTAGTGCTAAGGTCATTATAAACTTGTGTAAACTGTGTGACTTGATTAATAGTTTTTCTGTTTATGTAATTTGTCAGTGTCCATCAGTTACTAATGTTTTTGACAAGAAGTGATTGTTTTCCCCCCCTATGGACCTGGTTTCTTGTGGTTATGACACAGGCTTAATTGGCTTAATGCAGGGTGTTTCATTTAATCTAGAAGATAATGTTAAATCTAAGACTCGTTTGCTAAAGACAGTTTTATTATTGCCTTATAGCATTATGAGGCCTTGGCCAACAGGGCTGCAGCTAATGGTCACATTATTGACATCTATGCCTGCGCCCTGGATCAGACAGGACTAGCGGAGATGAAGTGCTGTACCAACTACACAGGGTGAGAACCACAACATATGCATTAACTTCAGTATAGAGTTAGAGTTGGAGACTAAAGGTCTGCCTCCTTTTCTTTGCCTCCTTTCCTGTAATTAGCTCATGTTACAATCTGTGATTTAATCTCTAGAAACAAGTGTGTTGTTTGTGGTGTTAATAGTTGTGTTCCAGGCACTAACTCTGCCTTTAGGTGTTGTGGTGTTATTTATCTGAATGTAACACATTTTTATTGTGGTCTGGTCCTACAGGGGCTACATGGTGATGGCAGACTCATTTAATACATCCCTCTTTAAGCAGACCTTCCAGAGGGTTTTCACTAAGGATGTCCAGGGGACTTTTAAGATGGCCTTTGCAGGAACTCTAGAGATTAAGGTAAGGTCTTAGCTTTATACTCCATTGTCTTAACTGTTCAGCCAGTGTGCTATTTAAAGCTTTCTTCAAGCCAGATGGTTGTGTTTATTTCAGACATCAAGAGAGATTAAGATATCTGGAGCAATTGGCCCGTGCATCTCACTGAATGCTAAAGGACCCTGCGTATCAGAAAATGTGAGTTACACTTGAGTCATACGTTGGATTTAAGGGAAGAACAGAAAAATCACTTGAACTAATACGGCATGTAGCATTGGTATTTTTTTTAACTATGTAGTTAATACACTTTCAACACAATTATGTGTTCAAGGACGTTTTGTTCTTTTTGATGATGTCAGTAATTAAACATTTGCTCTGCAAAATTTTGACCTCTCCTGTTAACATTTGTTTCAGGAAATTGGAACGGGTGGTACTTGCCAGTGGAAGATCTGTGGTCTGGATCCCAACACCACACTGGCGATTTACTTTGAAGTTGTCAATCAGGTATAAATGTCTGTAACTCACCTGACTCATACATGCCTCACTAAACCATGTGCTACATTCACTGCATTTTTTTGTGCTGTGTCATAAGTTGACCTCATTATAAATGATAAGGTATGACCAAATGGCTCTTGCCCCAGTTATCTGTGCCAGCTAGGCTAGGTTTGAGTAATGCTTTACATGAGTTGGTAAAATAAAGATAAAATGAGCACAGTAATTTTAGGTATCAGATATTGTATGGTCTCATCCACTAGGGGGCAGGTTCTATCAAGAAACAAGAACGAAAAAGCTGATGTGTGAAATTAAATTAGTTTATCTTTTTTGGGGTAGTGGGGGGTGTGTACAGTGATCCATGTGCAAAACATTTTTACCAGAAATATAAAATGCACACAAAGACTATTTGCAGTTAATTATTGATAGCTCTTCAACAGTGCTGATGATTGCAATTTTGTTTCCTTCGGCACCCCTATTAGTATGGTAGATAAAGTTCCTCAAGTCAAAGACTCAGTATTTCTTAAGTAATTTTGTAACTGTTTAAGGCAGACACAAAACCACATTCATTTCTGCTGTTTCATCTACTCCTTTCCGAATTTGAATGCTCTTGTTCTCAATGCTTTTGTTGCCTTTATTTGATATGTAAAGAATGTGATTTAGCAAAGCACAAAATGTTCTGAGATTTTTATTCAATTTGCATCACATACTACCTTTTTGAACAAGAGAACATGTGAAAAGAAATATTAATCACACATTACTCACATTTTACTGTTGCTCTGCATAAACATGTCAATAACAACTGCTTACTGATCTAAATAGCACTTTGAATGAGGGCATGTGCTTGCTTAGCAAAAAAAAGAGGGGGGTGCATCCAACAAAATAGACTTATGCATGTTTTATGTAGTGATGAACATGGTAGCACACAGAGAGCTCCATTTCTACATGCTGAAAATGATTTTAATGCCAACAGGACTGTACACATTCCTGATGAGAGGTTTAAATGAACAGCTTTTTTTGAGGGGGTGTGGGGTGGGGTACTGGGTGTGATGGGTTCAGAGGGTTAAAAGAATGGAACTGAAAGTGTGTCATTCAGTGTTCTATAATAACAGATCCTTTTTTGATGGAGGCAACTGAAACACATTGTTGGCATTGCTCAGTGTGAAAGTTGCTCCAGAAGGAGCTGCTGTGTGAGTTATCACAATTTCTGTTTACACCGCAAATTATTACAGAGGCAAGTTTGCTCTTGTTAGTCCCACCAGGTCCATTTAATTACTTGGACAGCTGCTTCTGTAGATCACTGAATTTTTGTATCCTCTTCAGATAGTTCCCACATCAGCCAGAGGTGTTATAATAGACACGCTCAGCTCCCTGCAGGCTCGTGGAAAGGCTCAGTATGTGTTTGTAGTGCAGGAAGTGCACTGGGTGTTGAGGACAGGCAGTTGTGACTCTTGCTGCCCGCCTGTGTAGTTGTGCTCTTGGGAAGGGGGTTCTTGTGAGCATGCGCCAACGTCTGTCGGATTTTTTTCACAGTCCTGCGTAGGGCGGCTCTGTACCTCCTGAGAGAATCAAACAAGGTCATGATTAACCACCCACACACACACTCACTCAGCTTGTTCTGTTATCCCCTGACTGCATAGCAACAGCACTGTTTCGTGTGTGGCATCAGGTTTGCACGTGAACTGTAAACTGCCTTGTTATGGAGCTGCATGCTGTTGTGGTTTATATTTGGGTATAAATGACATCCACTGCTTACGTTTGGGTCATGGAGATGATCCATGGGTTGAGTGCGGAGGTGAACAGTGCTAGCCAGGTGGCTATGGCGGAGGCAGACTGAGGGCTCTCTTGCCCTGTCAAGGTCTCGTAGAAGCAGATGGTGATGTATGGCAACCAACAAATAAGCAGGCACACTATACATAAACACACACACATAGACACACACACAAATCATATGATTCAGTTAATGATTAAGGGCAGGACATATTTGATTACATGCGGGGGATATTATATTACTGTCTTGTATGCATGTTGCGTGTGTGATAACTTTGTTTTGTTAGCTACCCTGTGCAGCCTGCTTGCCCTTGTTAGCTTTTATGTGTATCTTCTGTATTTATGAGTGCTATATACAGGTAGTGCCAACCTAGAAATGTATTTTCAAGCTTGCAGACAGAGAATGAAGGGCAGTCTGTTCTTTGGTGAATTTACATTACTGTGCAAAAGTCAGAGACCACCTTTGACTTATTTCATTTACAGCTGAAACAGCCATTAATCACAAGTTTTTTCGTTTTTCAGAAGATATTTCTGAGGGGATTGGATATAAGATAATCTACTTGCATAAGAAAATGGAAAGTCAAAGGAAAACAAGTAAACTGGAGTTCAGCGGTAGTGCTGTGGGTCCAAAAGAATGTGTAGCTGTCAAGAAATCATTACTGAGAAAAGGAAATAAACAAAAAAGAAGAAGATCTGCAAATTAAGCAATGAAGCTGCAGGTGTTGTCTGAACAATGGCCTGGCCACCCTAGAGTTCAGCCCTCAGTGTTTGGGATTACTTGGATCAGGGTTTCTCAACCTGTGGTCCAGGGACCAAAGCCCGCTGTAGTGGTCTACGGGCCTGTAGGTCATAGTGGGCTGGAAACGTCATAAAAACTTACGCGGAAAAAAGATTAACTTAGTAATTAAGAAGCGAAGAAACGAATGTTATATATAAAATTATAACAAATATACATATAAATAAAAACACTGCAGGACTAGGCTAAGTAAACGTCATACGTTTGAGACAACACAGATACGGGCATGCAATACAGACAATTAGCAAGTTTCTCAGGGTGCTTTCACACCTGCCTTATTTGGGGTGGACCTACCAGACTTTTTCTTTAGTTCGCTCTGTTTTGACATCTGTGAATATTCCACCCGTATTCGGGTCTGCAACAGACAGCTGAACTGTGGTCCGTCAAAAACTGCAGGTCTCAGTCCACTTCTGTGTAGTTTTCTGTTAAATATGTTGTATGCTTTTTTTTTCTTTATGCCAAAGAATGAGTAACTTGTACTTATTGGATGTTTTGTCTAGAAATTCAGTTAATTAATTATGGTCTCTGACTTTTGCACAGTATTGTATTTAACTTAATTATTATTAGCAGGAGTGGGCAATGACTAGGTTTAATCATATTGTGATCAGTTACATCATGATACCCTTTTTAAGCATAGGATTCATATTGTTAATACTTGTTAAACTTTAATTTTAATTTGTTTCAAACTACTACTATTTGTTTCAAACTAATGTTTCATTACAAAAGAGAGTAATTAGTCCTGTATAACAGGATTTACTCTAGCACAGTATGTAAAACATTCAAGATCAGTGCTGAGTGATTTCTCTGTGGTTTTCATTCAGCTTACCTATGGTTGTCACCATAACTATGGAGCTCTTGATGTAATTATTGGCAGGCACATAAAAGCAGTGCTGCTCATTGCAAACAAACGTCCCTCGTCGTACTTGATTCCTTGCTATGTACACTATATATCCATACATGGAGCACATTGCCAGAATGGGCATGATGACTCCCACCACTATGAAGAGCATGTTAAAGCCTATACTAGCAGGCTTGAAGCTGGGTGAGCAGAGGAACCTGCTGCTGCTGTAGCCATAGTTTCCAAAGCCTAGCAGTGGCAGAGCTGCGTTCAAGAGCGAGTACATCCAAATGATGACAAGAATAACTCTAGTCCTGTGTGCGGTGAATATATTTGCGTAGTTTAGAGCGAAGCAGATCTCTATGAACTTGTCGACGGTTGCCCAGGTGAGTGAGTGGATGGAGGCCAGCTGTAGCAGCAAGAAGAAGAAACCACTGCCTTGGCACAGTGCACTGCTACTGGGGTAGCCCTGTGGCCGGAACAGGCTGTTATAAGCCCCAAAGGGGATGGTGGACAAGCCCAGAGCCAGATCGCACATGCTGAAGCTCAGTGTAAGAGTCCATGTCTCTGTGTGTAGGCTCCTGTTGAGCAGCAACACGAGGAGCAGCACAGCGTTTCCACACACAGAACAGAGGCTGGAGCCAATCATCAGCACGGCGTAAACCCCCGCCATCCACTGCATTGTGCCCACCTTAGAAAGTTTCTCTCCTGCTATGTTTATATGCACATCTGAACACAGGCATCTACAGGTCCTAATTTGCCATGGTTGCATCCATAGTTTGCCACCACTGTCAAGCCATAGTCTGAGACTGAGACTTCTGGCTGTGAAGAAGTCAGGTCAGGTTATCCCGTGATGAGGGGAATTTTCCAAAGCTCCGGAGAGTGCTGGTTATGCAGGTGTTGGCCTCATGCTGTGCCTCATAAGTGGATGATCCAATGCAGTCACTCGATTACTACATGCTAATCTCTGTGGGATGTGTCAGTTTAGCCCTCCTCTTTTCACCTGCCAGCCCCAGCAAGAAAACAAAGCCACTTTAAGAGAAAACTATGCAACCCACTACGGTCACTCTTAATGTAATAAAGTGTCAAACATATTAAGAGGGTAAAGTCTGTGGACACAAACTGCGGACAGCTACAGTAACTGGGCTGTTCTGTCAACAAGAAGCTCCAGATTTAATATCCTCTCCTGCAATGGCTGCTGGCTGCCAAGTTAATGAGCCATTCTGCACCCAAGTGCTGTTGGGGTAATTGGCAAGAAGCATGACTCTAAAGCAGTTTAAGCCTTAATCATTAATTATTGCTGTGCTGCCTTCACTAAGCTTAAGCCTTCTCTCCAATTATATTCTGTTGTTTTGCCCTTCGTATGTCTCTTTTATTGTAAGTGTTGTCTGGATTAGTTTTGTTTTTCCTCAGTATGTCCGCAACATTTGCGATACCTTGTTGACTGAAGTCTTTTTGATGCAACTTTTCATTTTCATTGTTTAAATGCTCAAACTGAATGAAAGCTGCAATTGTCATCGTAAACCGAAGTAGTAGTGTCAAAATGGGCTTTTTCCGGCCATAGCTGCGCAGAGATTTTCCCTTCTTTTTACCACTCTTCTAACACTCTGAATTCAACTTTTGCTAATTAATTAGCTGATGAGTTGAATCAAGTGAGGTTAGTGAGACAACTCTGCGGAGGTGTACCCCGGAAGGAACCCAGTTTGACACCCCTGAACCTAGAGCAATTTCAGAGTTGCACCAGAAAAAAATGTAAAGCTACATTATGTAGCAATTTTACCTTCAAATAACAACTTCAAAATCATTTTGATAATACACTGAATTATAATAGAGAGAGTGGCATATTTGTTATTGCCACTCTGGGCCTGGAGTGCCTGCTACAGTACTATGTAACTTTGGAGAAGTGAGCACAAGACGTCTCGCGAAAAACTGCGTAATCACTTATGGTACCACATCACAGACCGAATAGCCTGAAGAAGATATTATAGGAGGAAGTGAGGAAGGAAAAAAAAGAGAGAGTGACTGAGCAAGAGACCAGACAAGAGTTATTCTTGGACTGGTTTTTACCTGTTGGCAATAGATAAAAGGATGGAAGACTGTCTCACAGCTCATGGGAAATGACAGCAGTGTACATCCCTGCAAATGTTTTTATAGAAGATTGCAGCGTAGGCTGTAACATTATCTATGTCATCTGTCTCATGTGTTTTGTAGTTTTTGCAAATGCCAAATGCCAAAAGCCATCTAACCTCACTCCCATTTCAGGCTAGAATGCAAAGAAATAAATTCACTCTAACTATCTTAGCCTCTTATCCTCCTGGGTTGTGGGGGGTGCCCACTAGGACACAGGGAGAACATGCAAAATCCATACAGAATCATCCGGTCATCCAGCTGGTGAATCAAACTCAAAAAGTTTGGTCAGTCTTAGTCAATCTCTTGCCATATAAGCCCTGAAAGTTTGCAGCGTCCTGTAATAAAATCCTGTAATATTTCTCTACCTTGTAATTTCTCTTCTTGTGTTATCTTAGCGAATATTGTGCTGAACTCCAGCTCTCCTGCAGAATCTGACTACGTTTCACGAGCAGTGAACAGTGGGAACTTGGTTGTACACACATAGAAACAACCAAAATCACAAGTGTAATCTGTAGCATCCATATGCCTGCAGTCAGATTCTGTATCCTTCAGCTTGTATACAACTTTCCATGAGGGGGGTTGAAAGTGTGATTTGTATTTACATTTTACAACTGTAGGGGGACACTAAGAGCAAAAACTGTGCCTTATACATTTACAAGCACCCCTCTGTACAAAACTCAACAAGTTTTCCTTCTTTTTGCAGCACAATGCTCCAATTCCTCAGGGGGGCCGAGGGGCCATACAGTATGTGACTCAGTACCAGCACTCCAGTGGACAGAGACGCATCAGAGTCACCACTATTGCCAGAAAGTTAGTAGTTCTTCCTACATTGTACATTCATTTGCCCAAGCTATTCCAGCAAATAGGTTACATATTAAGTGAACTGTCTTGGGTCCCTTATCAGCCTTTACCTTGTTTCCAGATTTTAGACTACTTCCAAACATATGATTTTTATTCAGAGTGTTAAAAGATCTTGTTTACCTGTTGTATCTTTAAATAAAGGAATTCTAGAGGGAATCTCATATGAATTTTGTGACATTGTAGACTGTGTTTGAAGGAATGAAATGAGTGCATGGCTTGCAGAGTTACAATTCAGTCATCACCTCTCCTCATATTCCATTTGTTGTCAACAGACTGGCCCAGTTTCTATGACAACTTGTGTATTTGGCCATTAAACGTTTCCACTTTTAGCATGTGGAATTTGTTTGACTGTGCACCTCCAAAAAGTATGTCTTATACTGACACTGTTGGATTGGTTTAAGCTCAGTTTACGCTAAAAGCTTAAGTCAAGAAGAGCGTAAATACTCCCTAAACAGTCATTTTCTAAATGATCGTTGACCTTAGGTCCTCTCTTATTGAGCACACTTGTTATACTTATTTAACATGCATACAATGGTAGATAAATCGATGTGGCTTAAATTGATGAGGCAGTAGCATGTGTGCAAAGGTCAGTGTGTTCTGATGCATTATTTCTTCCTCAGCTGGGCGGATGCACAGACGCAGATTCAGAACATCGCAGCGTCTTTCGATCAGGAAGCTTCTGCTATTCTCATGGCCCGCCTTGCTGTGTACAGAGCTGAGTCAGAGGAGGGGCCAGATGTCTTGCGCTGGCTGGATAGACAGCTCATTCGCCTGGTGAGGAGAGCCTGACCTCTCTAGCTGTCAATATGATTGCCAGTGAAGCATAAAACTCATGGATTATTTTCTTGCAAGCTCATTGCCCTCTGTTCTGAGCCTATTTTGAGACTGATTCTTAAATATTTGTCTCCTTTTTCAGTGTCAGAAATTTGGAGATTACCACAAAGATGACCCAAACTCTTTCCGTTTCTCTGAGACTTTCTCTCTGTATCCCCAGGTAGGCCCCTCTGTCTCTAACTCTAGCTCTGTGAGCTCACAGCCCAAATCTCATCTTCCAGCTGTGACAGCACAACACTACTGTAATGAAATATAGATTTTCTGTATCAACAGTTTATGTTCCATCTGAGAAGGTCTCCGTTTCTCCAAGTGTTCAACAATAGCCCAGATGAGAGCTCCTACTACAGACACCATTTCATGAGACAGGATCTGACCCAGTCTCTTATCATGATTCAGCCAATCCTTTACGCCTACTCCTTCAGTGGTCCACCTGAGGTAGACCCACACTTTTTTCATTAAGTTGTTTATATTTGTGTAGAATCAACTTTTTTAGTACTTTATAAATGGTATGTTATTGTAAACACATAAGTTTGCTGAACAAATGTAAGAAAATATAGACTTTTTTATTTGTTTGGTTTCTCTGTTTTTTATCAGTGGTAAGCTATTATATTACAGAGTGTTCCAATAGTGTATTTGATTAACTAGCTGCATTGATTTCCCATGAAAGCAAAGTAAGAACTCTTATGTTGATACTTACATTAGCCCTCAACTAAAGGAGCAGCTATTATCTAAACAGGAGAGAACTGAAGAACAGCATAGCTGTATTAGCAACAGTGATGTGCACATTTAACAGTAAAGTGTCGTTTTACTTCTTCCACTGGTTTGCCCAATCAGAGATGAGCTTTTGGTAATATTTGTAGGACCGTTCTGAGAACATTCTATATTGTAAAAGGCCCATTATTTGCTCTGGCTTCAAGAAACAAAATATTGACGTAGATGTAATATGCAATTTATTAATTATCTCTACTTTAACATCAGAGTCTGTTCCCAAAGTCTGACATCATGTTCTAATGTGAAGTAGACAGTTGTGTATCTGAAATGCACTGTCATGGTGATGTCTCTTAAATCCCATGACCCTGCAGATTATTGTCCTGTGTCTCTTATCACAAGCTGTACTTGTGTTTAATTAGTAAACTTCAGGTAGCTTTCCATTATGAAAGACATTTTTATTATTTTCTTCTGTCAACCCTGTAACAGTATAACAAGCTGCTGTTCGTCGATTACTCTCAATTACCAGTGAACATTGAGTGATTGTTTCCAAGAGATTGAACGTTGCATCTATTTTCACACTCAACTTGGAGGTTGTGTGTATGTGAGGGAGGGGGCACCCATAATTGCTATCCTTGGATCAGTTCTTGCTGAAGTGTGTAATTTTCACAGTTGAGGCTGCCAGCGAAAACTCTAAATAACGGCTGAGGGCTCCTCAGCTGCACACCAGGTTAAACCATTATATATAACGCAGAGGTGTGCACTGTGGTTGCGATGCACATCTGTGCGACGTGTCATGCGTGGCCTCTAGCCAATTTCCCACAGGATAGGACTTGGATGGTAGGGAGTCACTCTCCTCTGTTAAATGATGCAGACTAGTGAATGGGTTGGGAGATAAGAACTCAAAAGTACTGAGACGTTGAGAAATGAGCAAGACTTCATGATGCTTTGAAAAGAAGATGTAGAAAGCGCGTCTTGAAGGACCAGACATGATCTTGTAATTAGAATACACTTCTAGGGACAATTTGTTGAACCCTTTGTGTGAAATCTGAACTAACAAGGTGCGTCCCCTCTAAAACCCACCCCTGTGCTCTTTCAGCATTGCAAGGACAAACGATAATACAACCAAAACATGCTATCTAGTAGAATGTTATTGTTAGTTAACGGAACTGTTCTGCCCTTGCTAGAATGTTTATTTTTGCCCTATGAAATATGTTCTCTGCATACTCGACACACATCTAAATGGTTATTTGGAGCTATTTTGGGGGTCCTTTTCAGCCATGCTAACTTGCATTACATTCCATTGGCTAACAACAGTCTTATTGTTCTTCAGACATTGTTGATTAACACACGGTTGCATGCTACTTTGAACACTTCAAGGTGTTGAATCGGTCTAGAAATTTCACTCCCAGTTTGTTCTCATCCTAATAAGTATTAATTTCCTCACACAATTAGTCCAGAATTTCTCATGACAAGATCACTTCCGGTCCTTCGAAACTAGCAGAAAGTGTCTTGGCAAACAAAAAAATAGATTTGCAAGCAACCTGTTGGTAGCAAGTTGAGTGTTCTTTAGACTCATGTACAAGTGTGGTGTGAGTGCTATACATATATTACACTGTAGTTGTGAGTCTGTCATCAAGACAGTTTGTGTGAAGGATTAGAACTGTAGGTGTTTGAGCTTAATGTGCTTTTAATGGAGAGCTTTACCCTTTATTATCCACTCTGGCTTTCTCCTGAGACGACAGTGCGAATGCTTAGAAAAGCTTCCACAGTAACTAGCACCTGTCAAAAGAGAGTGCTAAATTATGGGTTTTCTTTCCTTGCCTGCAGCCGGTGCTGTTGGACAGCAGTAGCATTCTTCCGGACAGAATTCTCTTGATGGACACGTTCTTCCAGATCCTCATCTACCATGGAGAGGTGAGCACAGCCTTTCCACTGAGAGAAACTAAGAGTCAGCTGGCCATACACACTCCATAGACCATATATATTAGATCAGTATAATTTGTCTCTCTGATATTGTGCTATACTTATGAAATGGAGTCAACATAGCTGTAGTCATTATGTGTCGCTAGTGCTAGGAAAGAAATTGTCTGATGGCGAGAGCTGGTGCTGAAATGCGTGATAATGAAGTTTGAGTGCAGTGTTATTTTTACAGAAATCTACATTTCTAGCAGCAATAAATGTTTTGCTGCTGTTCCTCCTGAGTGTGGATGGCCAGTTCACACATAAGCTGAATTTCTTTACAGTTGTCATGTATGTTTGAATGCTTTGAATATTTGCAGTATGCTAGGGACAATTCCAGAGTCTTTTTTTTTTCCTTTGCAGACAGTAGCTCAGTGGCGTAAAGCGGGCTACCAGGACATGCCCGAGTATGAGAACTTCCGCCACCTACTGCAGGCTCCAGTGGATGATGCTCAGGAGATCCTGCACTCACGCTTCCCTATGCCCCGCTACATTGACACTGAGCATGGGGGCAGCCAGGTAACCCTACTAAATTGATTGAAGACACCTAGAAACAAATGGGACATTTCCAATTAAGGGAATAGTTTAAGAGTTAAGAGTTCAGTATGTCAGGTGATCTCTGAGATGCATGCAAAGCCCAAGCTTGGACTTGGAGCTTCTAGCAGTTTAGAGAAAATGACCCTCTAGGAGTTTACAAGGAGGCTGTAATTTAAAGAGTGTCAGAGGGATTCTCCTTAATCAGGCCAAGAGTGTAATGGCTTATTCAGCAGCCTGTGCTGTTATGCATTAATGACCATGTTTAATCTGCCTCAGGGCTCAGACTGAGATCATGGTTTTGCCTGCAGCAGGCTACTGATTTGTTTATTCTTCACCCATGCTATCCTCCAGGCTCGGTTCTTGCTGTCCAAAGTCAACCCCTCTCAGACTCACAACAACATGTATGCCTGGGGACAGGTGAGTGCATCAGTGACAGTAATCAGTCTTTTTCTTTGTGCCACTATGTTTGCGTTGTCCCTCGCTTCAAGCATGTTGCACAAAGCATAATCATTACATTATTACTTCTTTGATTTCTAATGAACTTGCATCCAGGTACGAGGCTGCAGTAAGCTTCTTATTTGAATGTTACATTCTGCTTTAAATAGTGCAGCAGTTACATTCTAGTGACTGTACAGATGTCAGAATATAACGGTTCACCATTTAATGTGGAACAGAATAGGTAGCCAACCTCATCATCCAGGTCCTCTGACATATTTGGCTTCTTGCAGTAGTAGAATGACTCTGTTTGTGTGTGCAGGAGTCAGGAGCCCCCATCTTAACAGACGACGTGAGTTTGCAGGTGTTCATGGATCATCTGAAGAAGCTTGCTGTGTCCAGTGCTGCCTAAGAGCTTACCTAGACCACCCAAATGCACACCTTTTCACCTCTCCTGCATCAACCAAGTAATGCCATAAATCCCTACGAGAGCAACACTAGGAACGACTTTTGACCTTTCCCCTTTTATTTCATGTTTATGTGAAGCCCAAGCCCTTTAGGCTGCACAGTTTCTGTGTGGAGACAATAACATATACAGTTGTTTCTGCTGAGTAATGAATGAATGTTCATGAGATTTAGTGGATACAATATAAAAGATGCATCTCCGTTTCATAACACTACATGGGAATTGTGCTACAGGACAAATGATGTTTTGTTAATAACGTCACTGAATTATTTAGTCAGAATCTAATGGCAGCAAAAATGGCTTTGATGTATTTATGTTGCTGAGTTTCAGTTGACAGCAGTGATGTAATCTCATATTAAACATTTGTGGGGGGGGGATTGAATATCACAGCTTACCTACAGCTGCACTAGATTGTTTGGCAAAAGATTGTGGTAACAGTGCCATTGTAGCCAATTAAATGTGAATGCGTTAGTGCTGCCTCAAGCCCCCAGCTGAGTTTGTCTTACAGAATCTGTTTCTGATTTCTATCATAGTTTCTGTGTGGTGCAGGAATAAAGTCCCAGCCACAAACTTGCAGGCTTGCAGAATATGCCTTATTCCATCTGATGTCCTTCTATTTATGCCTCATTTCTAACAGTATTATAGAATTATTTACCAAATATTTCTAATAAAACAGCTTAATTGTCATATGTGTTTGAGTCATTTTGTGTGAAACAGTGTGGATGCACAGAAAGAACCCTCGCCTTTTTTCTTTACTCTCTCGCTCTCTTTCTGTACTGACACTTAGACCTGTAGACGGGGTATGTCAGTTTGCTGGTTGTGAATATTTTTTTTATGCATTTACTACCCAAGACAATTAGCGTCAACTTTTTGTGTTTGCTTTTTTTCCTTTTCCTTTGTATGTGTAACTGTTGACATGAAATTCTTGATGAAAGTCTTCATCATAAATTAAGCACCTCCAGCATGAAAGACAAGCCTATCAGTATATTATGTGGTTCCCAGAATTAGCTTTCTATTGTCTATGAGTTTAACTCCCAGTGAATTAACCTAGAGTATAATAAATGGTTAAAAAAGCTCCAGGATGCACTGTCCTGGTCTGCTGTGTGTGTACTTCTCCCAGCAGGAGAAACTGTGATGCCTGTAAACATGGCATTCTGCAGGCTGGGGAGTTACTTGGCAGAGTTTCTGAGGTGCTGATTGTATTATGGTATTTGAAGTCTCAGAAGTAGTCTACAGAAGTCTCTTTAGGAAAGCAAATAGTTTCTGATGTCCCAGTTTGGACCATTCTTCTTCTATTTATTTCCAGAGAAGCTATGTAGCAGCTTTGTATTTTGGCTGGAGTACCGATGGGAGTTTCAAGACACTTCCAATATCTACAAAGGTGTAAACTGAGAATATTTATTTTAGTTGTTGAAATAAACAAGCAGTTGTAAAGGCTTCTTTATACTGTGGTTGAAGAAAAGTTATGGTTACCCCATTTCACCCCTGCCCCATAACCCAATCCCCCCATTTAAACTATGAAGTGGCTCCAACAGTTTTAAAGAAGCCAGATCAGCAGTGAAGCCCATGATTTACATAAACTGCACAGGTATCTTCAGCAAGGTCACCTTAGATATCCTCTCATGTACCCATTTATTCCATTATTCTGTTCATTTCCAAAAACTAAAAAATGTGAGTGGTTTCAGAAGTAGGTGTGCACATCTGCAGTGAAATGAATAGCACCGTATGTTGGAGGCCTTTCTTTTCTGCAGGTTTAAATGCAACCTATCATGACTGTTTTCAAAGATGGCCACATGGGAGCACTAATGTATCTCATGATCTAATGCAACAGAATCAATATGCCACACTTCCATTATCAAACTGGTGTAAAAATGATCTCAGGAGTTTTGAAATCAACTTAGCATCCAAGTCCTGTGGAAGCACCGGTCACAAATTGCATCTCTAGTGCTCATTATTTTAAACCCTCATCTCCCTGAATGCCACAGTGTCCTCATTACTGAACCAGTTGCTTTTGTTCCTCAGTGGTGAATGTATTGACATGTGGATAGACCCCAGCTTGTGCCTCTGAAGAAAGCTGCTTTGGAGGGAAATCTAAATGTCTGTTGCAGCCTAAAAACACAATTTTGCCTCAATTTTGTCAGAAGACGTCAAGCAGTGTTGATGTACTAAAACGTTATGGTACCTTGGCTGCTTGAATTTCCAAACATTTGTGTATTTCTCTCTCTCTCGCTCTCGCTCTCTTTCTCTCTCTCCCTCTCTTTCTCTCTCTCGCTCTCTTTCTCTCTCTCTCTCTCTCTCGCTCTCGCTCTCTTTCTCTCTCTCCCTCTCTTTCTCTCTCTCCCTCTCTCTGTCTTTCGCTCTCTCTCTCTTTCGCTCTCTCTCTCTTTCGCTCTCTCTCCCTCTCTCTCATACTTTGTAAAACTTGGTGTTCTTGTTCTTTTAAAGTCTTTTTCCTGTAGCGATGAGTCCCTTTGTCTGGTTTAGCAAAAACACTGGGAGCAGACTGAGGCAGAGCAGCAACAGCAGGTTGCCGTGGAGACGGCAGTAGAAAGTAAAGGCTGGGCTGGTGGAGGGCAAGAAGAAACATATATATATATATATATCCTCGTATGTTTTGTGTCGGGCGTTCAGCTCAACTGCTGGATAAAAGTGAGCAATGTGCATCTAGAGTGAAGTTACAGCTCTCAGTGCCTCTGTAAAGCATGTAGTAGTTATGGAGACGACAGACATGATCTGAGGAGGAAGGCTGGACCACTTCCCTCAAAGCATCCGCAACACTGCAGCGTGCAGAACGTGACATCACATCCATAAAGACTACAACCAAAAATAGACATCTGTGCTTAGAAAATGGATGTAGTTCACTGGTGTTGTCAATTACAAATAGTTTGCTGGAATTGTTGCCAGGAGCAGTGAGCAGAAATACCACATCTAAAGGGTCTTAATCTGTGCTCAACTCGGCTGCAACACTGCTGAATTTGTGCACTAAAGCCACTGAAACGGTTTATCAGTCACTCTTATTGAGCTAGGCAGGGTTTAGGAATCCATTACTTATAGGAATCCATTACTTATAACAAGGTTACATAACGCTTTAATTTTAATTAACATCCTTTGATAATGATGCTATGTGAACTGAAGGTAACAGTATTTTATCTGAAAACAAAAGGCAATTGAGAACTTCCAGGTGCTAAAGACGGGAGTGAGATCTAAAGCACGTTTATTGAATTTCAGGTTTGTTCAAATTTCAACTAAATACATGGCTATTCACAACAATTATTAATCAATCTCATTGTCATATTTTTTTCAACTCCAGGACAGAATTCTGAACATGTAAAACTGTCCCTGTCGGATAAACAGCACTTAAAGCTTTCATCTTTGTAAGAGAAGAGACAATCAAGCTCCACTCTTGCTTCAGATCTGAAAAAAATCCACAGGCTAAAAGAGAGAGACCACATTAAAAGAATTAGAGATCCGGAACAAGGACAGTAGAAGGCCCAAGAGAAATGCCGGATGTCTCAGATTGAGAAACTAAAAGCAGAGTTGAAGAAGAAGGAAATGGACAAGGCTAAGAGCCGTTCAGAGAGGAAGCAGAGAGGTTAAGAGAGAACGAATGAATCAGAACAAATGAAAACGCTATCCTAGTACAATGCATTCTGAATCTTGAAGCTGCTAATCAGTAGCTTGAAGATTGGCAATTGAAGCGATGGAGGAGGAAGGAGAGAAGTGGAGAGCAGAAAAGGAAGAGAAGGAAGAGAGAATTTGGAAATTACATGAGCTCAGCTCAAATAATGTGGATGTGATTACCCAGTACAAAGCCTTGATAAAAAGAAAAGAGGCTGAGCAGGTTAATAGGAAGAGCGATAAAAGGGAGAGGAGATATGATTCTATCAGCAATTCCTGCTACTTGTTTCTGCTTCAGCTCCTTCACTGCTGAAACATAGAATGGTGAAGGAGCTGAAGCAGAAACACAAGTGTAACAAGAGTAAAGATTCAAAGCAGCTTTCGAAAAAAAGAATCAGACTGTACAAGTGTTACAAACCTTGATAAACACATTAATAAACACATGTGTTCTTTATTGCTTATCCTTTGAGCTTTCATTCAAAATATTAATAAAAATCTAACCTTTATTTGAAATACGCTGATTAAAAAACTAAATCTCATCAGGAAATAGATGTTTTTCTCAAATCCGTGTGCCACAGTTGCTGACGTCCATTCATTTAATACTTTGTGCAGCCTCCCTTTGCAATGATAACAGCTCTGAGTCATCTTCTGTAAAGCTTAATGAGACTGGAGAACACATGGCAAGAGATCTGAGACCATTCCTCCATACAGAACCTCTCCAGATCCAGCTCATCTCACAGGTTTTCTATTAGGTTTAGGTCAGGGGACTCGGGTGTCCATGGCAAAACCTTAATTCTGTGGTCAGTGAACCATTTTTCTGTTGATTTTGAGGTGTGCTTTGGATCATTGTCCTGATGTAAGATCCAAACTATGGCCCAGTTTAAGCTTCCTGGCTGAGGCAGTCAGGTTTTGATTTTATTTCTGCTGGTATTTAATGGAGTCTGTGATAAAATGCTTCTGAATAAATTGTCCAGGGCCTCTGGAAGTAAAACAGGTCCACAGTATCACAGATCCACCACCATACTTCACAGTGGGGATGAGGAACTTTCCTGCATGGCTATCTTTGTGCCCACGTCAAACTCACCTCTGGCATTTGTTGCCAAAAATCTCTATTTTGGTATCATCTGGCCACAGAACACAGTCTCACTGAATTTCCAGTAGCATCTGGCAAATTGTAGATGCTTGAGTTTAATGGTCCTTGACAGCAGAAGATTTCTTCTGGTAAACCCCCTAAACAACTTGTGGTTATATAGATGGTATTTGTTTGTGGTTTAGGAGACATTTTGACACCAAGACCTAACTAATATCTGCAATACTCTCTCTGTGATCCCTGGAGATTCTTTGTCCATTTGAATCATCCTCCTTGCTGTGTCTGGGGTCAGTGTAGAAATATTTTCTCTTTCAATCATTATTCTTTAAATAAAGCTTAGATTTTTGCTAATATTTTCAATGAAAGATCAAAAGAATAAGTAATTAAGAACATTTTTTACAGCTCATTTTGCTCATGATTACCAGAGGTCCCAATATTTGTGCGGACATGAACGATTCTGAATCGATTCACAAATGTCAAAAATCGATTTTCTGAATATTTAATTGATAACATAATGTTGACGGAACGCAAAAGGTGGAACTTGGAAGTGCGGAAGTGCAGCGCCCGGACAGTCTGTGGTGGCACACAACAAAAACACTACTGGATGAGTGAGAAATCCGACCGGCTCCCTCTGCATTAAAAGCCAGGTTAGGTCAGGAGTCACAACCCAAATGATAAGAAGAGCCATTTTGTCCTTTCAACAAAAATCAAACCAGCTTGGGAGCCACAACATTTAATGTCCAGTATGTCTCAGTATGGGATAATGTCCTAGTATAGGCTAAACAATATAAACGAAAACGCAGATTTACTTCGCTCTGCTTTAAGCTTTAGCCACAGCCGCTCAACGACTGTTTTACGAGGCTGAAGTCGCTTCTTATTCTCCAGCTTCCTGTTCGAATTTACCCGTTCCACCTTAAATTTTAACTGAGGTGCCGAATGTAAATGCGGCACCATTTAAGGTGGAACGGGAGAATTCGAA